ATTATTCGTAAATTCTTCAATATTAAATGTTATATTAGAAAATAAAAACTTTAAATAATTTCAAAAAAAAAAAATCCGCAATTATGCTTGCTCAAAAAAATTAATTCCACAGAATTTTTAGTGAAAAGTATGGAAAATTCAGATTTTCAAAGATCTTAATTTGAAACCTTTTCAAAATTTAATTATTTCTAAAAATTGCAATTATTAGTAACTTCTCCAAAATTCAATTATTTCTCTGAAACTTTAATTAAAATTAATTTTTAAACCAATTTTTATTAGAAAATTTTACGAGAATTCAATTATTTAAATAAAAAGACAAATTTATTGAATACAAGTTTCTTAAAATTGAATTCTCATAAAGAATTTTATTAATAAATTTTTAAATAATTGAATTCTTTTTACGAATTTTAATAAAATTTTTAAGAAAAATTTATTTTTTTGAAGAATTTGATTAAAATTGTATTAAAAATAATTGAAATTCTGCAATGAGTTTTATTATTTATGAAAATAATTGAATTTCTAAAAATAATTAAATTTCTAAAAATAATTTTATTATTTACGGAAATAATTAAATCCGTGTAAAAATTTTATTATTTATGAAAATAATTGAATGATTGCGAAGAAATTAAAAAAAAATTTGTAAATAATTGAATTCCTGTGGAATTTTTATTATTTTATGAAAATATAATTAAAGGTTTGCGTAGAATTTTATTCAATTTTTTAAAAATAATTGAATTTTTTTGGAGAATTTTATTAAATTAGTAAATTTTAAAAATCATTGATTAAGGAAATTTTTTGAAAATAATTGAATTTCGGAGAAGAATTTAATTATTTCCAAAGACAATTATCAGAGTGAATCAGAATATTCTTTAGGGTCAGGAAATAAGTATAAATTTTGTCTGGAAATCAGGAAAAAGTCAGGGAGAAAGAAAATTAAATTTTTGTGTCAACCCTGTTCTAAAAATTGAAAAAAGGAAAATACAGGAAATTACAGTGATGTAATGAGGAAAGAATTTTTTTTCTGACGAATTTTGAGAGTAAAAAAAAAATGTTTTCCCCTTTGGAGAGTAGTTTCGATCTTTTGAAAGCAGACAGGTATAAGTAACGAAAGACTGAATCGAGATGAGGAGCGGCTGGTTACTATACGTTGTACAGGTGGGTGGTGTCAGGAGCGGAGAAAAGAGGGGGTTCTCTGGGGCTCCAGACTAGATCGATAATGCATCTCTTGGCAGGCGTAGTTGCTTTTAGTCACCGGCGATTGCTCCTGTTCAAATCTCTCCCAAATCGTCTCCTTTTCCCTCAAAATCCAACCTTGTCCCGATAAATTATTCTCCAATGAATAATTTAACTCCAAAGAATTGAAATTCAGTTGATCGTGAAAACGTGATCGAAAATTAGAAGCGTCCACTTTACATTTTAGGGAAGAAAGCCGGGTCTCCTCCCTCTTCATTAAGGGATCAACGAACTTTCAATCAATATTAAGTATATATCCTTTTTAATCAATTCAATTCTTTCTTTTCTTCGAATTCTATTTTTTCATTTTATTTCTTTTATTTTTTTTCATTTGAAACAAATCGCGGTCTTCTTCTTTCTACCTAAATCCCCTTTTTTCCTCTTTTCCCTTTTTTTTATCCCTTTAAATTCATAAAATTTACTAAAATACCTAAAATCATGTATATTTTTCCCCCTTTCAGGCTTAATAATTAATTTTTAAAAAAAGGAAGTTTAACAGTGAAAAAATTAGCAAACGAAAATTTTAATTTGACGATTAAAAATCTCGTTTTACTCGATTTAGAAAAACAGAAAAATTTAATTTTGTATTTTCCTGATTTCGATAAAAAAAAATTCAATTTTTTTTATACTGATAATAACTTCAATTCTAAATTTTTGTAAAATTCAATTATTTTCCAAACTTTTAGTTAAAATTATTCAAAAATGAGTAAGATTATATTTCAAAATAATTTTTAAAAGTAAACAGAAAAAATTTTTTTAAAACAATTTATTTTAATTAAATTTGACAAGATTTCCTATTTACAATTTTTACCATAATTTTATTATATTCAAACAAATTTTAAAATTATAATTTTTCAAAAGACTAATTTTTTACAATAATTTCTAAATTTAATTATTCATACTTCAACAATTTTTGTTCAATAAATATATAAATAGGTTATTTATTTTTTCTTCAGGAATTACAATTTTAAATAATTTTAATGTATAAAAGCTTTTATAAAATATTTCTAAAAATTACAACAGTAATTCTCCAAAACACAGTTTTTTTAAAAAATTTTATTTATATAAAAATTTATTTATTTATTTAATTTTTATTTAAATTATTTTATTTTATTTTTTTTTTTTTTATTTAAAATTTCAATAATTTTTTTGAAAATAAATATTTAAATATTTTTACAGTTTTACAAAAATTAAAATTTTCAAAGATTAAATTTTTTTAAATTTACTTATTTCTAAAAATTCATACTATAACGCTTTTTAATATTCAATTATTATATTATCAAAATTTTTGAAAATAATTGATTTCCTTCGAAAATTTTTTAATTAATTTACATTTTTCAAGAAATTAGTTTAGAATTCTAATAAAAATAATTGATATCCTGCGAAGAACTTTATTATAAATGAAAATAATTGAATTCTTGCAACGAATTTTATTAAATTTTTTAAAAATAATTTAATTCCTGTGAAAAATTATATTAATTCTGAAAATAATTGAATTTTTGTAAAGAATTTTATTAAAATTTGTGAAAATATTTAAATTCTTTCTAGAAATCCAATTGAAATTGTATTAAAAATTGAATTCTTATAAAGAATTTCACAAAAAGTTTTTAAAATAAATAAATAATTTAATTATTTACTAAAATTATTGAATTCTTGTAAAGAATTTAATTTTAAACAAAAATAATTAAATTGCTCTAAAGAATTTTATTTACTATTATCTATTAAAAAAATTGAATTTTTTGGGAAGAAATTTATTGTTTTCATAAATAATAAAATCCTTTAGAGAAAGAAAATGAATTTTATTATTTATGAAAGTAATTGAATTACTGCGAAGAATTATATTAAAGTTTTTAAAAATAATTGAATTCTTTTTAGAAATTTTTTCAAATTTGTTTTGAAACTAATGGAATTCCTGTGAAAAATTTCATTATTTCTGAAAATAATTGAATTCTTAAACTTTTTTTTTAAATTTAATGAGAATTGTATTGAAAATAATTCAATTTAATTCTATAAAATTTCATTAAGATATTAAAAATAATTCAATTCCAACTAAAAATTTTATTAAAGTTGTATTTACAGTAATTAAATTAAAATTAGCGAAGAAAGTAAAAATCAGAGAAAAATTATTTGGAAGAGTTTAAAAAAATACCTTAAATCAAAAAAATGAATCAGTGATTAAATTTCAACGAGGAATTTCCCAACTTTTAAAAATACTCGAATTCGTCCGAAGTTTTTAAAAAAATGTTTGAAAATAATTTAATTGTTTCGATAATTTTATTGGAAATTTATGAAAATAATTTAATTCTAGCGAAGAAATTTATTAAAATTATATTCAAAATAATTGAATTCATCTGAAGAATTTTATTATTTATGAAAATCAATTCTTATTAGAAAGTTCTACGAGAATTCAATTATTTAAATACAAAAATAAATAATTCATAGAATAATTGAGAAATTTTATCATAATAGTAGATATTGAAAATAATTGTATTTTAGAGAAGAATTTCATTTTTTGTAAAAATAATTGAATCCTAGCCAAAAAATGTTTTTAAAATTTTTTCAAGTTTTTGTGTAAAAAAAAAAAATATTTCTAATACATTTATTTATAAATATATATCTTTAATTTTAGAATTATTCATAAATATCAATTGGAATTTTTCAAGAAACTAAGTTTTTTTTTACTTTTCAATGAAAGTTACCGAAAATTTAAATTTTCAAAACTTTTAATTTGAAACATTTGAAATGTAAACAAATAAACGTTTATGATCAACAAATTAGGAGGAAAATAGTTCTTTAAACAAATTTTTATAATTTTTTCCTTGAATACTTTTTGTACGAATTTTTAACAATTAAAAAAATTGTTGAAACAAAAATTTTATTGTTTTCGGTGTGAAAAATATAATTTTTTCCATTAATCGTTTACACTGTGCAAAGTTGAACGGCGAATAACTTTTTTACCGACTTTTAAAATTCCTTTTTTTTCCCTTTTTAAAAATTGAAACCCCCTTTTTTTTACCTAATACTAGCTCCTCCGACGGCCGCAAGCGGCCGTCTACGGTGCTAGTTTTTATATGTCCATTGTCCAAGTCCATTATTTTATTAATAATAATATTCAAATTTTTTCAGTTAATAATTTGCTTATTTATATTTGAAATGTTGACGTTTTTTTTGACAATGCAAAATAAGATTTATTATGAGTACTTTCTCTTAACAAAAATAAAATTTATATATTCGCGCTCTTTTTAAATAACATACGACTGCAGCGCCACCTTCACATGTACAAACAATTTTAAAAACACCCTTCTATTAAGATTTTACATTCTCATTGCCCATTCTTTACTTCGATACTTTTCGATACATTCGACGTTTCCACTCCATGTCTTTTTTAAGAAAGGATTACATGAAGAAATTACTTTTATCCCTGTGATGATAAATGTTTACTATTTTTCACTAGATTGAAATTTTCTCCACGAGAAAATAATTCTGGAATAATTTTCGTAAAATTTGGTGAAATAATTCCTGGATGAATTTTCTTTAGAAAATGTTTATTGTAATTTAGGAAAAAATTCGAGAAAATAGAAAATTGTATTTTATTTGATTTATTAGTAATGGAAAAAAATTCTTCTTTTATTATTTTTTTACCCTATGATGTAAACTTGACAGTAAGGAATGAAGGATTTTTTTTGGAGAATGAATGGAGGGAAAATTTGTTTTTGTGATTGTGATGAGTCTCTGGTAGTCATGAAGTAACAATAATCTTTTTTCAGAATCTCGACAACATGAACTGCTTCCTGAGGCAGATAATGTAGCGGACAGCGAGGATTCCGAGGACGAGTGGAATTACTACCGCGTCAAGCCAGATAAGGATAAAGATTCACCTGTTCAGGTGAACGAGACGTCCAGCGAATCCAAGGAGAAAGACGCGGCCAGTCCAAAGCCTCTCATTGAAGACGAATCCGAAAGTGAGAATTCCAAAGGGGAAGCAAATTTCACTTCGAAAATCGAGGCTGAACCAAAAAGTCCATCGCCCGAACCTCTAAAATCTGAGGTAGGTTTTCATTTCATTTCCACCAAAAAGAGAAAAAGAAGAAAAAAAATAATGCGGATCGCAGACTGTCAACATTTTGCCCTTTTTTAATTTTTTGCACCTATTTCGTCAATTTTCACCAATTTCATAATATTTTCAATCAAAAATATTTTTTAAACATTTTTAATTCATTTATATTTCAATAAATTTAAATTCTAAATTGCTGAAACTTTCATCGATTAAAATCTTAATTCACTTTGAATTTAAATCGTCAAAATTTTTAATTATATAATTCATCTTATTTTTCATTTTAAAAAAAATTTATACAATTTTGAAACTTTAAAAATTATTCTTTTAAGTAATTCAATATCTTCATTATTAATATTTGTTGTATTTCGAATATCTGTTCACGTTAATTTTGTTTAATTTTATAATTTTTAATCCGAAATTATTTACCTAATATTTGCATAGAATTTTATGAACATTCTTGAAAATAATTTAATTTTTTTGAGTTATTAAAATTGTATTGAAAATAATTGAATTCTTGTAAAGAATTTTATTAACATTTTTGAAAATAATTAAATTGTTTCGATGAATTTTATTACAATATTTAAACAAAATTGGATTTTTGAGAGTAATTTTATTGTCTCTAAAAATAATTAAATTCTTGACACGAATTTTTATTTAAAATAATTAAATTCATTAAAATAAATTAAACAAATTTTTTTGGATAAATGAAATTCTGCGTATAATTATTTTACATTTTTTCAAAGTATGTAATTCAATTTTCTTGAGAAATTTTATAAAAATACTATTGAAAATAATTAAATTCCTGCGTAGAATTTTATTATTTATGAAAATAATTAAATTCTTTTGATGAATTTCATCAAAATTTAAAAAGAAAAGTTGAATCTTGTCGAGTAAAAAATTGAAATTAGTAAAGCATTTTATTAAATTTTTTTTTAAATAATAGATTTCCAGTGAAAAAATTTTACAAAAATATTTGAAAATAATTGAATTATTGGGAAGAATGCTATGAAATTTTTTATTAAATAATAGAATTTCTGGGAAAAAATTTTATAAAAAATTTGAAAAAATTTAATTCTTGGGAAAAATTTTATTAAAATTTGTAAAAATAATTGAATTTTTTGAAAAAATTTTATTCAAATTTATATTGAAAATATTTAAATTCCTGACAAGATTTTTATTATTTTTGATAAAAATTGAATGTCTGTAAAAAATTTAAAATAATTTTAAAAAACAATTGAATTTTTTCGAGAAGTTTCATTAAAATTAATAATTGAATTCTTGCAAAGAATTTTATTAAAATTTTTGGAAATAATTTAATTATATCGACAAATTTTATTAAAATTTTTAAAAATAATTGAATTTCCAAAAAGAATTTCTTGAAAAATTTTGAAAATAATTTAAATTCTGTAAAGGATTTTATTATTTATAAAAATAAAAATAATTGAAGTTTTGCCAAGAATTTTACTAAAGTTTTTGAAAATAATTTGAAGTTTTGGTAGGAATATTGTTATTTATGAACATAATTAAATTCTTCCTAATAATTTGATTGAAATTTTTGTAAATATCTAGTTAATTGAAATTCTGCGAAAATTATATTAATATTCTTGAAAATAATTGAATTCATTCAAGCAATTTAATTAAGTTTGTAACGAAAATAACTTCTTATAAAGTATTTCATCAAAAATTTTGAAAATAATTTAAATCTTTTAAGGGCATTTGAACTATTATGACGTCACAATTTTAAATCTCATGCTTTGCACACATTGTGACGTCATAATGGTTCAAATGCCCTTAAAGAATTTTATTAAAATTTTGAAACAAATCGGTAAATCTTGTAGAGAAATTTTATGAAAATTTTATTGAAAATAATTAAATTCCAAGGATAAATTTTTTATAATATTTTTAATTTTGTGAAAATATTTATTAAATTTTTTGAATATAGTAGAATTTCTGTGAAGAAATGTTTTAGTTATGAAGTTAATTATATTATCTCGAGAAATTGTATTACATTTTTTGAAAATAATTAAATTCTTTCGAAGAATTTCATTAAAATTTTTTAAAATTTAATCTTGGCGAGAAATTTATTTTTTATGAACATAATTGGATTCTTGTCAATAATTTTATAACAATTTTGGAAAATAATTAAATTTCTGTCAAGAATTTTATTATTTGTAAAGTTTATTGAATTCTTTCGAGAAATTGTATTAAAATTTTCGAAAATAATTGAATTCCAATGAAAAAATTTGTTATTTATGGAAACAATTGAGGCCTTGGATCCAATAACTTTCCCGACGCTCGAAGGCACGCGCTAATACCAGTCGGGTAGCAGTGAGTGGCCCAGAGGCGCTCACTGCTCACTGACTGGCAGTTGCGCGTTCCTCCGAGCGTCGGGCGAGTTATTGGATCCAAGGCCTCAATTGAATTTTTGTCAATAATTTTATAAAATTATTTGTGAACAATTGAATTCTTGGGCAGAATTTTATTTAAATTTTGGAAAATAATTGATTTCTTGCGAAGAAGTTCATTAAAATTTGTATAAGTTGAATAGAATTCCTGCGAAGAAATTTTTTATTTATTAAAAAAATTGAATTTCTGAGAAGAATTTTGTTATTTATGGAGATAATTCAAGTTTTATCAATGATTTTATAAAATTACTTGGAAATAATTGAGGGCTCGAATCGAAGAACCGACGCTTATAAACGCACAGAACATTGCGAAGCGTCGGTTCTTCAATCTGAGCCCTAAATTGAATTCTTTTCAAGAAGTTCATTAACTTTTAAAAATTGAATTTTAGAAATTTTTTTTTATGAAGAATTCAATTCTTGTCAATAATTTTATAAAATTATTCATAAACAATTGAATTCTTGGGGAGAATTTTATTTAAATTTTGGGAAATAATTGAATTTCTGTGAAGAATTGTAATATTTATGAAGTTAAATGAATTCTGTCCAGAAATTATTTTAGAATTTTTAAAAATAATCGTATTCCGGCGAAAAAATTTGTTTTTTTTTAAATTGAATTTCTGCTAAGAATTTTATTATTTATGAAGATAAATGAATTGTTGTAAAAAATTTTATATATTTTTTAAAAAATATTTAAATTCCTAAGAATTATTTTTGAAAATAATTTAATTCTTGACATGAGTTTTATGTAAATTTTTGAAAATAATAGAAATGTTTTGAAGAATTTTATTAAAACGTTTGAAAATAAAAGAGAATAATTAGTTAATTGCATTTGTAATTACAATATTTTTAATTGTATAATTTTTTTTGTCACCTTCTTGTCACCTATTTTCAGAAAATTATTCACCTTTTCACTTATTTTAGGAGTAAAAGATTCTGTGATCCCTGTTATTAAAGAAAACAAAAAAAATGAAGTAAGAATTTGACTAATGTAAATATTAATTTTTCAGTGTAGCGTCGAGGCAGAAAAGTCCAACGAGGAGGATATCAAAGGTGAAAAAGAAGAATCAGCGGATTACGAGGACAAAATGGATTTCTCATTGAATCCAGACGCAAAGGAATTCATTCCGCCATCGATGGCGTATTCACAACGTCAAATTATTCAGGATTATCCCATTTCTGGTTCTCCACTGAAGCAACCGCCACAAGTAATGGATAATATCGATATTCCAAGTGAGGAGGAATTTGAGAAAGGATTTTCCGAGAGGCCACAAGATATCGAGGGAGGAGCAGCCTCTCCATTATCAAAACCACTCGAATCACTTCTTGACGATTCGGAAATTTCCTCGACAAAAGCTGAATTTGGCGATGAATCCACCACAAGTTTTCTCACCACCACCAGTGAATTTCCACGAAACGAAGTTTCTGCGATGGATTATTCGTTTGTAAGTGCCGACCGCGGTGACTATGACATCGCCAAAGATCCAATGGCAATGTCCTACACACCCGACGATTTTCAAGCGGCTTTCGAAAAAGATGAAGACGAAAATCAAGTCGATCTCAATGCAGTTCACGATTTAACAGACGTCGATTTCTCCGATAATGTCAATGGCTTTGAGAATGATGTCACGGAGAATTCCGATGATAGTGGAGAAAAAAAGGAAATTTCCCCTTCCCCTTTTGTCGAAGAGCCCGAAGCGCAAGCTTCGTTGAATCCCTTCAATATGGACACATTGAAAGAGACGTTAAACGAGGAAAATATGAGATCGGTCAAATATTCCGAGACATCGTCTGACAATATCGATGACACTTGTTTAATTGACACTAAAGTGCCTTCCGCCGAAGATTCACAAAAATGGTCAGAGTCCGATAATTCGCAATATCGAGATTTTCCCTTCGAGTCAAAAATTGCCAATCATCCAGAAGTTGTCGAGAAGAAGGAGGAAATTCACCAGAATAGTGAAAATTCTTATCAAAATGATCTTTTCGAACAAAAGGAGAATTTACTCCTAAAGGAAGAAAATCATTTCGATAATGAAAATAAGTACGAAAATGAGAAGAATAACTTTGAAAATAGTGAAACTCATCAATTTGAAAATAATGAAAATATTTTTGAGAAGAAGGAAAATCAGGAATGTTTCATTGAGAGTAAAGAAGAACTTTTAGAAAATAAGGAAATTCTTTCAGAGAATGAAGAAATTCTCTTAGAAAATAAGGAAATTCCAATAATGGAGAATAAAGAAATTTTATTTGACAATAAGGAAATGGAAAATAAGGAAATTCTTTTAGAGAAAAATGAGGTGAATTCCCCAGAAACAGAGAGACCTGATTTTGAGCCGGAAATTCAAGATTTTGAATTTGATCCTGAAATACAAGAGAAATCACAAACGCAATTTGAATTGAGTTTAGAGGAAGATCATTTGGAAAATGATTTAGGGAAATTTGACGATGTAAAATCGAATCAAATTGAGAGTGAAAATGTCGATGTGAACAAAGATTTTGAGCAGAAGACAAATTATGCGCCTCTTTTGAATTTATCGGAATCACTGCAAGAATTCACGGGATTAGAACGGCAGATTAATGAAACAAAGGATTTGGAAAATATTGAATATGCACGTGTCACGGAGACAGCAATTTCCAAGGAGAATATTGTCGTTGAGCAGAAGGAAACCGTTAACGAAGAGGATTTAGTTAATCTCGAGAGTTTGAAAATTGAGGAACCAAAAAGCGAAACTCCTGCTGTTGACACTACAACTGCTGCTGTGATTGCAGGTAAAGTAAACATTACTATTTTCAAGAACTTAAATTAATTATATTTTATTTAGTATTAAAATTATTATTATTACTAGCAAATATGACGCACGAAACGCGATATTCAATTTAATTATTAGGCAAATTGAAAAACTTTTTATTCTTAAACATCAACTTCCAATTTTTAATAAGTTTGGATAATTAATAAAAATTCAATTCTAATCAAAAACATAATTCAATTAAAATTGTATTGAAAATAATTTAAGCTGTTATATAGAATTCTGTTAAATTATTTTTAAAAAAATTGAATTCTAATCGATTCAATAGAATTAAAATTTTATTATTTATGCAAAGTTATTAAAAAATTAAAGTTGATTTTTGGCAGGAATTCAACTATTATTAATAAAATTTTATAGAAGTGACTTGAATTATTTTCAATACAATTTTAATTAAATTCGTTTAAAAAATTTTCATGAAATCAATTTTTTCAGAAATAATGAAATTTTTCGCAAGAATTTCATTACTTTTAAAACAATTTGAATATAATTCTTCGCAATAATTCAATTACTTTCATAAATAATAAAATTCTTTCTTTTTCTCTAAAGGATTTTTTTATTTATGAAAATAATAAAATCCTCCTCAAAAATGCAATTATTTTAATAAATAATAAAGTTCTTTAGAGAAATTCAATTAAGTTTGTAAATATGTAAAAAAATTTTTTAGAAGAATTCAATTATTTTCAGAAATAATAAAATCCTTTAGAAAAAATCAATTATTTTCAAAACTTTTTATGAAATTCTTTATAAGAATTCAATTATTTTCATAAACAAAAAAATTCTTTGCAGGAATTTAATTATTCTTATTTCTTAAATACAATTATAATAAAATTTCTCGAAAGCATTCAATTATTCTGAATCTAATTTTAATAAAATTTTTCGCAGGAATTCAATTATTTTCATAAATAATAAAGTTTTTCTCAGAAATTCAATTTTTTGAATAAATTTTTAAAAAAATTTCTTAAAACAATTCAATTATTTTCATGAATAATAAAATTCTTCTAACAATCTAAATTATTTTTAAAATTATAATAAAATTTCTCGAATACATTCAATTATTTTTAATCTAATTTTAATAAAATCTTTCGCAGGAATTCAATTATTTCCGTAAATATAAAAATTTATTTTTTGAAATTCAATTCTTGTAATAAAATTTCTTGAAACAATTCCATTATTTTTATAAATTTAATAAATATCTTAAAAGATTGAAATCATATTCATAAATAATAAAATTCTCCTAAGAAATTCAATTATTTTCAAATTTCAATGTAATTTCTAAAAACAATTTAAAAATATTGAATTATTTTCATAACTAATTAAATTATTCGGAAAAATTCAATTATTTAAAAAATTTTAATACAATTTTAATACAATTTTTTTCGCAGTAATTCAATTATTTTCAACAGAATTTTTATAAAATTTCTCGAAAGAATTCAATTATTATTTTTAATGAAATAGTAAATAGAATTCTAAATAACAACATTGAATGAGTTTCAATATAATTTCAATTAAATTCATCTAAAAATGCATTGCAAGAATTCAATTATTTTTAAAAATATTAAAACTCTTTGCAGAATTTGAATTATTTTTTCAATAAAATTTTAATAAAATTTATCAACAAGATTCAATTATTCTTTAAATATTTTAATAAAATTCTTCTCTGAAATTCAATTATTTGATCGTAATAATAAAATTTTTCTCTGAAATTCAATTATTTGAATCGTAATAATAAAATTCTTCGTAAAAATTCAATTATTTACACAATAAATTGGATAAAATATTATTTTTGAATTCAATTATCTTTTTAAAGTTTAATAATTAAATTCAAAATCAATTATTATTATAATAACATTTATTGGAGGAATTCAATTCTTTTTTAATCAATTTTAATAAAATTCTTCGAAATATTGTAATTATTTTCAAAAATTTTAGTTAAATTCAGTAATATAAATTAATTAGATTTAATGAGTTTAGTAAAATAGAAATTTATAAAATTAGAATTCTATTCATTCAAAAATCAATGCAAAAATTAATTAATTACAAATTCAAAATAACAAACGTTACAAAAATTATTTTCTATGTAATTTTTCAAGTATTATTTCTCGAAAGAATTCAATAATTTTTAAAATATTAATAAAATTCTTGGAAATAATTTCATTTTTCGTATAAATAATAAAATTCTTCTTGAAAATTCAATTATTCGTATAAATAAAAAATTCTTAGAAATTCAATTATATTTTGTATAATTAAATCAAAGTTTAAAAAGATTTAAATTATTTCCATAAGTAATAAAATTATACATAGAAATCCAGTTATTTTTCAAGAAACAATTTTAATAAAATTTCTGGACAGAAATAAAATATTTTTAAAAATTCTCTGAAAGAATTCAATTCCTATTTTAAAAACAATTTTAATGAAATTTCTGGATTGAAATCAAATATTTAAAAATAATTCAAAGAAATTCTTTGTAGGAATTCAATTATTTTTATAAATTTATAAATTGCGTCGAAAATTCAATTATTTAAATACAAAAATTCAATTCTGTTTATAATAATTGTAAATGTAAAGAGTTCTTCATAATTTTTTCTAATAAAAAAAGTTATAAAGATTAATTATTAAGAGTATAAAAATATTGAAAATAGTTTATTTTTAAACAAATAATTTCAAAAAAAAACTTTAAAATAGTTGTTTGAAAATATTTCTTATTAATTTTTTAAATATAATAATAATTTCAATTAGAAATATATATTTAATTAAAAAAAAGTTCAAAATAATTGAAAATTAGAGTAAAATTTCTTTTTAAATTATTAAATTTTTTAAAGGAATTTTTGGAAAATATTTAAAAATATAATTAAAATTTTTAAAGAATTTTTTCAAAATAAATATGAAAATACTGATATTAAAAAATTTTATTATAAGTCAAGTGAAGTATATTTTCTACATATTTTAGTTTATTTATTTTGAAAATGATTGAATTTTAAAAAATTAGAAGAAAAAAAAATTCTGAAAAATTGGCCATTAAAAAATTTTATCGCATAATTTTTCGAGAATAATTGAATTAATTTAATAATATAATAATTTTTTAACACTTTTGGAATTTTCGTTACCTTAAACATTCGAGGAGTTGAACTTTCTTGGTTTTGAATTTTCGATGTTTTTAATATTTTTAGGAGTTGAACTTTTGAGGTTTTGAATATTCGAGGAGTTTTTGAATTTTCAAGCTTTTGAATATTCGGGGAGTTGAACTTTCGAGGTTTTAAATTTTCGAGTTTTTGAACATTCGAGAAGTTGAACTTTCGAGGTTTTGAACATTCGGGGAGGTGAACTTTCGATGTTTTGAACTTCCGAGTAGTTGTAAATTTCAAAATTTAAAAACCATAATAATGTATTCGTCGAAAATGTATTTGACTGCTTGTAGTAAATAAATTGAATAGCGGGATTTTCGCGTAGTATTTTCTGGTAATAATAATAATATTAAAATAAATAAACTCCAGGTTTTTTTATGTAAATTAAATAACATATTATTATTATTATATTATTATTATAATAATGATTATTTCTATTGTTTATTAAAGGCGCTACAGTGGCGGCGACTGCAGCAGCTGCGGTAGCAACGAAAAAAGCAACGGCAACAAAAACATCGACGACAAAGACAACGTCATCGAAGGCTCCAACAAAATCGGTGCCAACATCACCGACGAAAACGGCGCGAGCAACCACTGCAAGTGCAACTGCCAAAAAACCAACAACTGGCACAGTATCGAGACCAAAACAATTGGATACCAAGCAAACGACCAGCAATTCTGCCAGTAAATCGGCTGCCTTCAAAGCGGCACCAGTTCCAAAAACGAGTTCAATTGCTCCGAAAATTACACCACGTCTCACAACCACCACTGCCGCGAAGCCGAAAAATTTAATTTCATCGCCAAAACCAACAGCAGCTGGCGACAAGAAAACAACACTTAATGGCGATGTGAAAACGTTGGCGAGCAAAGCAACTGCTCCGAAATCGACAACATTAAGAGCAACGACGACTAACACTATCACTAAAACAACACTAGTCAAGTCTTCCTCGGCAACACGTACTTCCACTTCTGCTGCCGCGCCTCCGAAACCAAAACCTGGCGCGATCACCGCCGCGGCCAAAGTTAGTTCCACTGCTAACAGAACTGCCACGGCAACTACCAGGTAACACTTTTCACACAACTTCCATAATTTTTATTTAATTATAATTATTATTTATTTTAATTATAATAAATATTCAAATAAATAAAATAAATAATATTATAGACTTCCCATATGTTAGCGAAATCAATGAACAGTCAGAATAAAATTATTGACAAGAAATCAATTATGTTTATAATAGACAAATTTCTCGACAAGATCCAACTTTTTCACTGAGAAAAAAATTTATTTGATTCAAATAACCTTTTTACTTGACTATTATCAATTAAATATTTACTTGAATAAAATAATTTTTGATTGAGTCAATTAAATGTCATTTGCTCTAAATACTGAAATTATTGGTTCAAATACTATTTAATTGACTCAAATAAAAATTAATTGATTCAAGTAAATATTTAATTGATAATAGTTAAGTTGCCGGCTATTTGAGTCAAATAAATTTTTTGTTCAGTGTCATAATTTTAATGAAATTCTTTAAAAGCATTCAATTGTTTTCAAAATTTTTAATACAATTTCTCGAAAGAATTAACATTTTTTTTTTTTAATAACATAGATCACAGTATCTTTTACCCTTAAAATAAGTGAAAAGGTGAATAATTTTCTAAAAATAGGTGACAACAGGGTGACAAAAAATTGTATAATTAAAAATATTGTTATTATAAATGCAATTAACTAATGATTCTCTTTTATTTTCAAAAGTTTGAATAAAACTCTTCAAAACATTTCCAATATTTTCAAAAATTTTCATAAAATTCTTGTCCAGAATTCAATTATTTTCAAAAATAATTCTAAAGAATTCAAATATTTTTAAAAAATTTCATAAAATTATTGACACGAATTCAATTGTTTTCAAATAATTTTTTTAAAAATGTATTGTCAAGAATTTAATTATCTTCATAAATAATAAAATTTTCCGCAGAAATGACATTTTTTAAAGTAAATAACAAATTTTTTTGTCGGAATTCGATTATTTTCGAAAATTCTGAAATAATTTCTCGAAAGAATTCAATTTACTTCATAAATACTAAAGTTTTTCACAGAAATTCAATTATTTTCCAAAATTGTAATAAAATTATTGACAAGAATTCAGTTATGTTCTTAAAAAAAATTCCAAAAATCAATTTTTGAAAGTTAATGAAATTCTTTGAAAGAATTCAATTATTTTCAAATAATTTTATAAAACATTTATAAAAATTCAATTATCTCCATAAATAACAAAATTCTTCGCAGAAATTCAATTTTTTTAATAAATAAAAAATTTCTTCGCCGCAATTCTATTCAACTTTTAAAAATTTTTAATGAAATTCTTCGCAAGAATTCAATTATTTTCCAAAATTTAAATAAAATAGTAATGAAATTCTTCGAAAGAATTCAATTATCTTTTAAAATTTTAATAATTTTTTTTGCAGAAATTCAATTATTATTAAAAATAATAAAATTCTTGTTCGGAATTCAAATATTTTCAATACAAATTTTAATAAATTTTTTTCGAAGAATTCAAGTTTTCACAAATTTTAATAAAAATTTTCCCAAAAATTCAATTATTCAATATTATAATTATATTTTTATAAAATTTTTTCACAGGAATTTTATTATTTAATAAAAAATTTCATTAAAATTCTTTAAACGATTTAAATTATTTTCAAAATTTTTGCAGAAATTCAAATACATATATTTAGAAAAATTTCAATCAAATTCTTGGAAAGAATTCAATTATATTCATAAATAATAATGTTCCCACCAAAAAAACAATTATTTTTAAAAATTTTAGTAAAATTCATCGTAGAAATTCAACAACTTTTATAATATAATTAAAATTTAATTTTTGGAATGAATTGAAGAATTTTTAAAATTTCAAAATCAAACAAAATCAACAAGAATAACAACAGACAGGTATTCAAAATACAACGAATATTAATATTTCAGAAATTGAATTAATTAAAAGAAGAATTTTTAAAGTTTCAAAATTACACAATTTTTTTTTTTAAATTACATTTTTCATTTTTATACAATTTAATGAAATTTCTCGAAAAAAATCAATTATTTTCAAAATTTAATAGAATTCTGCCGCAGAAATTCAATTATTTTCATGAATAACGAAATTCATCCGATGAATTCAATTATTTTGAATATAATTTTAATAAAATTCTTCCCATGAATTGAATTATTTTCAGAAATAATAAAATTCTTTAGTTTTTTTCATAAATATTTATAAAATTCTTTATATGAATTTAATTATTTTTAATAGAATTTTAATTGAATTGATAGACTTTAATTATTTTCAAAATTTTCAAGACAATTTGAATTGAATTTTTCGAATGAATATAAATATTTTCATAAAATTCTATGCAAAAATTAAATTATTTTAGATTTAAAATTAAAAAAAGTTACAAAAATGACAAAAAGTAGTAGGTAGGTATAAAAATTAGTAAAAAGAGAAAGTATTAAAAATTTTATCTTTTAAACTAGAAGAAATTTCACATATTAACGTAAAATAGTGGTAAATAAATTAATTTCAAAATTTTTCTGCAATAATATTATCACAGAACTGATTCTCTAAATTTGAATTGGTAAAAATTTGAACTAATTAGAATAGAAGTGATACAGAATTTCTAAAAATTAATTTTTTTAATTCCACATAGAATAGGATATTAAAATTTTAAAAAAAACCTATTTTGCATTAATATTAATTAATTTTACTACAATAATTTATAAGTAACTATTTTTATATTTTAGAATATTACTTTAATATTATTAATAGGTATTATAAAACTAAATTTAAATAATAAATTTCAAAAATAAATTTCAAATACTTATTTGGATTATTTTTGTATTGGAAAATAAAAAGTAATTTTTTCTTCCCCAGGCCGAAAACGGCACCAGCCACAACTGGATTATCAGCAGGAACAGCAAAATCTCGTGTATCAGCAGCAAAATCGCCGATGATCGATAAGCAGATAAAGGAAACAGCAAACAAGCAAATTTCTTCTCGCGTAAGTTCGGCGCCTTTGAAAACGAGCCGCGTCACCGGAACAACAACATCATCATCAACTGTCTCAGCGACGACAACCGTGAAACGCACTTCGACATTAAAAACTTCGACAGCAACATCGCCAACAAAAAAAGCAAGCGCACCACTAACAAAAGCAATAACTAAACCATCGTCCATCACAAAAATAACTGGAAAAACTTTAACGAAAAGCAGTAAACCCGTTGTTCAAAATGGCAATTGCGAGATAAAGAAAATTGAAAATGTTGTCACGACGACAATGACGACAACAACAACAACAAATATCGAGGAAGATGTGCCTAAGAAAGATATTTCTCCAATCGCACCTCCCACTGACAATCAATTAATAATCACCGAGTGAATTCGGTTTCATTAAACTCGAGAATTCGATACAGTTTTTTTTTATAATACTGGGCTTTCTATTGTACGTTGCACCAATAGGATGTTTTGTAAGTTTTTTTTTTTCAAAATCCGATCGGCGACGGCTCTTCGACCACGTTTCATCACCAAAAAAAAAAAAAATTTGTCCCTTTTTTTGTCCTATTTTTTTAATTGTACATTTTGTTTTTTCCGTTTTGTTTGTTCCGTTACTTGAATCTCTTTTTAAATTATTTTTAAATCACACATCTTCCAGTTTGGATATTAATTATTTTATTAAAACATTTTTTAACCAGCTAAAGTGAACAAGTTACATTAAACTTCCTGACAATTTTGCCGGTTCGTTTTTTTGAAAGTTTTTCTACAGAAATGAAGATTTTGTCAGATTTTGACAAAATTTTTACAACTCAGAGAATTCTTATGTGTTAAAAATCTATTTTACAAAGAAAAAAAGCAAAGGTCACACCTTAAATCAAGTCAATTTTTTTTAAACATTGACACTTTTTTACCGAATCTTTTTCTATAAGGGAAAAGAATTTTTTTTTGTCAAAAGAATCCTTTTTTTAAATTATAAATTTTTTTCTGTATTTTTTTATATGTTGAAAGAGAATTGTTTTGGTTATTTATATTTATTAGGTTTTTATATTTTGTCGGGAAATTTGAATTTTTAAATTCATTAAAAGAAATACAAGTAAAAAAAACTGATTATTTGTTTATAAAAAATGATGGGTAACAATTTTTTTTATTTCAATAAAATTGGATTTTTCTGTTTATAAAAATTCGATGTTTTTTTTTTACCGAAGGAAAGTTTTTTTTCTAGAAAAAGAAAAAATTTTTTTCTTCAAAAAGAAAGAATTTTTTACCGAAAGAAAGATTTTTTTCTACAAAAAGAAAGAATATTTTTACCAAAAAAAAATTTTTTTAAATCAAAAGAAATGAAATAAATTTTTTATTCAATAATTAATTTTATTGATTAAAAAATATTTTTTTGGGGAATTTTCTTTTAAATTAAAAATCTTGACTTTTAAAAGTTAAAAAGAAAAAAGTTCAATTCCTTAGTCAAAAATTAATTTTATTGCTTAAAAAATAAATATTTGCTGAATTTTCTTCTAAATTAAAAATCTTGACGTCTTGCAAAATAAGAAAAAATTTAAATTAGTCAGAAATTAAATTTTATTAATTAGGAAATAAATTTTTCGGTGAATTTTTTTATATTAAAAATCTTGACATTGTCTTCCAAAAAAACGAAAAAAGTTGAATTCATTTGTCAAAAATTAAATTTTATTGATTAACAAAATAAAAATAAATTTTGTGGTAAATTTTCTTTTAAATTGAAAAACTTGACTTTGAAGAAAGTTAAAAAAAAGTAAAATTTACTAGTCAAAAATTACATTTTATTCATTAAAAAAATTATTGTTTGGTAAAATTTCTTTTAAATAAAAAATCTTGACACTGAAATAAGTTAAAGAGAAAAAAGTAAAATTTCTTTTAGTTTAAAAATCTTGTTTTAGAAAAGAGTGTAAAAAAAGTCAAGAATTAATTTTTATTGATTAAACAATAATTGTTTCGAACAAATTTCTTTCAAATTAAAAATCTGAAACATTGACTCGCAAAAAGCTAAAAGTAAATTTTTGGTAAATTTTCTTTTAAATTGAAAGTCTTGACGTCTGACAAACAAAAAGAAAAATTAATTTTAATGATTAAATAAGTATTTGGTAAAATTTCTTTCGAATTTTAAAAATCCTGACGTTTGGCAAAAATCCGGAAAATGTCAATTTACAGTAAAAAAATTGAATTTTATTGATTAAGAAATAACAAAAAATTCTTTTAAATTAAAAATCTTGATAATTGTCACTTTTTTCGCGACAGATTAGTCGCAAGAAATTTGTAACAACCAAAAAATAGATTTTTCATTCAATCGAATAAAAGAAAAAACAGAAATTGTTAACAAATAAATTTTCGAAAAAAGGAAAAAAAAGAAATTGATATCAAATAAATAAATAAATTTTATTTGATCTCCGCTATATTTTTGTAAACTTTGAAATAATTAAGAAGACAACAATTTTCTACACAAAAAAAAATAAAAAATTTTTTGGGAATGAGCTTGAAGGGTGGGCCTGATCTGTAGTAGGAAACTAATTAAAGTGAATGATGAAGTTTTTAATCTACTTACGTATGATAAACGAATAATATATAGAATATTGAAAGTTATATATTTACCTATTTGAACGTACCGCATTATTGCTTAATTGCTTCGGTGTGCTGTTAAAGTCGCATTGAAACTTAAAAGAAAAAAAAAAGAATTATTCCCGATAGGAAGAGAGGAAGAAAGAATGATAGAGGGAAAGAGAGAAAATGTCTGTGTGCATGTGAGAGAGAAAGTAAGAAAGCTTGATTTTTGTTGTGTAAATAAGCAGTTGATGATGAAGATTATTTGTCGCTCGAAGAGCAATATTAAAGAAAAAAAAAGTAATAAATAAATAAAAGTCGCGTGGTGCTCGTCACGACGTTTTGAAATAAAAACTGTCGTTGAGATTAATGTCAAATAATAAAACCGGGCGTGATCGTATTTTTGTTTCTTTTTTTTAAAAAAAAAAGTGTGACAGTTTTTTTTTTGCTACGAATTTAGAAATTTTGTTTGCTTCTTGAGAAAAAAAAAGAATTGTTGAAAAAGCGCATGGAATTGCTCCTGTAGGAGAGAAACAACCTTCTTTGGAAAGTAAGAAACATTTTACAAAATAGATCGACTTGTTTTTAATTTTCCTTTTGCATGATGATAAAAAAATTTTTTAGAAACAAAATAAAATGCTTCTTTTATTTAAAAAAAAAAAAAAAAATAGGTTTCTTACTATCGAGAGAAGGATAAACATTTTTTATATTTTTTAATTTTATATGTGCATTATAATAATTCATAATTATTCATCGTACATTGTAAAACCTATTTATTTTGTTTGTTCCTATCCGACAAAAAAAAAAAAAAAAAAAATGTTGAGTACTATATAAAAATCAACGAAATCGTCACCAACCTAATTGTACTATCGTCTATATGTACAGCACCCTTATGATTTAATGTGATACCTTATTATTAAACAAATTCGACAGTATAAAAATAAAGTTTATTAAAAAAAAATTGAAAAGTGAAAATGAAAATTCCATTGAGATGATGCATATTTTTTTATGCAATCATTTTTTTTTTTTTTGGTAAACACTTAGAACTTATCTACTAAAACTTACGATTTACTACTTTTTTACGCTTTGCTACTATTTGGATATTTTTTTTTAAATTTGTGACACTAAAAACTACTTTTTTCTTCTTCTTTTTTTGAAAATTTGCATTATACTTTAAATCTGCTAATAGTTGAAATAAAAAAATTATTCACAAAAATTTTAATAAGATTCTTTGAAACAATTCAATTGTTTTAAAAAATGTTAAGAACATTTTTCTTAAGAATTCAATTATTTTCACAAATAACGAAATTCATCGCTTGAATTCATTATTCGCAATATCGACAATTTTTAGTAAGGCTGCGTCTACAACAGAAAAAATAATGTGTAGAAAATTGTGTAATATATAGTGTAATTGCCTCTGACAGTTGTCAATGCCAAAAACAATACACATTACACTACAAATTACACATTATTTTTTTCTATTGTAGACGCAGCCTAAAATTTCTCAAAAGAATTTAATTATTTTGAACAAATTTTATTTGAATTCTTTGCAATTATTCAATTATTTTCACAAATATTCAGATTCTTCGCTGTAATTCAATTATTTTCGATAAGATTTATCAAAAAAAAAAAATCAATTATTTTCAGATATAATAAAATTTTTTCATAGAAATTCAAGTATTTAAAATCCAATTATAGAAAATTTTTCGAAAAAAATTCGCAATATTCTATTAAAATATTTCTTTAAAATTCTCGGAAAGAATTAATTATTTTCAAAAATTTTGGTAAAATTTGTATGTATATAAAAATTTAATTATTTTCATAAAAAGTAAAATTTATCCCAAAGAATTCAATTATTTTTAATAAAATTTTAATTAAACTATTCCAAATAATTAAATTATTCTTTCAAATTTTAATAAAAGGCTTCCAAAAAAATTCAATTATTTCCAGAAATTTTAAATTAAATCAAAATCAAATCAAAATATTTCACAGGAATTCAATTTGTAATAAAACCCGTTGCAAGAATTCAATTATTTTCACAAATAACGAAATTTTCAAACGAAATTCAATTATTTTTGCAAGTAATGAAATTTTTAACTGATATTCAATTATTTTCAACAAATAATAAAATTTAATTAAACTAAACTAAAATTCCGCGCTGAAATTCAATTATTTTGAAAAATTTTAAGAGCATTTTTTTTAATTCAATTATTTTCACAAGTAATGAAATTCATCGATGGAATTCAATTATTTTTAATATCTACAATTTAGTAAAATTTCTCAAAAGAATTTAATTATTTTGAATAAATTTTAATTGAATTCTTTGCTAGAATTCAAAAAATCAAATTTATGGAATTCTTTGCAATTATTTAATTAGTTGAATTTCGTATAAATTTAAAATGGTAGTTTAGTAAGTATTTTAGAAGGATTGAAACTAAAAATTTGGACAATAATGGAATTTTAGAAAAATTTAGAATTGAAGGTATTACCACAATAAGAAAAAAAGTGAATAATTTTTATGGAAATAAGGAAAAAGTCCCGGATATACAGAATCAAGTTTTTGTTATTTTTGTAAATCGACAAATAGAGTTTTTCAGTCTTAATGGATGTCTCTCTTAATACTGCTTTTTACTCGCACTTGTCTGATTTTTTAAAATTAATTATTGCTGAAAAAATGAAAAAAAAATGAAACGAAAACTTTTTGTCGCAAATTCTTATTTATGTATCATAATAATTAATTATGATAATTAGAGTCGATGATTAGACATTGATTAATGGAAACGAATTAATTCGTTAATCAATGAAGTTCATTATTAATTAATATTCATCAATTACTTCCTACTTTATCAAGAAATAATTTAACCTAACTGGATAAAAATAAAATAATCAGAAATTCTAGATAAAAAGTTTATTTAAAACTTGATTTAAAATTAATGATTGCCTAAAATTCGAAAAAAATTACATTCTCTTGTAGTAACGAGTTCCCTTTGCGCCAGTGTTCTCGTCCGATAAATGCTGAAACAGTTAATTTTCAATTTTTAAACACTATTTTAATATTTAATTTTAATTTAATTTAATTGATCAAAAAAAAAATTCGTTAAGATTAAAATATATAATTTATTTTAAACGAGTTATTGATTTTTAAAGGTCACTTTTTCTGAAAAATATTTTTTTATCTTCCTTTCTGTTAAAAAGAAAAAGCCTTTTTTAATAAAATCACTTTTCTAAAAGAAGAAATTTCTAATAAGTTTTGATTTCTAAAATATATTTTTTAAAAAATAAAAAAAATAAATTATGTCTAAAAATTTTAACTGTAAAAATTCCAAAACTTTCATTACTTATTTTCCACAATTTTTTTACAAGTTTTCCTCTCTAATTTTAAATTAAACTCTTGTATTTTTTGGTTCAAATAAGAAAACAAAAGTAATTGAACTTTTTTTGGAAAATAATTTTTAGAAATTGAATTTTGTTTTGGAAAATAATTTTTAGAAATTGAAGTTTATTAGAAAAATTTAATTTAAAAAATAAAACTTGATTAGAAAAAAGAATAGAAAAAAAATTATTAATCTTTTAGAAAAACTGTCCTTCAAAAAATGAAACTTAATTATAAAAAAGAATAGAAAAAAAAATTAGAAATCTTTTAGAAAAACTAAAAAAATTATTAATACAAAAAATAATAATTGAAATTTAAAATAAATAATCGTAATAAATAAAAATTAATGAAATTAATTAAATCATTAAATAATCGTTAAAATAAATAAGAATAATAAAGAATAGATAATAATAAATAAATTATTAAATTAAATTTTTTAAAAATAATACTTACGACAGTAATTCCATTTTCTGTGAATTCGTAAACACGGACGGATTTATTTCCATTGGGAAGTTCCGTTTTAGTTGTGAATTTGTCACCTTCTTGCGTCGTTAAACTCTGAAAATATTATTCATTGAAAAAAACGTGTAAAGTATAATATATATAATTTTTGTCATTTTTATGAATACTTAAGTTTCCATTTTTTTTTCAATACTTGGAAATACGGAAATATTTCTATTTTCATAGTCATAAAAAAAGTCTAATTGTAAATAATTGTCATATGATTTTGTGATAATTCTAGCACTGAAAATTTTAAGGTAGTCTATTGCGCAATAGTCTTAACAAAAAGTAAATACTTTATAAATTGAGTTAATTTTATGTTTCCATTTATCTTTCTCAGATGATCATGATTATGATAATAAAAGACAAAATAAGATGAATAAAAATTTTTGCTAGTTTATAAAATTTATATAACTGTTTTTTTAGATTGTCGCACGATATGTTTTGTTAATTTTTTTAATTCATTTTATTATTTCCATCTTCAGGAATTTTTTTGTTTCTTTATTTATTTATTTTTGTTTATATCATTTTTTTGTTTCTTTATTTTTTTATTTTTGTTTACTTCAATTTTTTGTTTATTTTCAATATAAACGGAACTTGCCTTTTCGTACAAAAAAACTTTAAAAATTTCTTTTTATTCAAACAATAATTTTTGTTTAAATTTTTTTCAATTTCAGTTTTTAAAAAAAAATGTAAAAGCATGAAAAATTATTATTTTAGTTTCATTTATCTATTTATGAAATTTATAAATTGGAAATTTGTTGATTCAATTTCAATTAATTATGAAGTTCATAATATTTTTCTTTCAATTTCAATTATTTATAAATATGATGAAAAAGAAATATCCATTCTTTCGTTCGAATTTCAATTATATTTGGAAATTAATTGAAATGGAAAATAGAAAATTTTTGTATAAATTTCGATTATTTACAAAATTTATAAATTAATTAATAGAAAATGGAAAATTTTTGTTTCAATTAAAATTATTTTTAAAATTTATAAAATAAAAATTGTTTATTACAATTTGATTTTTGATTCAGTTTCAATTATATTAATAAGTGGAAAAATGGAGAATACAAAAATTGTTGTTTTAATTTCAATTATTTGTAAAATTTATAAGTTCGAAAATGCACCAATTTTTTTCAATTTCAATTAATCATAAAATTTAGGTATAAATTTAATAATGGAAAATCGAAAAATTTTGTATTAATTTTTATTATCTATTTAACTACAATAATTGAATTATTTCAAAAACAAAAAATTTTGTAAATTTAATTATTTTACAAATTTTTAGTTACAATTCTTCAAAAAAAAAAATAATAATATTAAAAAATAGGTTTTTAAAGTTAGAAAATAAAAATCTTTAAAAGATAAAATTTATTTTAATGAAAGTTAATAATTTTTTTCTATTTTTTCCATTTTTTAAAATTATTTTCAACAATTATTCAACTATGTATTTTCAAAAAATTTTAATTGCCTTCTTATATATTTTTCCAGCAGGAATTAAAATTTCAAAGCACTTTGAATGGAAATATTCAATGGAAATGAAATTTTACATTTGGAAATTTAATTGAAATTACAAGTGAAATTCTTCCAATTCTTAAAATATTTACGAAAATTTGAACTGAAATTCATTGTCAAGTAAATTTTTATCAAAAAGTTGTAGGAGAATTAAATTATTTAAATTCAAAAATTTTTTGTAAAATTGAATTATTTTCCAAATTTTTAATTACAATTCTTCAAAAAACACAAAAAAAAATAATCTTTTAAAGTTTGAAAATAAAATTCTTCGAAATAAAAAAATTTATTTTAATGAAATTTGAGAAAATTTTATATTTTTTCAATTTTTTAAAATTATTTTCGAAAATTGAACAATTTTCAAAAAATTTTAATTGCAATTTTTTAAAAAAACCCATTTTTTCTGAATTTCTAAACAGAATTTTTCAAATTTCATCAATTGAATGTTTTGATAAATTTTATTCAAAATTGTATTGAAAATAACTGAATTTAGACGAAGAAAATTGTTATTTATGAAAATAATTGAATTCTTATTGAGAAGAATTTCATTTAATTTTTAAAATCTATTGAATTTTAGCGAAGAATTTTATGATTTAAAAAATTAATTGAAATCTCACGAAGAATATTATTATTTAAGAAATTAATTAAATTCTGGCGTAGAATTTGATTACTTTTGAAAATAATTAAATTCTCGCGATCAATTTTATTATTTATAAGAATAATTGAAAAATTTATTAAAATGTACTAAAAAATAGTTGAATTCTGGAGAATAATTTTATTAAATTTTTTATGTATAGAATTGAATTCATTCTAATAATTTGGTTAAAATTATGAAAATAATTGAATTCTTGTGAACAATTTTATTGAAATTTTGAAAAATAATTCAATTCTTCTTGAAAATGTTATTAAAATTATATGAAAATAATTGAATTCCTTCGAAGAAATTCATTTAATTTTGAAATATAATTGAATTCTGGAGAAGAATTTTATTAATTATGAAAATAATTCCCGCGAAGAACATTATTATTTATGAAAATAATTCAATTCTTGCAAAGAATTTTATTAAAAATATTATAAAAAGAAAATAAATTTTTTCTGTAAAATTTATTTAAATTGTATTGAAAATAATTTAATTTAGGAGTAGAGACAAATTTTAGTTATTTACAAAAATAATTGAATTGTTCTAAAGAATTTCTCTTTGAATTTTTTGTAATTACAATTGAAAATTTTTAAAATAATTGAATTTTACGAAAAAATTTTTCAAGTTATTAAAATAATTTTATTTATTAATAACTGTAATTGAAAATTTTATTATTAAAAATTATTAAAATCTTTTTGCGTAATAATTCAATTGTTTTCAGAATTTTATTACAATTTTTTAAAATAAATGAATTCTTTTCAGAACTTTATAAAAATTTTACTGATGAAAATAATTAAATTCCTGAAGAAGAATTTTATTTTTTATAAAAATAATTTATTTCTTGCTTCGAATTTTTTTAATTGAAATATCAAATAATTTAAATCTAAAACCTTTTGAAATAATTAATTATTTCTAAAAATTACAAGTGCAATTTTTGCAGAAGTTAATTATTTCTTAGAATTTATTATTATATTTTATAATAATAATTGGATTCAATCTCATTAAATAAATAAATAAATAAATAATAATTTATAAATAAAAAAAAATCTGTCTGTTAAAGAATCGAAAAAATTGTACCTTAAAAATTGAGATTGCAAAACAAGTATTTTTCTTGCAAAAAAAAATTGCAAGAAATGTTAAACTAAATTTCTTCTTCTTGTATTATTTTTGCTATAATAATTTTAATTTATAAATAATAAACTTTTGAATAATTTCCAAATACAATTAAATAATTCAGAAAATTAAAAATTGCATTAAATTGAAAAATGGAAATGAAAAAAAAAAAAAAAAAAAAATACTTGACACCTCTCACCTTCATTGTAACTCCATGGGGCATTGTCTCGTCATAAGGTACACCGAGTTGAAAAGTAGTCGTATTACTTTTTCCATCATTAGAAACAGTGATAGTGTAATCGTCTCCATTATTTCCAACCTCAAGAACTGGCTTGCTCTGTGCAAAAGTTGCAGCTTTATCGGCGTGTTCCTCACCCACCACAGTCTTCAAATATTCTTCAAGATTCTCGCTCCTCTCATGCTCGTATTTTCCAACAATCTGCACCATTTTTTCTTCCTCTCTTCTAATTTTCAATTTAAAAAAAAAAAAGAAAATTAAATTTCTTTCCTTTTTACAGAGAAAAAAAAAGAAAAATTCAAAACTTTCTTCTTCTAATAAAAAAAAAAATTGTCCGCACTTGTGCTTTCGTTTCCGGAGCGTAACAAGTTCTAAAAGTTCTCGGGTGAGACATCCGGCTTTTATAAAGCTTCAGGCAGTGCTCGATTATGCAATGTTGTATCACCAAAGTCTGCCGAGGAGGTTGATCCTCCAGATTAAAAATCATCATCATCATCATCATCATCGAGAGGGAGAGGAGGGAAACGGCCCCCCACGCATCATCAGACATCCAATCTCCGTTGATTTATATGACGCATTCATTGCAAATCGTCGACGAATTCTGTGTGTGAGTGTTTGCAGGACTAAAGAGAAAGACTTTTCATTATTATATTTCCAAGACAATGAGTCTTGAGAGATGAAAAATCGACAAATTTTTAACAAAGATCAATTACTTCGTTCGAGGTGGAGATTTTTTTTCCTTTCAGTTCTGAAACTAATAAAATTAATGAGTTAAACATTTTTGAAAAATAATCTGTAATTTCAAATTATTGAAAATAGTTTTTTATTTCAATAAAATTTTTTTAAAAAAATATTTATAAACAAAATATTTATTATTTATTTTTAAATAAAGAAGAAGAAAAAATATTTTTAACCCAAAAATGATAAATACCATTTTTACGACCAATTTTTTTTTTTTTTTTTTTTTTTTTTGAAAAAATATCTTCGTTATACAATAAAATCTTAGAAGTTGCCACGATGGAAAAAACTAATTGCAGGTAATTTTAACTTCAATGTGTCATAATTTCTTGTATTAAAATAAAAAATGGAGAATAAATCTTGAAATTACTTTTTGTCGAAGTTTATGAAGAATTTGTTAATATTATGAAAATTTATTTTTTATTTAATTTATTTGTTTATTTATTCATTTGTTTATTTACTTCTTTATTTCTGTATTCATTTATTTGTTTATTTATTTATTCATTTATTTGTTTATTTACTTATTTATTTGTTTATTCATTTATTTATTAATTTATTTATTAAAAAGGAAAAGTCTTTAAATGAAAAAAATTTGTACCTCAATTAAAAATTTTAATGTTTATTACCGAAATATTGTTTCTTTTACCATAAAAAATTGTAATATTTTTTCAAATGCAACTTTTGATTAAAATTCAAAAAGTTAAATTCTTTATATCCTTCAAACAAAATAAATTTGAAAATTTGTTTTTTTTTTAATTTAAAGTAGGAAATAATATAAACTGACAACTTCCTGATTGAATTCTTTCTCATAAAACAAAAAAGAAAAAAAAATTAAAATTTTTCCTGACCTTTCATTGAATTATAAATTAAATTATTCAAAAACCTGAATAATTTTATTTATTTTTTTTATTTAATGTTTATTATAATTTATTTTGTTAAATAAGTATTTAAATAATTATATTATTATTCTTTTCCACAGAAATTAAAATATTTTATAGAATTTGAATTTCGAACCTTCGAAATATAATTATTTCTAAAATTGACAACTTCAAAAAAAAATTCCCCTCCAAAATTAAATTATTTTCTATAATTGAGGCTCCGGATCTTAAAAGGTCACTTTTACCATTTAAAATCAATGCTGAAAGTGCCCCTTTAAGATCCGGAGCCTCAATTTTGAAACTAAACTTCTTTTCCAAATAAATTATTTTTTGAGTATTCAATTATTTGAATACAAGAATTCAATTTTTCATAATAATTGCAGTTCACAGTCGAAAATATTTTTAAAAAATTGTCTGTCAAAAAATTATGATAAAAAATTCAAAAAATTAGTTTTTAAAAAATTTGCTAAACATAATTTTTAAAAATAATAGATTTTTCAATTATTTATTTACTTATATTTATTTAATATAAGGGAACTAATATTTACAATCACATAATTGAACAATTACAATATGATTTATTTTTAATCAAAATAATTGAATTTTAGAAAATTCTAATAAAAAAAATTCTATGACAATTTGTTTTTTTTTTAACGAATTTTAAAATAATTTTTAAAAGACAATGAATTTTTCAATTATTTGTTTATATATATTTAATACACGGGAACGAAAATTTCAATTAATAAATAATTGAAAAATTTTCAACTAATTTACTTTTTTTCAAAATAATCGAATTTTAGAAAATTCTAATAAAAAAATCAAAGAATTAGTTTTTGGAAATATTTAAATGTAGTTTTTTTTACAAAATTGTAATGATTCTAAAGAATTAGATTTTTTTAAATTTAATACAATAATGTAATTATTTTTTGTTAACATTTAATATTACGAAAATCTGCTTTAAAAAATCTTGAAAATAATTCAATTTTTAAAAAAAATATTAGAAAATGAACAAGTTTTTGAAGAATCGAAGAATTTTAATTACAAATATGAAAATTGACGATTGTTCCAAAATTTCAATAATAAATCTAGACAAAAAGATTATTAAAAAAAATGTTTGATTTACTTTTTTTCCAAGATAATTGAATTTTCGGAAATATGTACGTAATTGAAAAACTTGAAAACAATTGAATTTTAAAAAATTATAATAATAACAATAATAAACTAATAATTACTGGATTAATTATTATTTATTATTAAATTAAGTTAGAAATTAAAAATTGCAAAGTAAAATATTATCAAGCAATGAAAGGAAGAAGAAGAAGAAGAAGAAGATAAAGTCTAAATTTATTTTTTACGTAAGAAAAAAATGATAAAAAAATGTTTACACGTGCAAAATATTATTTAAAATTATAATTTCATTTTCAGTAACTGATTGTGAAGATAAAAAATATTTGTTTTCTCCATTGAAAAAAAATTGGAAAAACTAAAAAAAAAAAAAAAAAATATTGTCCAAAAAGATGATTCATTCTTTTACGGGATGGGGTAATATGGGATTTTTTTTCCTGAGAACAATTACTGCAAATTTTGAGAAGTGGTATTTGCGACGAATTGAAGTTGAACGATAAGGGGGTCCATTATAGTTGGCAAAAAGAAAAAAAAAAAAAAAATGATCTCGAGACATATTGAGAGTGCAGAATTTGAAAATGTGTGTGCGTGGCCTTGAATTGAATGTTAATTGTCAATGATTACTACACATCAAAGAAGATGAAGTCACGTGATCTCTATTTTATATGGGATGAATGAGCTTATTTCCATTAAGAATATGCAGAGAGAGAGAAAGAAAGACCCTTATACATATATACAAATTTTATTGAATTAGGGTTCTTTTGTATTTGTATAAGTATAGGATGTGAATATCCGCAGTACATATATATCAATCGCACTGTTAAGATAATCTCAAGATTAATTTTTATAAAATCAAATATTAAGGCGAATTTCACATCTCTTCGTAGTCACACAGTCATCACTTTCAGGGATCACACAGCTAGTCCCATTTTTTCCCCCTCTTTTCCCCTTTTTTATCACCTTAAATTAATAAAATCTCCTAAAATACCTAAAATCATCAATTTTCTTAACTCCCTTTTACATTTATTTTTAAGAAAAATAATTATTGTCATTTTTTGTCAAGCTTTTACTTTTCGTAAACTTTGGAAAAATTACAATTTTTTTAAGGGCATTTGAACCTTGATGACGTTTCAGTTTGTGCAAAGCATGTGTGACGTCATCAAGTTTCAAATGCCCTTAAACTTAAAAATTCTTTTATTAAAAAAAAATTAAATTTTTAGAATTCATAAAAAAAAATTCTGAATTTTTGTGTCTTTTTTGTTTGACTCATAAACTATAAAATTACCACGAATTTAAAAAAAAAATATTGTCAGAAATTGAAAAAATTGAAGGTTTTGTATTAGAATACAAAACCTTCAATTTTTTCAATTTCTCACAATAATTTTTTTTTTAAATAACTTAAATCTGAAACAACTATAATAAATTAAATAAATTATTTAATATGAATAATTTTATTTAAATATTTCAATATTAATTCAAAGAATTGCGTTTACAATTTTCATAATTATAAATGAACTTCAAACGGTTTCAATTTGAAATTTTATAAAATTTCAATCTTGAATGAATTTAATTAGAAATCTTATAAAATTTTAATGTTGAATGAATTTAATTAGAAATTTTAATGAACTTAGATTTTTGAAAAATTTTAATAATTCAAAATCTTCTAAAATTAATTAAATTTGTCAACATATTTTTGATTAATTATTAAAAACAATGGATTGATAGAAGAATTTTAGTTAAAAACAATAAAAAAAAAGTTACAAATGATTGCAGAAATTCAATTATTTTCAAAAGTAATAAAATTCTTATCACAAAATTCAATTATGTTCAAAATTTACAAAAAAATCTCGACAAAATACCAATTATTATCTTTATAAATAAAAGAATCTCTTCTTCAAAATTCAATTATTTTCGAAAATTTTAAAAAAATTCCTATCAAAATTTCAATTATTTTCAAAAATTTTCCTCATTTCAATGATTTTCTATAAATACTATTCTATTAAAATTACCGAAAAGAAATCAATTATTTAAAAACTAATTTAATAAAATTGTACGCAAACTTAATTATTTTCATAAATAATAAAAATTTCACAGGAATTAAAATATGAATTACAGTAAAAATATTCTTATAATATAAAATAATGATTTTAACACTCGATACTCTTTGATTATTATAATATTCAAAAAGGTTTGAATTTGAAATTTTTGAAAATCCTAATTCCTATGGAAAAATGATAATAATTAAATATTTAAAATAATTAAAAAAGAAATTGTTTTCAAATAATTTTTCAATTAAAGATATTCGTAAATAAATTTAACAGAAAATTTTTTTTAATAAAATTTTGTATTCTAAAAATTTATAAAAAAAAGAAAAAAGAAAATTTTTTTCAATAAAATTTTGTATTCTATTTTGTATTTTGTTTTCTAAAAATTCAAAAATTTACAGTTTCATTTACAATTAAATTTTCTAATTGCCAAATATAATTTATAAACATTTTTTCCCTTTATTGTTAAAAAACTTTGAATTTTATGAATACAATTGAAATTAAGAAATAAAATTGATGCTAATTATTATATTGTAATACAATAATTTTACAATTACATACAATTAAAAAATGTCCAAAAGATTTGAAATTTGGTAAAATTTCAAAAATTCTAAAATAGTAAATTTTTAAAAATGTTAATTTACTTTGTTCGAAGGTAATTGAATCTTAAAAAATTATTATAAAGAAATTCTAAAAATTAATTTTTTATAAATATTGTAAAGTAATTTTTCGAAAATATTGAATATCGAAAATAATTTAATTTTAAAAAATTAAAACGAAATAAATCAGAAAATTTATTTTTTTCAAAACTATTTTAATATTATTTTTAGAATCTTATTTTTTATTAATTTTTATTTTTATTGAATTTACACTTGAAGATCATTCACAAAAATTTTTAAGAATTCTATTATTTCCAAAATTTTCAATTAAAATTCATTTAAACATTTTAAAAAATTCAAATATCTACAAAAAATAATAATATCTATTGGCGGATTTAAAGTAGAGCAAATTTTCAAAAAAAGAACAAAAATCCAGTTAATAATTAAATAAATAAAATTTAAATAAAATAGAATTCCGATCGGAAGTGGAATGAATAGTGAATTATTATCAGAATATAAAATTAACAATCTGCCATTGCGGCTTTCTTAATCTAAGACCTAAGTCATCACCAATCACGTCTTGTTGCTTTAATTCACTAATTCACCATACTAATTAACCAGTTAAAATAACTGCAACTTGAATTAGTCACTGGAATTCGAATTGTACTCTCGTATATCAATAAATTTCTGCACGTCAAAGAATTTCACTCTGGAAAATATTAATAATTATTTCTTATTTTTTTCCTCAAAATAATTCTCATCGAATTCATCTTGTTTTCAATTTTAATTTTCCATCTTTAATAAGTAATTTTATCGATTTTTAGAACACAATATCGACTGAAAGAAATTCATATTATAAATCGATAAAAAATTAAGTTTTCATAACATTTTGATAACTCTGAATTTCTCATAGTTTTCTCTTTTCGAATGTTTACTTTATCTCATTCGTTCCGCAGCAATAAAATCCTCCCTCATAAATAATTTTGACATTTTTTTCTTCAAATAAAGCTTAAAGTTTTATAAAATTGTTCCACCTTTTTGTTTGTTTAACATTATTTTTTTTCAAACTGTCGCCTCGAATGTTGCAAAAGAAGAGAATTCCTAGAAAAAATTATCTTTCAAAAAAATAGATTAGAAAATATTTCAGAAAAATACGAAGAAAAATACTGTGAAAAAAATTCTTTTTTATTACAAAATAAATTTTAATATTTAAGCATTTTCTTATGAAATCTTTTTTTTTTATAATTAAAACTTCTATTTTAAAATTCAAAATCGAAGTGATAAAAATTACCGACTCCTTCATTAGAGTTCATTATTCAGCGAAAAAAAATGTTCAATGCAATCTAATAATAATTTTTTTTTCATCGAAAGATAACGTTAAAATTGCCTCTTATTTTTATTACTGTCCACCAGATGTTTGGGATTATAAAGTATCGGAAATTCTTTTGACGTAATAAATTAATCCTGAAATACCAATTTGATTCTACTTTTTCTATTTTTATTATTCGCAGATTTGATAAAACACAAAATGATCAAAAAAAAAATTTTTTTATTCTTCTTTTTTTAAATATTGAAATAATTTTCAACACTTTCGAAAATAATTGAAAAGTATTTGATAAGATAAAAATTGGACACTGAACCATTGATAATAATTCTTTTTTTTTTGCGATACACAATATTTTGTCAAATTTAAAAAAATCGAATTTCTAAATTCTAAATTACTAAATTACAATTTTTAGTAATAATTCTTTCGCTGTAAATAAACTCAAATATAGTAAAATTAGTACTAAATTCAAAAACGGAAATTACATAAATAATTTAATAGGATTCTATATAAAAGTTGAATTAATTTCAATACAATTTTAATTAAAATCGTGTAAAAAATTTGCAAGAATTCAATTATTTTCATAAATAATAAAATTCTTCGTAGGAATTGAATTAATTCTTATACAATTTCTAGAAAGAATTCAATTAATTTTAGAAGTTTTAATATAATTTATTCTTCACAAAAAATTAACTATTTGATCATAAATAATAAATTTCTTAGCAAAAATTAAATTATTTTCAAAACAAACTGAATAAAATTGCTCAAAAGAATTCAATTATCTTTTTAAACTTTAATAATTAAAATTAAATTCAATTATTTTCATAAATAATAAAAATTTTTAGTCGAATTAAATTATTTTTAATTCAATATTAATGTAAGTATTTTGCTAAAAAATTGTGATGAAGAAATAGAAATTATGCAAATTTTGATTATTTATTGTTAAAAAAAATGTATTTTTCTTCTTTTTCAAAAAAAAGGACAAGATATTAAAAAATAGAAATTATGCAAATTTTTTCATCAATTTCTAAAAAAAATGATAATTTTTAACATTTTTCAACAATTTACATAAAATTTCTTCAAAGCAAAAGCAATTGAATTCTTTATTTAAAAATTTTCTTTTTAAATTCTACACACGAATTCAATTATATTCATAATTAATAAAATATTTATGCAGAAATTCAAGTTTTTTCAATACAATTTTAATAAACTTTCTCGAAAGAATCGAATTATTTAAAAAAAAAATGTTAAATAACATTCTGCGCTGAAATTCAATTATTTTTGTAAATATAATAAAATTCTTCAGATGACTTAAATTATTTTTAAATATAATTTTCATAAAATTCTTTAGAAGAATTCAATTATGTATTTTCAAACATATTTTAATAAATTGCTTTATGAGAATTCAATCATTTTAAATACGATTTTAATTGATTTCCCCAAAGGAATTTAATATTATTAAATCAATTTTTTTTAAATTAATGGAGTTTTTTTTTAATTTTAATGAAAAATCTTAAAAATAATTGAATTTAATGAACAATTTCTTTCAACTTTTTAAAATAATCGTGTTTATTAATAATTACAATTAAACATTTAATTATTAAATTTTATTAAAATTTTTTAAAATTCTTTTGAAAAATTTTATAACGAATTAAGAAAAAAAATGAATTCGTGAAAATTAATTAATTAAAATTAAATTTCGTGAAATTTTTTTTAAAATAATTGAATTTTTGCAAAGATTTTTATTATTTATAAATATACTGAATTGAATTGTTTCGAAGGATTTATTAAAAGTTTAAAAGATAATTGAATTTTTCGCAAAGAATTTTACTATTTACAAATAGAATTGAAATTTTTTAAAGAATTTATTAAAATTTTAGAAAATAACTGAATCCTTCGAAATTTTTTATATCGAATTAAGAAAAAAAATTGAATTCTTTCATGAAATATTATTAAAATTGTATTAAAAATAATTGAATTTTTGCAAAGAATTTTACTATTTACAAATAAAATTGAATTGTTTCAAAAAATTTATTAAAATTTTAGAAAATAATTGAATTCTTTTGAAATTTTTTATAACGAACTAAGAAATAAATTCAATTCTTTCGTGAAATTATTTTAAATATAATTGAATTTTTGCAAAGAATTTTGCTATTTATAAATATAATTGAATTGTTTCGAAAGATTTATTAAAATTTTAGAAAAAAATTGAATTTTTTACAAAATATAATATAAAAATTTTTTTAAAAAATTGAATTGTTTCATGAAATATTTTTAAAATTGTATGTATTAAAAATAATTGAATTTTTGCAAAGAATTTTACTATTTACAAATAAAATTGAATTTTTTCGAAGAATTTATTAAAATTTTAGAAAATAATTGAATTCTTTTGAAATATTTAATATCGAATAAAGAAAATAATTGGATTTTTTCGTGAAATTTTTTTGAAAATAATTGAATTTTTGCAAAGATTTTATATCGAATTAAGAAATAAACTGAATTCTTTAGTGAAAGTTTCTTGAAAATAATTGAATTTTTGCAAAGATTTTACTATTTAAAAAAATAATTGAATTGTTTTGGAGGATTTATTAAAATTTTAGAAAATAATTGTATTCATTCGTGAAATGTTATTAAAATTTTGTTTGTAAATAATTGGATTTTTGCAAAAAATTTTACTATTTATAAGAATAATTACAAAAAGTGATATAAAAAGTTATAGAAAATGCTTTTTTTTAAATGAAAAAAAATTCACATATTAACACAAAATTATGAAAAATGTATTAATTTCTAAATTTTTTTCAATAATATAATCACAAAACTTATTCTCTAAATTTGAATTAGACTAACTTCAATCAGCGGGCAGAATGAATGAATTAATTAATTAAAGACAGAATTATCAGATTATTATAATTAATAATTAGTAAATAATTAATATAGGCAGTAAATAATAATAACAATAATAAAGAATAAATTTTAATAATTATTTTTAATAAATAAATTTTATTAAAGAATAAATGTATTTGGTAAAATAAGCAAGAACTTGTTTTTACAATAATAAAACAATTTTTATTTGAGAATATCTAAATCAGATGTTAATATCTGACAATTTTATATCGAGTCCTTTAGAATAAAAAGGACAATATCTAAAATTTTTTCGCATATCATTATTGTAATATTAATCTAAAACCCGTGCAAATTTGGTGTGCGTCAACTCTCAGATTATTCTCTTTCTCTCTTTTTCTGTTTTCTTTTTTTTTTATTAAAACTTATTATTGAACACACATATATAAACTCCTTGTCATCTGATGACAACTATTTTCTTTGTATAATTTAATTTATTTTTTATTTCAATAAATAATTGTTTATTATATTAGAATCATTTGCTTAACATAGTATCAACTCTCACAATTCACAGCAAATTCGACTTAAAATAGAATTAAAAACACCTAATTATTAAAATCTATAAAAATAGACAAAGGCGATAAAAATAAATTGAAAATCGAAAACATTTTTAAAATTAAAAATTTCTTAAAATAGAAGGAAAAAATTCTGTGATGAAAATATTTTAAAAGAATTAAAATTCGAGTCAGTGGTATATTAGAAAATGAATAAAATAATAAAAATGAGTTTAAAACGTTTAAAATATTAAAAGGGTGAAAAAAGCGGAGAATGGTCAAAAAATTATTTTTAAGTATCTATAGATAATAATTCGATAGAAAACCAAAAGAAAAAGAAAGAAGAAAAGAGAAAAAATTTAAATTAGAAAGATTATGTGAATTAGAATTGAGGGCGTTTTTAATTGACTTATAAAAATGTGATAAATCGAATTCACTGAAAATTCAAAATTCAGTCGTTTGCTTAACGTAATTGAACACCGTTTCTTCTCTTAACGAATAATAATCATATACTTTTTAAGTACACAGTACCTGAAAGCTTCGGATTTCTTTTCTACAATTTACAGAGACAGAAGAGAATCGGTATGAACGCTCCTATAGCAATTAAAATAGGTAACATCACCGATGAACTTTCCTCTGAATATGGATCTGGTGTTCGTGGACCACTGGTGTGTCTAGGTCGACTCACAACTTCCTCCTCTTCCTCCTGTGAATCTTCCTCTTCCTCAGAATCTTGAGGAATTGGTCCTAATTGTGGAACGTCTACAAAAAAAAAGAAAACAAATTTCAGAAAATAATATTTATGAAAAATTTATTTCTTCCCGACAAAATTCTTTCAGGGTTGACACAAAAATTTAATCACTTTTCCCTGATTTCGAGACAAAATTTTTGACTTTTTTCCTCATCCTAAACAATATTCTGATTCACTGTCAAAATGATTAAATACTCAAAATTAAATATCATTTATCATTCTTAAATAAATATTTAATTATTATTTTTCGTCAGAAATAAAAATTTTTAAAATTCAATAACTTATAATAATTTAAGATCATCCAGTAAAAAAATCATTATTTTATATTATAATCGTTATAATATTAGAATATTCAGGGCGGTCACAAGTTTCAGTTTATTAATTTCCCTAACAATTTACTGACATTAGAATTATTTTCCCTGACAAAATTCTTTTTACAGGTAAATATAATTGTTTACAGAAAATGAATAAAATTTTTCAATTTTAATAATTTCTAAGAATTACAATTATAACTCTTGTTGGATTCAATTATTTTCTACAATTTTCAACTAAACTTCATGACAAAATTCATTATTTTAAATAATTTTCCGAAAATTCTTCTAGAATAATTCAATTATTTAAATACAAAAACTCAATTTTTTATAATAATTGTAACTGTAACTAAAAAGTCTGTTATAAGATATAATATTTTCAAAAAATTATAATAAAGAAATACTTACAATTAATTTTTTAAAAATATTTTTAAATAATTTTTAAAAAATTAAGTTTTTGAATTATGTGCAATTAAAAAATTTCTAAACAATTGAAATTTGGTAAAATCTTTTTAAAATAATTGAATTTTTGAAAAATATAAATAAAAATAATCAAATTTTTGAAAAATATAAATAAAAAAATCAAATTTTTGATGAATTCTAATTAAAAATTTTGAACATGATTTTTTTCTCCAAAATGTTAAAAATAATTTTAAAATAATTCTTGTTTTGAGGTTTAGGCCAAAAAAAATGTTACTTTTTGTACATGTTTGAATTTTCCGAAATATGTAATTGAAAATACTGAAAATATTGAATTTTAAAAAATTAGAAGCTAATTTTCATTAATTTTTTTTTTGAAATTTAAATTTAAAGATTTTTCATTAAAAATTTCGATAATTCAATTATTTTCTTTAAATCAATAATTTTTAATATAATAATTTCTAAGAAAGTTCTCGTTGAGATTTTTCAAATCCATTTGTTAACAATTCAAATTTATGAAATTTCGATTTTTTGGAAATTCTTCAATTAAATTTATATTAGAAAATGAAAACTTCACATAATATTTAAAAGAATCAATTAAACTTTTTAAAAAAATGAATTCTACAAAATTGACAATTAAAAGTAAATGAAAAATTGTAATTTTCAAAGAATTTAATTTGAATAATAAATTTATTGAATAATTATTATAATTTAATAACTTATTAAATTCTTTCGACAAATTTCAATATTATATTTTAGAATAATTGCATTTTTCGAGAAATTCAATTAAAATTTAAAATTATATAAAAAATAATTTAATTCTTAAAAAGAATTGTAATATTTATAAAAATAATTGAATTTATGTGATGAATATTGCTATTTATGAAAATAATTGAATTTTGCAAAGAATTGTATGGAAATTCCTTTAGAATAATTGAATTTCTTGGAGGAATTTTGTTTATTTATTTATCAAGATAATTAAATTCCTATGAATAATTGCGTAAATAATTTTGAAATAATTAAAATTATATCCAAAAATTCAAAAGAAATTCTTCAACTAATTTCAATAGAAATAAAATAAATATTTTTCAAGAAAATTAGTTCTACTACAGAATTATTAATTAAAAGTATAAAAACTTGAGATTGTCGAAAGATTTGAATTTGAAACCTTCTTAAAATTCAATTATTTCAAAAAATTGCAATTTTTTGTAACTTCTCCAAAATTCAATTATTTTTTTTGATTTTTTAACTAAAATTCTTCTATAAATCCATTATTTTTGATAATTAATTAAATATACAATTAAAAATTTGGACTACCTAATTTCAGAATAATTTGTATATTATTAAAGCTCTCTTAAAAAAACTAATTTCTTTAAAATTTCTAATTAAATTTATTGAAAATTGAAATTTTCTAACATTTTAAAATGAAACTTTTATAGAATTCAATTATTTTTGAAATTGTTAAGTGAAATTATTCATTAAATAATAAGTAATAATTTCATGATAGTTCTTCAAGAATGATGTTATTTAAAATAAATTATTGTCAGAAATAGAAAAAAATTGAAAGTTTTGTATTAAAATTTGTGGTAACTTCATATAGTTTATGAGGCAAACAAAAAAGATTCCAAAATTAAAAGTACTAGAAAAAAATTAATTTTAATAGTATGTATAAATTTTTTGTAGCATTTAGTTTTTTCTAGTTTAAAAATTTAATTTTTCTTCTAGGACTTTTAAAAAAATTTCCCGACTTTGCCCTGAATAGTGTCAACTCTGAAAAATATTTAACTTACCATCGAGGCTTCCTTTAATAACAGCAATAGCGTTTATCTTTGGATTATCACGGTAGCCCTGAAAAGAATATTACAATTTTTATTACTTTGCTACAGTGATTTTATTTCTAAATTTAGTTCCATTTTTTCAAAATAAAATACCTTTATAAATTCAACACGAATTTTACCACCAACTATTTCGGACTCGTCGTCATTGTAATAAAATTTACCATTTTGTATTGTAAATGGTACATATTCATCATGTGCAATTCCACGGCCGACTTTATCAAAAATATCCAAATCCGACACCACTGTATGATCGCCATTTAATATAATGTCGAAAACCTGTATTCGAGAAACACAAAAATTAAATTTTGCTTTTCCTTGATTTCCAGACAAAATTTTTACTTTTTTCCTGACTCTAAAGAATATTCTGATTCACTCTAAAAATTATTAGATAATAGATACTCCAAAAAATGTTCTAAGTATTACATTTATTTACGAATTTCCTTAATTGTAAAATTATTCAAAAACACCAAAAACTCATTTTTTAAATAAATAATTAACTTCTTTAAAATTATTTTCATCATTTCAATTCAATTATTATTTTCCACAATTTTTAAATAAAATTCTTCTTTAAATCAATTATTTTTAATAATTTTCGACAAATTTCTTTTGAGAATTTTCAAATTCGTTTGTTTACAATTCAATTTTACGAAATTTTAATTATTCAGAAATTCTTCAATTAAATATTATGCATTAGAAAATAAAAACTTGAATTAATTTTCAAAAATTTCGATTAAGCTTTTTGAAAAAAATTAGTTCCATAGAATTTTTAATTAAAGGTATGAAAAATTCTAATTTTCAAAAATTTTAATTTTAATCTTTTACAAAATTCTATTATTTCAAAATATTGCAATTATTAGCAACTTCTCCAAAATTTAATTTCGACGAATTTTAATAAAATTCTATTTTAAATATTTGAATTCCTGTGAAATATTAATTATTTTAGAAACTAATTAAATATTCGTGTAGAACTTTGTCACAATTGTTTTTAAATAATTGAATTCTATTGGGTAATTTTGTTAAAACAATAGATATACAAATTATTGAATTACGAAAAAATTTTTGAATATAATTGAAATTTTGCAATGAATTTTATTAAAATTTTTGAAAATAATTAAATTCCTGAAACTAATTTTAAAATTTATGAAAATAATTGAATTACTGCGAAGAATTTAATGCCAAATTTTAAAACATTTAATTTTTTTGGAAAAATTTATGCCAATTCTATTTTAAATAATTGAATTCCTGTGAAATTTTTACTTTTTTGGAAAATAATTGAAAATTTTTTTTTTTAATAATATTTAATTCTTTTGGGAAATTTTATTAAAATAGTAGAATATTGAAAATCATGCAATTAAGAAAATTGTTAAAAAATAATTGAAATTTTGCCATGAATTTTATTAAAATTGCTGAAAATAATTGAATTTTCTAATGAATTTTATTAAAATTCCTGATAATAATTGAATTTTGAAATGAATTTTATTCAAATTCCTGAAAATAATTGAATTTTACAATGAATTTTATTCAAATTCCTGAAAATAATTGAATTTTGCTATTCATTTATAAAGATAATTGAAATGTTGACAATTTTTTTAGATTTTTTGAAAATAATTGAATTCTTGTGATGAATATTGTTATTTGTAAAAATAATTGAATTTTATAAAAATTCCTGAATATAATTGAATTTCGGCGAAGAATTTTGCTATTTATTAATATAATTAAAATGTTGACGAGAATGTTTTTTAAAAATTTTTGAAAATAATTGAATTTTTGGAAAGAATTTTAAGATAGTTGAATTTTTTTAAAGAATTGCGTTAAAATTTTAAAAATTGAAACTAATTTCAACAGAATTGAAATTAAAATTATTATTGTCAGAAATAGAAAAAATTGAAGGTTTTTTTTAGAATTCGTGGAAAGTTCATAGTTTATGAGGTAAGCAAAAAAGACACAAAAATTCAGAATTTTCTTATAAATTCTAAACATTTAATTTTTTCCAGTACTTTTAATAAAAATCCCTGACTTTTCCCTGACCTGTGGCAACCCTGTTTCTAAATTAAATTAGTAAAACCAAATTTGAAAAATAAATCAAACCTTCATATTAGCGGAATTGAAATAAACTTCGCAGAATTTAAGGATCATAACATAGTCCCCATCATCGCTCACTGGAATATCGTAGCCAAACGTACTATGATGATAACGTTCAGTTTGATAAAGGATTTGGTCGACAGGATTAATTCTTCCAATAAGAAGTTGTTTTCCATAATCAGAGCTGGTGCCAATTTTTCCCGAAAGTGGATCTTTGGCATAACGAATGCCAAAACTATCTACATGAGAATCTCCTCCAGCGTTAATTGCATAAATCACATCGTAACACTTTGCACTTGGAATGATAAATGTTGTCAAAAATAACAATAAAGTTAAACAACAAAAACGTAAATTAGACATTTTCATGAATGTTTCTTTAGATAACATCTTGTCAAAATACAATTTCTTTCGAAAGAAATTTCTCTTCAAATTATAAACATTCCATATATATATTAGGATATTTGTGATAAGGTTAGGATGAAAAATACTACATTACTATTAATACGGAGCGCCTTCCAATGAAACGTTGACAGGTGTATTTATTATGCAAAATCCCTCCATCTGCTTTAAATACTAGCCTCTCTTTTTTTTAATAAAATAGAACATTTACTTTTTTCCTAAACGTTCTAAACCAACATTTCACTGACACGTTGACTTTTCAATCATGAACTAATGAAAATGCCGCCATTTGTGAGGAAACTCCGCTTGGAAAATGGGAAATGAACTTTGTTACATACACTGTAAAAAATTCTGGTGTATTAAAACATACTGAATGTAATTTTACACAGCAATATTATAGGCTGGACGTAGTAAATTTACTAAGTTTCAAAGTAGTTTTACTATTTTTAATAATTTTACTTTATATGACTATGTAATTTAATAGTTTTGTGTAAATTTACTACGTCCGACGTAGGAAAATTTGATCACTATGTCCAGCATGTTGTATTACACTCGTCTGTTTTTTTACTTTATTCTGTGAATTTACAATGGTCATGTAAAGTTACCACGGATACGTAAATTTACGTTGTATTGCATGTAAGATTACATGCCGCGTGTATTTTTCCTTTAGCGCGGAGTTAAATATATTATATGGATGCTTGCACATGCTCAAAATAAAGTGAACTGCCAACACCGACATTTTGCCTTTTTTGTGTTTTTATTATTAGTATATATATTTTAGTGTTTTCAATTACACTGTAAAAAATTCTCATGTAAATTTACTACGTCCGACGTAGGAAAAGAAAATCACTACGTCAAGCGTGTAATTTTACAAATGGCTGATCATTTGACATAACCTGCATGTTATTTTACATGCTCAATGTTAAAATGGGTTGCTTCAAATAGCGTTCTGTTCAAAAACATGCCGCATGTAATTTAACTAATGCGTAATCTGTTAAATAATACTAATTGAAAACACTAAAATATATATACTAATAATAAAAACACAAAAAAGGCAAAATGTCGGTGTTGGCAGTTCACTTTATTTTGAGCATGTGCAAGCATCCATATAATATATTTAACTCCGCGCTAAAGGAAAAATACACGCGGCATGTAATCTTACATGCAATACAACGTAAATTTACGTATCCGTGGTAACTTTACATGACCATTGTAAATTCACAGAATAAAGTAAAAAAACAGACGAGTGTAATACAACATGCTGGACATAGTGATCAAATTTTCCTACGTCGGACGTAGTAAATTTACACAAAACTATTAAATTACATAGTCATATAAAGTAAAATTATTAAAAATAGTAAAACTACTTTGAAACTTAGTAAATTTACTACGTCCAGCCTATAATATTGCTGTGTAAAATTACATTCAGTATGTTTTAATACACCAGAATTTTTTACAGTGTAGTATTATTTAACAGATTACGCATTAGTTAAATTACATGCGGCATGTTTTTGAACAGAACGCTATTTGAAGCAACCCATTTTAACATTGAGCATGTAAAATAACATGCAGGTTATGTCAAATGATCAGCCATTTGTAAAATTACACGCTTGACGTAGTGATTTTCTTTTCCTACGTCGGACGTAGTAAATTTACATGAGAATTTTTTACAGTGTATCTTATATATTTTTTAACAACTTGAGGTCTCTGGTATAGTTGGCGGGAAAAAGGTAATATTTCGAAATTACAATTGTCAAAATAAATAATATTTTTAAATAACAAAAAAATATAGTTAAAAAAGAAGAAAAATTAATTAAAAATCGTTTTTTCTAAAATCTAAAACCTAATAACTGTTTTCTCAAAATTCAAAACGAATGTCCAACTCGTACATAGAATGTTCAACGAATAAATAAATAAATACAATAATTATTTTATTATTTTATTTCTTATAAGAAAATCCTTTCTATCCTTTCTGAAATCTAAAATCTAAAAAAATGCAAAGCAGAAAAAGCTCGAATTGAAAAAAGTCGTACTCGAAAAGTATCGAAATAAGAAATAAGCATAAAGAATAAAAAAGAACATAGAAAGCACACCTCACACCAGGGTTGCGCAGTTACGCGTAACTCGAGGTTTTCTACGTATGTTACATGTATGTTACATGAAGTAACATACGTATGTTACCCCCCACTCTCGAAAAATACATGGATGTAACAATGTAAGGACGTAACGTACTAGGTAACATACAGTAACAAACCCATGTAACATACATGAAGTATGTTACGTACCCATCCCTGCCTCACACTCTAAATGGAAACGAAATAAATGGAGCTGTCGCTTATGTTTATCTCAAGAAAAAATTATAAACCTCTGTGTTTCAATGAATTAGGTGCATTTTAATTTACAACATATAAAAATATAAATAAACAATTAATTTTTTAATAAGAAAAGATTAATATAATGTAACAAAAATATTAATAAATTGATTTATAATTACTACTATTTCATTTTTCATAATAGAAAAAAATTTTTTCTAATGAAAAAAAGAAGGTTATCAAATAATAAAAAAAAGAAATAAAAAAATAATAAATAAAATTATATAAATTAGAATTAAGAACAAAGAATAAAGAAATTAAATGAATTAAATGAATGAAATCAAATTAAATCGACGAAATTGAAAATTGAATCGATCAAATCGTGAACCTCGTCAGTGGAAATTTACAGACTTTTCTAGGTCCCTCCCCCCAAAAGTGTCCAAATGACACATGGACGACCCCTTAAAATTCAGAATAACTATATTTTCTATACATATATATACATATATATTTGTAGATTTTCTGAAGAAACTATTGATTTTTCAGCAATATACCGCAGAGACCATTAAATCAAGGTTAATTTCTACTGCAGTCGAAATAAAATTAAAGTGCAAATTCGTTTCTCGTATTTTTAAAAATTAAAAATTTCTTACAAATTCTCTTCGATTTGAATAATAGAGAAAAATTTTCAATATTCATATTTTCATAATAAATATATATCTAAAAATTTAATTTTAAAAATTATAATATCTATTAAAATTTGGTATTTTATATATTTTTTTCTCTATTTTGTTTCCCATTATGTACCTGGATAAAAAATCCAATAAAAAATAAAAATTAGCTCATAGCAATTAATTATGAAAAAGAAAAATTATTATTTCTGCAATTTATTTATAAAAAAAAGAAAAGAAATAATAATAAAAATTATTTCATCAATTATTATAATAAAAAGGAAACAAATAATAAAAAATAAAAATTAGTTCCAAATAATTATAAAATAAAAGGAAAATAATAAAAAAAAAACTATTTCAGCAATATTATAATGAAAAAGAAAAATAAACAATAATTTTAATAATATGAATGAAAATGAATACCTATAAATGAAAATATTAAAAATTTAATTCACCTTCAAGGAAACCTTGTCAGGTATTTCCTACTTAAATCGTCAGACTTTTTCAAATGCTTATATAGAAACTGAAATAAATTGAACGTCAATGAGATTTTTCCAAGCATAAAAAACCTTGACTGGAAGTTTATCTCTTAAGGACATTTGTTGATATTTTTAACTAAACGAACCTTTTTTGTTTATACAAAATAGTCAATTTTGACCCGCCCCCTCCTAAAAAATAAATAATTTTAAATTTTGAAAAAATAAAATTATTAATAAAATAACCTTTACGCTTTAAGAAAACGATGAAATCGATCTTTTTTTTCTCCAAAAAATCTAAATTTTAATTAAAATATAAATAATTTAATTATTAAATTCATTGAAATTATTTTTTTTTTAAATGTAGAAAATTAATAAATTTCTAAAAATTAATAATTAACACAATAAGGATTATACCTATATGAATAATTAATTAAAATGAATTTAATAATTCAATGAATTTAATGAAAAATAAATTCATTGAAATTAATTTTAAAGCAATGTAGAAAATAAATAAATTAATAAAATTTAAAAAATTAATAATTAATAAAATGAGATTAAAATAAATAAGTAAAATAATTTACTAAATTGTCGTTATCGAATATTTTTGTATTAAATAGTTGCCGATATTTTATGTTTGTTTACAAATAGAAGGTAAACGTTGTTATTATTATTCTAGTTTTGATTAGATTATTCCTTATACTATGTATATTCTACTATAATTTTTTAAATTTATTTCAATGAAAATTTCAATCTAACTTAAAATATTAATATTTTTTTTGTTAATTTGTAATTTAGTATGAAAAATCTGTCAAATATTATTTAAACAATTAAACAAAATATATCTATTTATTTTTATTATTTATTTACTGGAATTATTTTTTAAAAAAATAGTTTAAAATTTTCTCTTTCTTCCCGAATTTTTTCCTAAAAAAGAGAAAAAAATGTCATTGAAACTATTTTATATCTATTTTCATTGTTTATTATTTACTTTCTAGAATTATTTTATAAAAATAAGTTTAAAATTTTTTCTTTCTCCCTCGATTCTCTGTTTTAAACGTTTTAAAAAAGAGAAAAAAAATGCCGCCATTGTAGGTAATTATTCTGTAAATGCTTTTCTGTATGAATATTAAATAATTTTTGCCGATTTTTCGTCATTTAGAAAAGTGGATTCACCTTTGAAACACGTCACTGGTTTTAACAACTTTACGTATTGACCTTTTAGCACACATTCACAAATTCTTTATTCGAGTATTAAAATTGTCTATATATATGATTCTAAATCAACACGTGCTCATTGATTATTTCTCGATTAGAGACAACTTTAATATTTTATCACTAAATTATGAAAAAAACTTCTTTTCAAACCAATTGAAACAAAATATTTTTCCCAACTATTTCAATTTTTACAAAAAGAAAAAGAAAATTTGTTTATTTACAAAGAATTTTTACCATTTCAAGACTTACGAATATTCAATACAAACAAATAATTTTAGAATAGGAATAGCAATAGATTATAATTATAAATTATGATAATTATTATATTATGTAAATAAATTATAGAATTTGTATTAATTTGTTGGCTTTGCTCGCTTTGCTCATGACGATAGCGATTTTCATTTCACAGAGAAATCAATAATTTTTGTTTTAATACCTAATATGGAAAATATTTCCTTAAATGGCTAACCTAACCTCAAAAATTTTCCGCTGATCTGATGCAAAAACAAAAAAAAAGCAGTGCAGAAATAAAATGAAAATTGCTCGAATCTATTAGATTTTCTAATTGACAAATTAAGAAATTCTCTTAAGTCGAGAATATTGTAACGCCTTTTTCTTTTCTCCTTTTTCCTCCTTTGTGTATTTTGCTTGTGATCACTTCCGTATCACCTGCGCTGCAAAGCCAGCGCGTCTTCTCGTCAAAATAAATACGAAAATTATTAATTCACTACTTATTCAAGAATTGGGGAGTATTTTAAAAAATAAAAGTAATAGAAAATAATTACTGCATAAATTACAAGTTCAAATGGTAATTATTTAACGGAAAATAAAGTTTTGATTTCGACTCGAGTAGTACTTTGAATAGTGGTATTATTCTTTTGGAACCAAATTCACGGACCAATCATAGAGCTGATTTAAGAAGACGTCACTCTTTGATTCGTTGAAAATTTATCCCGCCGAGAAAGAGAGAATGTTCGAGAAGAGTCTAGGATTGCTCTCGGAATTATATATACTGAAATTCGTGCGCGCGTCCCGTCACTCACGTTGCGAATCGTTGTAGGATAAAGTACTTCATTTCTTCTCATCTTTTTAATTCATATAATTTATTAAAGGTGAGTTGTGTATTTCTCTTCGTTTTTTTATAGCTTCATAAAACTAATTTGAATAATATTTTCTTCTATAAACACATCAAGAAAATTGGTGTGTTTATTTTCGAGAAATAACATTTTTTTTTGTGGGAAAACTAACGTGAAATTTTCTTTTTTTTACAGCTTAACAAAAATGGCCAAAGCACCCGCAGTTGGTATTGATCTTGGAACAACTTATTCCTGTGTAGGAGTTTTCCAACATGGAAAAGTTGAAATTATCGCCAACGATCAGGGAAATCGCACCACACCTAGTTATGTTGCATTTACTGACACGGAGCGTCTTATCGGAGATGCTGCCAAGAATCAAGTTGCGATGAATCCCAATAACACCATTTTTGGTAAGTGAAAGAAAAAAGAAATGAAAAATTGCATTTTTTTCGCGAGTGTGATTTTTTTTTGGTTTTATTTCCTCCTTTTAATGTTCACTTCCGGTTTTGACTCGTGGTCGTCGCTTCGGTCGTTTATGCTAGACAAAAAGAAGATGGTGGATAGCTTGATGCCTCCTGCCTTGCTTTCCTTGTGAGAATTCCATGAAATGACTCATCGTTTCATCATACTATGATTTGTCGTTTTTATCTTTCAGATCAATGTTCAAATTTTTTTACCATTTTCTCGGTGATTTGCTGATCGGAATATTGATTTTTTTTAAAGAAGTTTGATTTTTTCCTGATTTATGAAAGAATTGGAAGAAAAGTTTGTCATAATTTCGTATTTTAAACTTTTAAAAGCGTGATAAATTAATTTTTTTACAGAGTAAACAATTTAAAGTTGCATTTGAATAGAAATTACAATTTTCTCACTAAAGCTTCTAAAAGAAACAATTCAAGTAATTTTTATTCAAATGCAATTATTACAGTTTTTCCTTATTCACTGAAAACTTTGTCATCTATTTGATATATTTTAACAATTTCTTAGGTTTTTTCTATTCTAACAATTTGCGAACATTTTTTTCCTGATTTGTTAAATGCAGGAAAATCGGGAAAATTTTTGAAGTAATTTCAAAACTGATGAAATATGCATTATGAATCCGTCTAAATTTAAATTTATTCTAAATCTAATAAATTTTTACCACAATTCAATGAAAAAATTTATTTATCCAAATTTTAATCTATTCAATTATAATTTATTGAAATTTCAATTTTAACGAAATTTATTTTTTTTACTTACTAAAATTTCAATTTAAACCAAATTTATTATTTATTAAAATTTTAATTTAATCAAATTTAATTGACTGTAAACTTTAATTTTTTTGCAATTTTAATCAACTTTTACTGAAATGAATCTCAAATTTAATTTATTCGAAATTTAATCCCGTTCAAAATATAATTTATCAAAAGTTCAAATTACATTCGAGTTTCAATTTTATCAAAAAATTTTATTATGAAATTTTCATTCAATCAAATCAATTAATTTTAAATAATTTTAACATTTTAACAACAATTTCATTAAGTTTCAAATTATTTTACATTTTAATTTTTGTGAAAAAAATGAAAATTCAGTATTTAAATATTAGTTAAAGAAAATTATTGATGTTTTGAAATCTAAATTAAATTTATAAATTAAAAAAAAAATGGTTTTTGGAATGTTTTTCATCAAACTTCCTTAAAAAAATGACTCTTTAATTCAGCGAAAAATTCTATCGAGAAATTCAATTTATTATTTTCGTAAATTAAGATTAGAATATTTTTAAATTATAAATATTTTTCATCATAATTTGATAAATTTAATTATTTTTAAAAAATAGATTGAAGCTTAAAATAATTGAATTCTAGAAAATTTTAATGTAAAATTCTTCATAAAAATTTGATTATTTTATTGAATAAAATAAATAAACAATTAGATTTTAAAAAAACCATGAAAAGCTGCAGTTACAATTATAAAAAATTGAATTATTTGTAATTGAATAATTGAATTCTCGAAAAACTTCTTTGGAAATTAGTTGATTTTTTAAATACATAGTTTTAATTAATTATTAAAATTAATTGATTTATAAAAATTTTAGTTGAAAAAACCAAAAAAAAAAAATTAATTTTGAAGAAGTTACAAATGATTGCAAAAAATCAATTATTTTCAAAAGTAGTAAAAGTCTTCGCAGAAATTCAATTATTTTTATAAATAATAAAATTCTTCTTCGAAATTTAATTATTTTTAGAAATTTTAATAAAATTCTTGGCAAACTTTCAATTTTTCTAAAATTTTAATAAAACTTTTCGTCAGAATTAAATTATTTCCAAAAATTTTAATAAGATTCTTTGCAAGAATTCAATTATTTTTTAAAATTTTAATAAAATTTTTGAAGAAATTCAATTATCAAAAATAATAAAATTCTTGTCCGGAATTTAAATACTTTCAATACAAATTTTAATAAATTTTTTTTAAGAATTCAATTATTTTCACAAATTTTAACAAAATTTTTCCCAAGAATTCAATTATTTTCAAATATTTTTATAAAAATTTTCTACAGCAATTTTATTATTTAATAACATTTTCCAAAAGAATTCAATTATTTAAAAAAAAATTTATATAAAATTCTACGCTAACATTTAATTATCTTCATAAATAATAAAAATTTCACAGGAATTAAATTACTTAGATATTAATTTTTTATAAATTTCTACGTAATAATTCCATTATTTATGTAAGTAATAAAATATTTTACACAGATTCAATTATTTACACAAATAAAATTTTTTGTTAGGATTTAATTATTTCTATAAATTGAATTCCTTGAAAAATTTATTTATTCTTAAAAATTATATTGAAATTCGTCGAAAGAATTCAAATTATTTTAAAATTTTTGTTAATAAAATTTTTTATGAGAGTTGAATTTTAAGAAATATTCAATTATTCGAAATAAATAATTTATTTTAGTATTTAAATAATTGAATTCTCGTTGAATTTTCTAATAAACATTGATTTAAAATTATGAATTTTAGATAATAATTGAAAAGCATAATAGCATGGATTTTTGTAAATAATTAAATTTTATAAAGGTTTCAATTTAAAAATTTTTAAAATCTGAATTTTTATACTTTTAATTAACAATTCTTGGGAATTATTTTTTTTTGAAAAAGTTTAATTGATTTTTTAAAAATTATTTGGAATTTTTTATTTTCTAAAATATATTTGAAAATTCTCAAAGAAATAATAAAAAAAATTTTTTTTGAGTGAAAGAGAAGCAAACATTTTTGCATTTCATTGAAAGTGAAATGATTTAAAAATTATTTGCCTTTAGTGGCTGTTTTTTAATGAATGAAAGTATAAATTTGTGTTTATTTTCGATTTTCAGATGCCAAGCGTCTTATTGGTCGTCGTTTTGATGACCCAACTGTCCAGGCTGACATGAAACATTGGCCCTTCACTGTGATCAGCGATGGTGACAAGCCAAAAATCGAGGTTCAATATAAGGGAGAAAAGAAGACTTTCTTCCCAGAGGAAGTGAGTTCGATGGTCCTGGTGAAGATGAAGGAAACTGCCGAGGCCTATCTTGGCAAGACCGTCACCAACGCTGTGATCACTGTACCTGCTTATTTCAACGACTCGCAGCGTCAGGCAACCAAGGATGCTGGAACCATCTCCGCCCTGAACGTTCTGCGTATCATCAACGAGCCGACCGCAGCCGCCATTGCCTACGGTCTCGACAAGAAGGCCGTCGGCGAACGCAACGTTCTCATCTTCGATCTCGGCGGCGGTACCTTCGACGTTTCCATCCTCACCATCGAGGACGGCATCTTCGAGGTCAAATCAACGGCCGGCGACACTCATCTTGGCGGTGAAGATTTCGACAATCGAATGGTCACTCATTTCGTTCAAGAATTCAAGCGCAAATTCAAAAAGGAACTCACCAGCAACAAACGTGCCCTCCGCAGATTGAGAACAGCCTGCGAAAGAGCGAAGAGAACTCTCTCGTCGTCCACTCAGGCGAGCATCGAAATCGATTCACTCTTTGAGGGCATCGACTTTTACACTTCCATCACTCGGGCGCGTTTCGAGGAACTTTGCGCCGATTTGTTCCGCGGCACTCTTGAACCCGTTGAGAAATCACTTCGCGACGCCAAAATGGACAAGTCATTGATTCACGACATCGTTCTCGTCGGTGGATCCACGCGTATTCCCAAGATTCAAAAACTCCTTCAGGACTTCTTCAATGGCAAGGAACTGAACAAGTCGATTAATCCCGATGAGGCCGTTGCCTATGGCGCTGCTGTGCAGGCCGCCATTCTCCACGGCGACAAGTCCGAGGAGGTTCAGGATCTTCTACTTTTGGACGTTGCTCCACTCTCCCTTGGTATTGAGACCGCTGGAGGTGTCATGACAGCTCTCATCAAGAGAAACACAACCATTCCCACCAAACAGACGCAGACCTTCACTACCTACTCGGACAATCAACCCGCTGTATTGATTCAGGTGAGAATTCCTTTTTAGAATTCTAAATTTTATTCAATCAAATAATTAGAAATATTTCCTTTTCTATTTTTTCTCTAAATTAATAATTTAAATTTTTATCAAAATAGATGTGTGACGCTCTTTGAAGATGGGTTTAAGTTCAAAAATATTTTCACTTATTTTGATTTTAGTCGCAGACCTTGGATAGTATGACTTTTTACGACTTTTTCGATAATTTTCCGAAAAATGAGAACATTTTCCGATTTCTTTTCATAAAAGACGACTTTTCGACTTTTTCTTATAAAATACTAACTTTTCGACTGTTTTTGATAAAATGCAATTTTTTTTTACTTTTTTTTTATAAAATATACAGTTTTTTTTAAATGAGACTTTAGACTTTTTTTTATATAAAATACGATTTTTCAACTTTTTTTTTCATAAAATTACGACATTTTCGAATTCCTTTCAAAAAATTGTGACTTTTTTTTATAAAATTACTGTTTTTCGATCTTTTTTGATAAAATACAAATTTTTTTTTATACAAAGCGACTTTTTAGATTTTTTTTTATAAATAACGACTTTTTCAACTTTTTTTTTGTTAACTACTACATTTTCGATTTTTGCTGATAAAATACAACTTTTTTTTATATAAAATGTTAATTTTTCGAATTTTTTTGATAAAATGCACCTTTTTGGACTTTTTTTTTAAATGCGACCTTTTTTTTTTTATAAAATACAACTTTTTTTTTTAAATGCGACTTTTTAGTCGCATAGATTAAATTTCTACTATAACTTTTCCAATATTCAATTATTTTCTAGAATTTTTAACTAAAATTCTTCTCTAAATGAATTATTGTTAATAATTTTCAGAAACTTTGAAAATTTAATAATTCGGAAAAATAGAAAGAAATTTGACTTAAAATTCAATTTAGAATTAAGTTGTTATCAATTCTCAATTTTGATGAAATTTCGTTTATGCAAAACCTTTTTAGTGAATTTTATATTTTAAAATTCAACACATTTATTTATTATCTAGTTATTGTTTATTTTAAAATAATTTTATATTGAATATTTTATAGAATAAAATTTTTTTTAAATTCAATTACAATTGTTTTTTAAATTAGTTGAATTTTTAAATATAAAATTAATTGACAAATTTTCCCATAATTGAACTTTTATTCAATTAAATTCACAACAAATTTAATTTTAAAGAAATCAATTATATTTAATAAATTTTGATAAAATTTGTTTATAAGAATTCATCTATTCTTCATAGAATTGTAATTATTTTCCTCAAAAATATTGGATTTTTTCAACTTTTTAAGAAAAACTTCTTTCAAAAGCTTCATAATTTATCTAGAAAAATTTTGATAAAATACTTGATATGAATTCAATTTTAAGAAATAATTATTTATTTGTATTTTAATAATAGAATTCTTGTTGAACTTTCTAAAATGTATTGCAGATAAAATTCTTGGCAAAATTTCAATTATTTTCAAAAATAATTAAAATTTCACAGAAATTCAATTATTTACAAATTTTTTATAAATTTCTTCGCAATAATTCAATTATTTTTATGAGAATTCAATTTTGAGAAACATTCAATTATTCAATAAATTATTTATTTTTGTATTTAAATAATTGAATTCTCGTAGAATTTTATAATAAAATAATCTTTGCAAAAATTAATCAAAAATTAAAAAAAAATTCTCGTCAAAATTTCAATTATCTTTATAAATAATAAAATGCTTCTCCCAAATTCAATTATATTAAAAAATTTCAATAAAATTTTTCAAAAGAATTCAGGTATTAAAGAAATTTGATAATATTCTACGCAAACATTTAATTATGTCCAAAATGTTTTTATAAATTTCTTTAAAATAATTCAATTATTTTCATAAATAATAAAACTATTAGTCGAATTTAAATTATTATTAATACAATTTTCATTAAATTGCTCGATAATTTCTTAAAGATTTTATTAAAATTCGTCAAAAGAATTCAATTGTTTGAAAATTTGTTTAAAAATGAATTTCAGTTAAAATTTTCGATAATAATTTAATATTAGAATCATTATAGCGTGAATTTTAAGAAATAATTGAATTTTGAAAAGGTTTCAAATTAAAATCTTTAAAAATTTTAATTTTTCAAACTTTGAACTAACAATTTTGTAGAATTAATTTTTTTTGAAAAAGTTTAATTGAATTTTTTTTTGAAATTATTTCAAGTTTTTATTTTCTAATATATATATGTGACGCGATCTGAAGAAAGGGACCTTAGAAGCAAAAAATTATAGGTTATGTTTGCAATTTTTTAATTGAAAATACAAAAAAAGGATCAACTGTCAATATAAATCATTGAAGTTTAAGTCTTCATTAAAACTAAAATATTTAATAAACACTGATTTTAATTCGAAATAATTAAAAAGAAACTTTCAAACAAGAAAAAAGTAACTCTAACCCAACCTTAAAATGTTTTGCTTCTAAGGTCCCTTTCTTCAGATCGCGTCACATATATATATATATATATATATATATATATATATATATATATATATATATTTAATTGAAGAATTTACGAATAATTGAAATTTTGTAAAATTGAATATTGCAAACAAATGGATTTGAAAATTCTCAAAGAACTTTGTCAAAAATTATTAAAAATAATTGATTTAAAGAAGAATTTTAGTTAAAAATAGTAGAAAGTAATAATTAAATTGTATGGATGAAAGTAATTTTTAAGAAGTTAAAGAAACAATTTTCTTAAAATATAAAATAATGATTTTATCTTTCTATCATCTTTAATTATTAATGAAGAAATCTATCACTCTGAGTCGAAGACTCGGAGTGATGAATTTCTTCTTGTTTTATAATTATATTCCTATATGTGTTGAATTTCAAGAAGGTTTGAATTTAAAATTTTTGAAAATTTTAATTCCTATGAAAAATATTGTTTTCTATCTTCAGAGTGTGTCCACATTTTTCCTTCAAAAGAAATTAAATTCTCAAAAAAAAGAATTTCTTATAATTGAATATTTGAAATTGAATTTTGAAGAAAACTAAATTTATTTTTCTCGATATTTTGACAGGTCTATGAGGGAGAACGTGCGATGACAAAGGACAACAATCTTCTTGGAAAATTCGAATTGAGAGGAATTCCACCATCACCGCGTGGCGTGCCACAAATTGAAGTGACATTTGACATTGACGCGAACGGCATTTTGAATGTATCGGCCGTCGACAAATCGACTGGTAAAGAAAATAAGATCACAATTACCAATGACAAGGGACGTCTCAGCAAGGAGGACATTGAAAGAATGGTGAATGAGGCCGAGAAATATAGAAGCGAAGACGAGAAGCAAAAGGAGACAATTGCATCTAAAAATGGCCTGGAGTCATATTGCTTTAATATGAAGAGCACCGTCGAAGACGAAAAACTAAAGGACAAAATAAGCGCGAGCGACAAGCAAGTTGTCCTCGATAAATGCAACGACATTATTAAATGGCTTGACGCTAATCAATTGGCAGACAAGGAGGAATTTGAGCACAAGCAAAAGGAACTTGAGGGCGTATGCAATCCAATTGTTACCAAACTCTATCAAGGAGCCGGTGGAATGCCCGGCGGTATGCCAGGAGGTATGCCCGGCGGTTTCCCAGGCGCACCAGGCGCTGCCCCAGGTGGTGCTGCACCAGGTGCCGGTGGCGCATCAGGACCCACCATCGAGGAAGTTGATTAAACAAAAAGAAAAATATTGCAAACAATTCTCTCATCACTCTCTCTTACTCCTTGCACTGCCAAAAATTTTCTCATGTGGGAGTAAAGAATAAAAAATTATAGATAAAATATCCTGTTGTAACTAAACCTTAAAAACCCCGTTTTTCTTCAGTTTTCTTCAGTTTGTTTTTGAGATTTTTCACCACCTACAAAAAGTGACATTTTAAAAGTAAATTTAAATTAAATTTAAATTTCAATCTCGTTAGAACTATATTTTATAATGTGTCCGTCACATTCTATAAAATATAATTTTACAGATGAAGCGGCTATTAAAAATTATATTTTATAGAATTTGACATTTTATAAAATATTTTTAATGCTTTTTTTCAACTTTTCAAAATGTTTACGTTTTTAGTGGTTTGAATTTTCTCTATTGTTTTCTTTAATTTCTTCGTTGCATTGATGCAAGGAAAGGGCGATTAATATTTATTATTATTATTACTACTACTAACGACGAAGAATATTAATGAAAGTTTTTTTTGTTGAATTCTATTTTATTTTTTTTTATTCTTACATGAGAAAAACAGTGTCATTCTCAAACTTGTATCAATCAATAACTTCAGTAAAACAGTATTTTTAAATTTAATTTGTTTTTTTCATTTCGAAGTTCCTTTGGTTTTGTTAATTTCGATTATTTTAGTTTGGGTAGAAATTTTTTTGTCTTTCTTCGGTAAAATTAAAAATATTCAGACTTTGCGCTCATTTACTAAAACTTTATATTTAATACTTTATTTACGATTGCGTACTATTTGGATAATTTTTTAAAAATTTGTGACACTAAAACCTACTTTTTTCTTCTCTTTTTTTTGGAAAATTTTCACTAATTTAAATCCGCTAATTCAAATATTTTCAATATCTAATTACTACTTTAATAAAATTTCTCAAAATAATTAAATTATAAAATAAAATTTTCAACGTATAAATTAAATTATTTTCATAAATAATAAAATTTTGCAAATGAATTCAATTATTTGATATAGACAATTTTCAAGAACATTGTTCAAAAGAAAACAATTATTTAAAATATTTTTAAAAACTCATTCGCAAAAATTCAATTATTTTTACAAATAATTAAATTGTCACACAGGAAATCAATTTATTCAATAAAATTCGTCGTAAGAATTCAAATTCATAATATAATTTAAATTAAATTAATCTTTTCAATTTTCATAAAATCATTCAGAAAAATTCAATTATTTCCAATAATTTTAATAAAATCATTCGCCAAAATTAAATTATTTTTTAAGTTAATAAAATTTGTTGCAAGTATTCAATTATTTTTATAAATAATAAAATTCATCACAAGAATTCAATGATTTTCAATATTTATTATAATAAAATTTCTCAAAAGAATTCAATTACTTAAAAAAAATTAATAAAATATTTCATCGCAAAAATTCAATTATTTTCATAAATAATTCAATTTTACAGAGGAATTAAAATATTTGAAATACTTTCAAGAAAATTTTTCATAAGAAATCAATTATTTGAAATATTTTTAAAAAATTCTTTGAAAAAAATTAATTATTTTCTAATATTTTGATAACATTTGTTTATAAGAATTCAATTATTTTCATAAATAAAATGATCGAATATTCGAAATAATTGAATTATTCTTTTAAATTTTCATAAAACGATTCTTAAACATACTACCTAAATTATTTACAAAAATTTGTTAAAAATCCTTCGCAAAAAATTCAATTATTTTTACAAATAAATTTTATTGAATAATTGATTTCCTGTGGAAAACCACAAGAATTCAATTATTTATTATATAATTTTAATTAACTTTTTCTTTTAAATTTTCATTGTATATCATTAAAATCATTTAATTATTTCCAAAAATTTTAATTAAATCCTTCTCAAAAATTCAATTATTTTTACAATTAATAAAGTTTTCCACAGGAATTCAATTATTTAATTTTTTTTCGATATGTAGCTACTTTTTTTACTACTAATTTTCAGTCTTAAAGATTTTTCTAAAACTAATTATTGAGTTCGAAGCCTGAAAATTTCCAATTTGTATTGTTTTGTTGGTTTCTTTAATTATAAGGAATTTTCAGAAAAGCGATTATTTTAATATAATTTTGCAAATTTAACTTTCAATTTTTATAATAAAAAATTAGGGTTTCTACAGAATCTGTAAATCATGGAATTTCTTGTTTAGTTAAAAAGCGGAAACAATTCAGTTTTTCGAATAATTTAAATTACTGCAATTTTAAAGAATTTAGTTTAACAATTTTAACTCAATTTTTTGAAAATAATTATTTATTTATACAAATTTTAATTTTCGAATTTTTAAATAATAGGGTATTCAATTGAATAATTATCGAATTATAGAAATTTCATAAAATTGAATTGAAAACAATTTGATTTTAGACGTATTGAACTTTCTATTCTTTTTCTTTCTGATTAATTCAATTTTCAAAGAAATTTCTCAAAATTATTAACAATTATTATATGTTATAATTGATTGTGAAATGATTTGAATTAAAAATTCTAGGAAATAATTGAATTTTTGGAGCAATTACAGTAGTAATTGTGTTAAATAATTAAATTTCAGAAGGTTTCAACTTAATTTTTTAATATTTCAATTAATGCAGAAGTTATAATTAAATATTCTTTTTAATTAAAAAGTTTTTGAACAATTTGAACTATTTTAGAAAATTCTAGAAATTATAGAAAATCATTCAATTTTGGAAGAATTACTTATATTTTTTAGAAGTGATTTTTTTTTAAATTATTTTTAAATATTGTAATTGAATTTTTGAAGAATTCTAACCAAAAGTTTGGAAAATAATTGAATTTCATAAAGATTTAGAATTTTATGAAGTTGTTACCAGGATAAGGAAGAAGGTTTCAGAAGGTTTGAAATTGACAATTTTAAGTTTTCACTCCTGTGAAAAAATATATTACACATTTAAATATTTAACATTTGAATTTAATTTAATAATAATTTATTGCATTAATTTTGAAATATTTTACTAAATTTTTTAAAATTTGATATACATATTTTTATTGAAGTAGTAAAAAATACGTAGCACTTAAGTTTAAATTTTTTTTCGTTATTAAATTAACAGTTTAATTGAACCTGAATAGATTACTACTTGTAATTTTAATGAAATAGTGATTTAGCGAATTAATTAAAAACTGAAATTCATAGGAAATTTTCAGAAATACGATAAACATGACCATGAATAATATAAAACGTTTAATATAATTTTATAAGTTTGGTTTGGAAGTAAATTACATATATAACAAAAATATAGAAAACAAGTTGACTTTTAACATTGGACTAGAAGTTATTTATTAAATTCAATAGTTCAAACAGTAACTTTTTCAAATAATAATAATAATAATAATATAAAAATATAAATATAAATATACAATCTTCAGTCTCTTATAAATTTCTAGGATCACAAATATAAATTAATGGCATAATATAAAAAATATACTTTTGGTTCTAAGCACAATTGTAAAATAATATCAATAATTTTTACAGAATATTTTTTCACTTTATTTTTTTACTCAATATTTTTTCTCTTTGTTTTTTTACTCAATATTTTTTCACTTTGTTTTTTTAATAAATATTTTTTCACTTGATTTTTTTTTTACTCAATTCTATTTTACTTGATATTTTTCGACTTTTAATATTTTTCACGATTTCAAAGTTTTGTTTCCTTCGTTTTTACTATCTGTTTTTCCGCACTTGATTTTTAATGTTATTTCCATTATCGAATCGCTATTTTCGTTGATTTGAAGGGGGATTTGCAAAATTGTCCTGCCTGAAGTTCTATTCACAATTACATTGTTGATAATGAATGAATTAGAATTTTGTGTTTCTGCTATTCTGTTTTCTTCGACGTCTTCTGAAGTAGTATCATTCTTCGCCTCTTGACTTTTCTCTCGACTTTGTGAACTTGTTTTTTCTTCTGACGATTTTTCAAATATTGTTTCTAATTTTTCATCCACTATTCGACTATCATTTTCAATATTAATTTCATTGTTTTCTTCTTTTTCCTCTTCTTCAAGTATTGTTTCCAATTCCTCAGTTACTATTCGATTATCATCTTCGATATTAATTTCCTTATTTTCTTCTTTTTCCTCTTCTTCAACTATTGTTTCCAATTCCTCAGTTCCTATTCCACTATCACTCTCAATATTAGTTTCCTTGTTTTTTTCTTCATCATCTTCTTCTTTTTCATCAACTTCATCATCTTCTTCTTCTCCTTTTTTATCTTCTTCTTCCTCCTCTTCTTCTTCTCTTAGATCTTCCTCCACTTTCGATAAATTACTATTTTTATTTTCATCAGAAATACTTTCTTCAAGTGAATCTGGAAATTTTTTCTGCATTAAATTCTTCCTCGTTAATAGAATTGAATCCTTATGGGCAATATTAGTGGAATTATATTTAGGGGAGAGTTTTTCATTGTCTAGAGACGATTGTTTATTTTGATAACACTCTACACTATAAGTCAAATTTTTATCAATATTTTCCGTTTTTTCGATAAAATTTTGCTTTTTTTGCTTGCGAATATTTACAAACGTTCCTGTCGGCGAAACTTGTGTATTTGCATTAATTTCATCCAAAATACAAACACTGTCATCAAGATCATCTGAATTTTCCTCCTCTGTTGATATTTCAGTTTTCTCTTCATCTCGAAAAGATAAATTTAATTCTTCATCTTGTGAATTTTCTTTGGTTTCAATAATTTCTGAATTATTTCCTAATAAATCGTTCTTCTCCAAAGTGGAAATATTTTCTTCAGGGGAAACTAAATTTTCATCCACAGTTTTGGTTTCAATAGTTTCTGAATTATTTGCTAATAAATCGTTCTTCTCCAAAGTGGAAATATTTTCTTCAGGAGAAACTAAATTTTCATTCGCAGTTTGTAAATTTTGACATCTAATTTCGAATTTCGGTATTTTTGTTTCTTTGGCGAGTGTATTATTTTCATCGATGGTTAAATTTTCTTTGGAATTATTATTTTCCTGAGAACGATGATTAATTTTGACAATTTTTCCACTCTTCCTATTATCGACAACTGCGTTGGACTTGCTCGATTTTTTCTTACACAGATCTGTAATTTAAAAATTAATTTTTAAAAAATAAGTAGGTAAATAAAAATTCAGATGATTCGATTTATGTTTAATAATATAATTTATATATTAAATAAATAAAGTATCTAAATTAAAATTTTTATAAATTCTGTCTTCGAATATTATGACTTTTTCGACTATTTTTGATAAATTTCTCGAATAACTTTCTCAAAGTTAATTAAAAATAATTAATTTCGAGAACATTTAGAGAACAAAAATTCTAGAAAACAATATTGAATTTTGGAAAAGTTGTGATATAAATTTTTAGAAACAATAAAATTACAAAACTCCGAACAATTCAATTGTTTGAAAACTTTTTTTTAATTTCAATATTTTTATAATTGGTTAAATTTTTGAATGTAATTTTTATTGAAGAATTTTTGAATAATCGACATTTTGAGAAAAATTTTATTTTAAGTCGACAATTTTTGAATAATTTAATCTTCAAAGAACTTTCCAAAAATTATCAAAAAGAAATTGAATTAAAAAACAATTCTGGAAATAATAAATAATTTAATATTGTAAGAGTTTTGGGAGAAATTTTTAAGAAACAATAATAAATGTCAAAAGGTTTAAAATATAAATTTTTGAAGATTTAAAGTTTGAATAACTTTACAAAAGAAAAATAATTCCAAAGAACTTAAAATAAAATTCTATTTTTTAAATTTTGAAGAAAGCAATAATTTCAAAATTATTTTAATTGAAATTCTACAAAAAATTAATTTTTTAAATTATCCATAACATCTTTTAAGAAATTCAATTATTTTCGAAAATTTAGGGACTAATTTTTAGAATTTTTGAAGTATTTATTTAAGTAAATTGCAAAATTTCCAAAAATCATTGAAATTTTGGAAAAATTATTTTACGTATTTATAATACGTATAATACGTATTTTAAATCTGTATATTATGTACTGTTCCTTGGAGGGCTAACTAGCCCTAGGAACTTTGAAAATTTAAATAAATAAATAAATACAAATTTTTTAAAAACCTGATTTTTTTTAGTATTTGCCAAATATTTTTTTTAAATTCAATTATTTTCAAAAAATTTGGATAAATTTCAATTATTTGGAAATTTTTGAATAAAAATTAATTACAAATAGTTTGAAAATCTATTATCTTTCAAAAAATATTTTAAAAAATGTTTAAAAAACAAATTTAAAAAACTGTTTTTGTTGCAATTTTTTAAAAATCAATTATTTCTAATATTTTTGGTTACATATTTTTAATAATTCACTTTAATACTTATCTTGAAGAAAATACGAATAATTAAATTTACAATTATTTAAAAAAAATTGAATTTCCTTATTTAAATAATTAAATTTTCAAAAAACTTTAAAATTATTTTTAAAGTTTAAATTAAAATGTTTAATTATTCGAAATTTTTTAAATATTTAAAAATTTTTGAAAATTATTAAAAATAATCAATCTAGAGAAGAATTTTAATGAATAATTTTAGCAAATAATAATTGAAACATTAAAGATCCTAAAGTTCTGAACGTTCAAATGAACGAAATTCATTTATTTCTTCTACAAATTAAATTTTTATTGCAATTATTTTGCGTCACTATCCAAAAAATTAATAACTGAGTTTTTAACCGTAAATATTTTAGTTTTTAAATTTTTTGTGATTAGTAATTTCTAAAAATATCTTCAATAAAAAATATTTCGTTCATTTGAACGTTTAAAACTTGGGGATCATAAACATTAAAAGAGTTTATAGTAAAAATAATTAAATATCAAAAGGTTTTAAACTAAAATTGTATAACAATTTTAATTTTTGCATAACTTTGATATTCTAAAGAACTGTTTTTTGAATTTTAACTTTGTTAAGCGAATTTTTTTTAAATAATTAAAATTTCGAAGAATTTTCTAAAAATTATAAAATATTTCAAAAATAATTTTAGTTAAAAATTCTATTGAATTTTGAAAAATTCACTGTATAAATTTTTAGAAATTATTAATAAATTTCAGAAAGGTTTCAAATAAAATTTTTTTGTAAATTTCAATTGATAATATTTGATAAAAATATTTAGACACTTATTTTAAAAAATTATTCAACTTTTGAATAAATTCAGTTAAAGATTCTAGAAAATAATTGAATTTTAGAGGAATTAGAGTTGAAATTTTTAGAAATAGTTAAATTTTAGAAAAATTAGAGTTGAAATTTTTAGAAATAATTGAACTTTTATTATTGAAATAAATTTAAAGTTTTTCAAAAATTTAATTACAAATTTTTAAAAGTAATCTTTTTTTTAAAGAAAAATATTAAAAAATATCAGAAATTTATTTGGAAATTGAATTTGAATTGATTTTGAAAACTCTGAATAAAATAATCGATTTTTTCGACATTACTTTGAATCGACAAAAACGATTTTTTTGCTCCTTAAAGTCAATCCAAGGCCTGTAAATTATTTTCTATTAAATTGAAATTAAAAAAATTAAATTTAATAAATTAAATTATAAAATTTTAAATTAATAATTCTTTGTTTTTTTTACCTTTTAAATAAATCTCCCTCTTTGTATAAAGTTCGCTTCCTGAATCACTGCTCCTTAGATAAAGTGGAAACAACTTTTTAATATGATCACTCGTACCTTTTTCCCTTCTTTCCTGATCTATAACATTTTCCAATGATTTTAATTTCTCTAAAATAATTTCCGGAACTTTCATAAAATCCGACAATGAATTTTCAGGAGATTCATTATCGATAGACGAATTTTGAGAATAATTAGTTTCCTGACTTTCATCATGCGAATCATTTGTGGTTAAGTTAAATTCAGAATTTACAATTTCTCTCTCTTTTAAAACATTTTCCAGTAAATTCTGAATTTCACCACAATCCGAGCATTCGGCAATATTTATGTTGGATACAATTTTCGGCTGTACTTTCAATTCGTGTGTTAAATGAATTTGATAATGTTTCGAATCTCTTTCAGTAAATAACTCTCCATCGCTGTGAGAATGAAATCTTATTCTTTTATTTTCCGGTGTTGAGACTTTGAGAAAAATATTTTTCTCCACAGGAGATAAATTTAAAGGCCTGTGTTTTTCTGCATCTCTAAGTGTTTCGGCAGGAGCATTAGAATTTAAATTAGTTTCTTCAAAGTCGTGCGGACATCTCTTTTCAGTGTTAACAAATGAATAATTTTTATTCCCATTAGTTTCTGATTCATCACTCGACGATGAAACTTGAAGTTCTCGTGATTTAAAGTTATTTTCGGACAGGATACTTTTTCCACAATGATTCATTGTGTTTTGGTTTTTTTTATAAATTTAATATGTTTTGAAATAAATACTTATAATCAAAGAATCTGTGAATAAACGACTATAATTACTAATCGATCTGAATTAATAATTAAAAATTTAATGTAAAAATTGTATTTTCATACAATTAAAAGAATATTTCTTTACAATACAGTTACATTTCTATAAATTACAGGCTTCGCAGTCAAAAATTAATTTTAAAAAAAGTAGCTATCGAAAAATTAAATTTCATCACTAAAATACTCGTTTTAGTCGATTTACAAAAATCATAAAAATTTTATTCGCCGATATATATTTAATTATTATCTAAAATTTTAACTAAAATTCATTGTTAAGTCAATTCTTATTGGAAAGTTCTATGAGAATTCAATTATTTAAATACAAAAATAAATAATTGACAACATAATTGATTACTTCTTCAAATTTAATACTTGTAAAGAATTTTATAAACATGTTTTAAGATACTAGATTTCTTTCCAATAATTTTAATTAAATTTATAAAAATAATCACATTTTTCGAGGAATCATTTAAAAATTGTATCTATTCAAAATGATTGAAATCTTGCAAAGAATTTTATTACTTTACAAAAAACAATGAATTCTTGCATAGAATTTTATTCAAATTTTTAAAAATAATTGAATTGTTTTCAAGAATTTTATTAAAAACGTTTGAAAATAATTGAATTCTGCGGAACATTTTATTAAATTTCTTTAAAATACTTTAATTCTGTTAAGGAATTTTATTAAAATTGTATATCTATATATAGAAAATTGTATTAAAATTAATGGAAAAAATTTTATTTTTTATAAAAATAATTGAATATTTATCATTAATTTTATAAATACTTTTAAAAATAATTGAATTCTCCCCAAGAATTTTAATAAAAATTTTTTAAAATAATTAAAATTTTTCGAAATAATTAAATTTTTTCGAGAAATTCAATTTAAATTGTATTAAAAATAATTATTGAAATCTTACAAAAGTTTTATAAAAAGTTTTGTAAATAATTGAATTTCTCTAGAGAATTTTATTATTTAAGAAAAAATCTGAATTCTTGAATTTTTTTAGACGAATTTAATTAAAATTGTATTGAAAATAATGCAATTCTTCTTATTTTATGGAAATTTATGAAAATAATTGAATTCTTGCGAAGAAGTTTTTTTAAATTATATTCAAAATAATTTAATTCATCTGAAGAATTTTATTATTTATGAAAATAATGGAATTTCTGTGAAAAATTATATTATTTGCAAATATAATTGAATTCGTGTGAAGAATTTTATTAAAGTTTCTGGAAATAATTGAATTTTGTGAACCATTTTCTTAAAATCTAAAAGAATAATTCAATTACCTCGTAAAATTTAATTAGAATTGTATTAAACATAATTGAATTCTTGGAATGAATTTAATTATTTATGAAAATTATTTAATTCTCATTTATCAAATTTTATCAATATTTTTGACAATAATTACTAACTTCTTTAAAAAATACATTTTATTAAAATATTTCAATTAATTGATTTATTTCGATCAATTTTCTTAGATAATTGCATTTTAAATAATTGAATTCGTGCGAAAATTTAGTATTCGTGACATTAATTGAATTTTGCGAAAAATTTTATAAAAATTTTTATTTAAAAAAATTGCATTCTTTTGAATAATTGAATTCTTGTGAAGAAATTAAAAAAATTTGTTGATAATAAGTGAATTATTTCAAAGAATTTTATTAAAATTTATTAAAATAATTGAATTTTTTTGAAAAATTGAATTGAATTTTTTTTAAAGAAGAATTGAATTCATTCTAATAATTTTGTGAAAATTATGAAAATAATTGAATTCCTTCGAAGAATTTCATTTAATTTTGAAAAATAATTGAATTCTGGCGACGAATTTCATTTCATTTTGAAATATAATTGAATTCTGGCGAAGAATTGTATTATTGAAGAAAATAAGTGAATAGTAGTAGGTTTTAGTACTTAGATGAGTGCGAAGCCTGTAAATTAAATTAATTTAATAAATTTAATCACCACGTGAATAATTGTAGGTTATATTTAAAATCTTTTGCAAACTTGAAAGAAAATTTATACCTTTTGCAGTCATTGACACTGTGCGAAAACTGCATAATTAAGTTTCTTAATATTACACAGTAATACTTTATTACCAGTCGAAGAATCTTTATTTAACAATTTAATCTCATTTGATAATATTTGCGACATTTTTTACTAACGTTTTTCAAAATTGTTCGAAATGTTTGCATTGGTTTGCATTTTGCAAGGTTTGCAAGCTTTGCAAGTGTTGAAAATTTAAGTGTGGCAACACTGACACTAACAGGGAGCGGAAGGTTTAAAACGTTTAAATTACAGTTTTAAAAAATAGTAACAAAAACAATTTTGTTTATCAACAAAAGTTAATAATCTTTCATTATTTAAACAAAGAGGCCGAAGGAGAATGAAACCTTTCAATCACATATCTTAATTTTTACATTAAAGAGAAAAAGATAGAAATATCAAATATCCTTTTATTAAAAAAGGACAAAAGATGTTTCTATCCTTTTCTCTCTCATACAAAAAGTACGATATGTGATTCAAAGATTTCATATTTTCGGCCTAATTATAACTATTACATACAGCTATAATAGTAAATAAAATTCTCTCCCTTCAGTTTTTGACAAACTTTTACATCGGTTTTAAACTTTGCGAGGAGAAAAACAGTCCCTAGAAAAATAGCCCATTGTGAACTGAACTTTATATTCCACAATTTTCTTTTTTCTTCGGTGGTTTTGGAATTTTACTGATGATGAGAATGAAAATTCTAAATATTTAAATTTGTGGAAATTGTCAAAAATTCAAGATTTTAAGGAAGTTATTCAATTGTTTAAAATTGAAACCGAAAATAGCTGTCAAATTAAAATTTGTCTCAAATTAATTATTAGGTTTTTTCATATTTTCCGCCCTTTTCTTGGAAATTAACAGCAGCGCTCTCTTAAGTGATTAAATGAAAATCATGGAAAACATGTGGTGATCTGTGTATGTGTTCAAGTTTTCAGTTTTCTATGTGTAATTTCGCCTTTGGTTAAAAAGCAGGTTAAAACCCACTGGGGAAAAAAAAATTGTTGAAACACGAGGTTTCTTAAAACTGTTTCTTAATTTTGCAAAAAAAATCTTAGAACATTCACATGGATCCTTTTTCTAGTGCAAGCGCAGATATTGAACAATTAGACAGCGGAATGGGAAGCAGTGACATGAGATCACCTGAGGTCAAAGCTATTCTTCCTGACGACGATGAAGAAGACGAGGAGGAGGTAGTTTATTCAATTTTTGCATCTTTATGTATAAATTTTACTTAAAGACCATCACAAGGAGTAATTACTCTTTCTCTCAGAACTATTCAATTTATTACTTGATTTTTCCTAATCGGTTTCGGTCTCTCTATTTCTTGTTTTTTACATTTCTTTTTAATTTAGCTATTTTGGAAAAAAACACTCATTTTTTGTATGAATCGAATTAAATTTTCTGTCTGAAACTAAACTGTTTGTTTAACTAAATAAATCTTCAATGAAAATTTGGTTGTAATCGCATGAAACAAGGACTAATATTATAAACTTATTTTTGAGGTTAACTGGTTATAAGTTCAATTATAAATTTTTGTAAAATTCAAATATTTTCAAAATTTGCAGTTAATAAAATTTCCAATTCTTTCAATTTTTTATAATTATAGCCTAGAATTCAATTATCTTAAAAAAATTATTCAAAAACTAATTTTTTCAATTAAATTACATTCAAAACTTGAATAATTTCGTTTAAAACATTTTAAATACTTATTGTTATTTATTTTTCCACAAAATTAAAATATTAAAATATTTTTGTCGAATATTGTCAATTAAAATTTTAAAAAACTTGAAACTTTCTGAAATTTTATTATTTCTAAGAATTTGAATTGTAATTCTTCCAAAATTAAATTATTTTTTTTAATTTTTAACTAAAAAAATTCCTCTCGAAATTAATTATTTTCAATAAATTTAAAAAAGTTCTTGGAGAATTTAATTATTTAAACAAAAAGTTTAATGAAAATTTGTTAAAAATTTAATTTTATCAAAGTATTTTTAAAAAGTATTTCTTTAAAGTTTTGACCGTTTAAATAAACGAAATATTTTTTTCTTCAAATTATTTCTTGCAATTAATAAACTGAAACAAAAAATTAAAATTTTTATTTGACACATAAATCTATTTCTAAAATTTGTTACTATATAAGTGGTAAAAGTCTTTCTAGTACTCAAATTATTTTCCAGAATTTTTCAACTAAAATTCTTTTCTAAATTAATGATTTTTAATAATTTTCAGAAAGTTATTCGCGAATTCAATTATTTAAATAAAAAAATTAAATAATTATAAATAATTCAATTCATTCCAAGAAATCAATTATTTTAAATTCAATTCTAATTAAATTATTCGAAATAATTGAATTATTCTTTAAAATTTTAAGATAATGGTTCTCAAAATTCAATTATTTCCAGACACTTTAAAAGAATTCTTCACAAGAATTCAATATTATATTCGCAAATAATAAAATATTTCACAGAAATTTAATTATTTTCATAAAAAATAAAATTCTTCAGATGAATTAAATTATTTTGAATATAATTTTAAAAAACTTCTTCGCAAGAATTCAATTATTTTCATAAATTTCCATAAAATTCTTAAAAGAAATTCAATTATTTTTAAAAATATTAATAAATTTCTTCGCACAAATCGAGTGTTTTCACAAATAATAAAATTCTTTAGAGGAATTCAATTATTTACAAAACTTTTTATAAAACTTTTATAAGAATTCAATTATTCTTAATACAATTTAAATTGAATTTCTCGAAAGAATTTAATTATTTTTAAAAATTTTAATAAAATTCTTTTCAAGAATTCAATTATTTTTACAAATAATAAAATTTTTTACAGGAATTCAATCATTTAAAAAAAATGTAATAAAATTCGTTGCAAGAATTGAATTATTTTTATAATAAAACTCATCGCAGAATCTCAATTATTTTTAATACAATTTTCAAATGAATTCCTCGAAAAATATAATTATTTTTTTAAATTTTATTAAAATTCTTGGGAGGAATTCAATTATTTTTAAAAATGTTGATAAAATTCCTGGTAAATATTCAATTATTTTTATAAAAAATAAAATATTTTCCATTAAATTTAATACAATTTTCTATATTATAAACAGTTTTAATAAAATTACTAGAAAGAATTAAATTAATTTAAAGAAATTTAATAAAATGCTTTGCAGAAATTAAATTATTTACAGAAATTTTGATAAAATTCTTTTTTGTATTTCAATTATTTTCTATCCAGTTTTAATTATATAATTCGAAATAATTTAATTATTTTGAAATTTTTGATAAAATTTGTATAAGAATTCAATTATTTCCAATACAATTTTCACTAAATTTATGGGAAAAATTCAATTTAAAAAAAAATAATAAAAATCGTCTCAGAAATTCAATTATATTTAAACACTTTAATAATATTCTTTATAAGATGCAATTATTTTTAATACAATTTCAATAAAATTCCTCGAAAAATTAAATTATTTTCAATCTTTTTTAATAAAATTCTTGAAAACAATTTAATTATTTTCAAAAATTTTAGTAAAATTCTATGCAAGAATTCAATTATTTTTGTAAGTAATAAAATTCTTTGCAAGATTTTAATTATTTTTAATAGGTACAATATTGAAATAAATTTCTCGAAAAGTGTTATTATTTTTAAAAATTTCATTAAAATTCTTGGGAAGAAATCAAGTATCTTGAAAAATGTTGATAAAATTCTTTACAAGTAGGTATTATATTTGAAAAAGTAATCAATTATTTATTTTTGTATTTAAATAATTGAATTCTCATAGAACTCTGCAATAGGAATTGACTTAACAATAAATTTCAGTTAAAATTTTAGATAATTGAATATAATGCAGAATAAAATTTTTATAATTTTTGTAAATCGACTAAAACGAGTATTTTAGTGATGAAATTTAATTTTTCGATTGCTACTTTTTCAGTCTTTTATCTACTTTTTGCTATTTTTTTAAAATTAATTTTTGAGTGCGAAGTTAGCTATTAAATAACTCTTCTAATACTCTATTATTTTCTAAAATTTGTACTAAAATTCTTTTCCAAATCAATTCTTTTCAATTCTTTCTAAGAAAATTAAATTAAATACAAAAGTAATTCGTGAAATAATTGATTATTTCTAAAAAAAAAAATTGTAACGGTAATGAAAGGAGGTTTTTTGATTGTTTTCTTTCAGGAAGAAAGTTTAGTTGAACGTCTTGTAGGATTAACGGAAATGTTCCCGAAGGAAGTACGAAATATGAGCTACAACATGAGCTCCTGTTTGTGTTCCTGTGTTAAGCGTAATTCAAAATTTTCTTACTAATTCTTTTCATTGTCATTTTTCTTTTCTTTAATATCCAGTCGAACCTGACGGAATGCAACTCTATTGTAAATTTTTTTGTATTCAAAAATGTCCAACTAGAATTATTTTCACTTACATAGTTACGGAATATTGAAAAATATTATAAAATTAAATTATAACAATTTTTTAAAGATTGTAAAATTTATTTACCTACTATTAATAAAATTTAAAAAAAATCGAGTTTCATTTCGACAGGTTTCACTGTATGTAAAGAATGAAAAATTATAAACTAATTGTGAATTGTTTTCTCATTTCAGAATTATATTCAGTTTCCTGTACTCTCACGTGGTTTTTCTTTAGTTCGTCGGCAATATTAGTTGCACCGATACTCTTCGAAGTAGAACGTGCACAAATGGAAGAGGCTCAACGCGCACAACAAAAGCAAGTTTTATTAGGACCAAATGCAGCAATTTCCAGCGCAGGAACATCGGGACTTCCAATGGCTCCACCAATTCCCCGATAAATCACATTAATCATTTGATGCAAGTGACATTATGCTGCCAATCAATTTTTATCACCCTGGATCACATCTTTATTGTCGGATTTAAAGTCTGCGAACAAAAAAAAAAAACAAAAATTTTTTTTTTCTGTAATGCGTCTCAAGATTTATTCTTCACTGGCATTTCAAATTTGAAAAGATGCATTTAAAAAGAAAATCACCCAAAAAATTTTCAATTCCAAGTTTATATTGAATGGAAAAATATAGAACAAGGAGCATATATATATATATAAATACATACATACATCTACCAAAGGATTCTGCTGATAAATTTACCAGTAATTCTCAATGAGGATTATTTCATTCTTCAATTTAGTGGCATTATTATCAATTCTTTAATGTATACGCTCTGCAATTTAATTGTGCGCTAGTTTGTTTTTTTTAGCGTCAGAAAAAAAGAGCAAATTACCAAGTTAGTATTTTTAATTAACTAAAAGACATTTTATAGACAAAATAATTGTTTCCAAATAGCTCTTGATCTCAATTTTCATTTTTCTTGTGTTTGCACAGTGAAATTTTTGTAGATCGCTTTAGTAGACTCGTCAGATACTGATGTGATTTTGAAGAATTGTCCCGAATCAATTGAATTGTTTATACGTTGTTTTGTTGTGAAATGAATAGAGAATAGTAATAAATTCTTTTCAAGTCTAGAACGTATTTTTTTTCTCAATTTTCAATAGCGAATGATTTTGAATCAATAAAATTGTAACCATAAAATAAAAATATACTTTTATAGGAATGTGTAGAAATAAAGAGAGTAAAATTGTTAAATAAGCAACATTTATATAATGACATATGCCTAGAGATAGATACAAAAGATGACAATATTGAAAAGAGATTCGATGTTGACTCGAAGGCTTCAAAAAATAAGCAAATTCAGACCTCGGATTGTAAGATTTTCTTTACTTTTTTCCGACTATTTTCAAAAGAGCGATTTTTTCGACTTTCCTAAAGATTAGTTAATTATACTATATAATAATAATTACATTATTATATAAATAATTAAGATATTCTGTCCTCGAGTGAAGTCAGGTCTTTCAAATAATTTTACAGCTCAAAAGTTTGACAATTAATTTTTAAATAGAGTGATTAGTGTTTTAGTGAAATTAATTCCCATAGAATTTTTACAATAACAGCATTTTCACAGGACAGTAAAGCGAGGAAATTTTATCCAAAAATATCAAATTATTCAAAATCTTAAATAGTCTATAAATTTTCTTTCTAAAATTCAAAAAATCCATAAGTAAAGTTACAAAATTGCAATTTTTATTATTTATTTTTGTATTTAAATAATTCAATTCTCGCGCAACTTTCTTTTATAAAAATTGATTTGAAAAACAATTTCAGTGAAAATTTTAGAAAATATTTCAAGAACTGCAGATCTAATTTTAATTAAATTTCAAAAGCAAGTTTTACACTAAAAGTATTTTGAAATTTTAATTCCTTGTCGACAAATAAATAACAACAAGTATTCAAATATTTATTAAACAAAAATTAATGAACATTGAAAAATTTTATTTAAAAATTCTGAATAAATGAGGTTTTAAAAAAATCGAAATTCAAATTTTTGGAAAATAATCGAATTCCCGAAAACAATTTTAGAAATTGAAAAAATAGAAAATTTATTTATTTAAAAAAATTATTATTTTAATATTTTCCTTTAAAAATTATTAAAGTTTTGAAAAATTTTATTTAAAAATTCTAAGAAAAATAATTAACTTCTGGAAAAAATTGCATTTGTAATTTTCAGAATCGTAATTAAATTTCAAAAGATTTTACATTGCAATTATTTGAAATTTCAATTAAAAAAATTCAAGAAATAAATTATTTTTATAATTAATAAAATTCTTCTCAGGTATTTAATTATTTTCAGTACAATTTTTATAACGTTCTCGAAAAAATTCAGCTTTATTTTTAAAAATTTTAATAAAATTTTGAAAAGAATTGAATTATTAGGTACAAACAAAATTTTAATAATAAAATTTTCATCTACAGTTATTAACAAACAAAATTATTTTAATAATTTGAAAAAATTTTTCGTAAAATTCAATTATTTTAAAAATTTTCAACTATAATAAAAAAATTCAAAGAAATTCATTAAAACAATTTAATTAAATAATTAAAATGTTTCCTCTAAATTAAATTATTATTTTCAATCCAATTTTAATAAAATTTACCAAAAAAAAAATGCATTTTTTTTACAATTTTTAATAAAAGTCTTTAAAAAATTTTTAATAATATTCTACCCAAGAATTTAATTATTTTCATAAATAATAATATTCTTCGTGAGAATTCACTTATTTTCTTAAATAATAAAATTCTTCGCCAGAATTCAATTATTTTTCAAAATTTAATGAAATTCTTCGAAGGAATTCAATTATTTTCATATAATTTAAATACATTTTCTATAATAATTTAATTCTTTTTAACAATTTCAATTACATTGTTCACAAGAATTGAATTATTTTCATAATTTTAACAAAATTATTAGAATAAATTCAATTCTTCTCAAAAATTTTTATAAAATTATTCACAAGAATTTAATTATTTTCAAAAAATCTTTTAATAAAAATATTGAAAAAAATTCAATTCTTTTTAAAACTTGTAATAAAATTCTTGGCAAGAATTCAATTATTTTCATAAATAATAAAATTTTTCTCGAAAATTCATTTATTTTCATAAGTAATAAAATTCTTCGCCAGAATTCCATTATTTTTCAAAATTAAATGAAATTCTTGTCAAGAATTGAATTTTCAATTTTTTTTTGTAATTTTTATTAAAATTCTTTAAAAAAATTTAATAAAATTATGAGCAAGAATTCAATTATTTTCATCAATATTGAACTTCTTGGCGGAACTTAAATTATTTTCAATACAATTTGAATCAAATTTCTTGAATGAATTGAATTCTTCGAAGAAATTGGATTACTTTCAAAAATTGTTAAAAATTCTGAGATGAATATTATTATTTTTTTAAAACTGCAATAAAATTAAATAATAAAATTTTTATTACAATTATTAAAAAACACGATTATTAAAAAATTTTGAAAGAAGTTCTTCATAAAATTTCAATACTATCAAAATTTTTAATTATAATTAAAATAATTAATTATACGAAAGAATTCAATTCTTTTTGTAATTTTTAATAAAATTTTTTACAAATTTTAATAAAATTCTTCGCAAGAATTCAATTATTTTCTAAAATAGTAATAAAAGTCTTCGTGAGAATCCAATTATTTTTAATACATTTTTAGTAAAATTTCTCGAAAGAATTTAATTATTAAAAAAAAATTTAATATAATTCTTCGATGGAATTCAATTGCCTTAAAAAAATAATTTTTAGAATTCTCAAAATTAAAAAAAAAACCATTAATTAAAATTCTTTAAAGAATTGATTAGTTTCTTAAATTGTCCACAAATTCTTTTTGGAATTACAATTAGTTTCGAAAAACTACATTACAATATTATTAAAAAAACGGATTCTTAAAATTATTTATAATGTTTAAAAAACTAAATTTTTCTAAAAGAAAATAAGTTAAAATTTTTAAAAAATCCACTTTTTTGACTAATTATTAAATTAAAAATTTTGTTAAAATCATGATATATTCTTAGAATCGATCCGAGACCTGCAAATACTAGGCGACTTTTTTTTACAGCAGACTTGTTAATAATTAAAAACTACATAAAATCTGTACAGAGAAAAATTATTAATTTTCTATTAATAGATTACGTGTATAATGCAGACATTTCACGAATAGAATAACAAAATCTAATTAACAATAAAAGGTAATCGAAGATTACTATTAAGTAGTACATATAATTATAAAAAAATGTCCATTAGGCACAATTAGTATCTCCTAATTTAATGGAAGAAAACTTCATGATTTCTTCATAAAAATTAATTTCATAAACCACATATATTATTAGTAAAAAACAGACTTTGGTTAGCACCTCTCTCTCTCTCTCTCTCTCTCTCTCTCTCTTTCTTGTCCAAAGTGCAGAACAATTCTTGTTCTGAAAAACAATTCCCTTTCGTTTAGCTACAGACGACTTTTTATTTAAAAGAGAAATTTAAAAAAAAGCCACGACTTAATTATCAATAACTTCTTTTCAAATAAAGTTATGATATTAATAGCCGTTTAGTCATTTTCTATCTGAAGCTAAATTGAGTCTTAAATAAAAATTCTAAAAATTGTTTCTTATTGGAAGTAGAATTTACTTTTTTTCACGGTAATTTGTATATTATTTTGTGACTATTACGCAATATCTTTTATCGCAGTAAACTGCTCTTAGTACCGTCTATTTTTTTTTTTTTTATTTATTAATTGAGAGATTAAAAGATTGCGTTATATTTAATCACTACTCTGTTATTCGGTAAGAGTAAAAAAAATGTTTTCTTAGGAAGACATGAAATGGATATTCATCCGAAAAGTTTCTCGAAGCAACCATGACAATAGGGTTTGTCATTTTGTTCCTTGAATGTTCCTTTATTTAGTTGCTTCAGGCAGAATGCACAGACAAAATGTTCCGGATGGAATTTACGGAACATTGCCGTTATACAGCGACCTGCGAATCAAAAGAGAATATAAATAGATAATAAAGACAATTATTTATTATTTAATTACAATTATTTTTCGCTTCGCACTCATCTACTAAAACTTATTATTTAGTTCTTTATTTATGATTAGTAACTGTTTGAATACTTTTTTTTTGGTTTTGTGCAACAAAATACTATTTTATTCTTTTTCTTTTCAATATTTGTACAAGTTTAAACCCGCTAATAACATTCCAATCACAAATTAATTACTTTCATAAATAATAAAATTCTTCGCCTAAATTTAGTTATTTTCAACTTTAATAAAATTTACAGGAAGAATTCAATTCTTTTTAAAACATTTAATAAAATTCTTAGCAAGAATTGTTTTATGAAGTTTTAATCAAATTCTTCGAATGATTTAAATTATTTTTAAAAAAATGTAATAAAGTTTTGAGATGAATATAATTATTTTATAAAAACTTTCATAAAATTTTCAATTGCAATTATTAACTAACTCGATTTTCTTTAAAACATGAAAGAAATTATTCATACAATTTGATCGCAAAGTTTTCAATTATAATTATAAATAACTCCATTATTTTTATAAAAATCAAAGAAATTCTTCAAAACAATTCAATTATTTTACAAAATTAAATAAAATTCTTCTCAAGATTTCAATTATTTTCATAAATTGTAATAAAATTCTGAGATAAATTTATTTTCTAAAAGTTTTAACAAAATTAAATTATAAAATTTTGTAATTATTTAATTATTAAAAAACAGGATTATTTTGGAAACTTGAAAGAAATTCAATCATATGCTTTGAAATTTTTTCAATTTTAATTATTAAAAAAAACTTTATTATTTTCAAAAAATTCTAATAAATTCTTTAAAACAATTCGATTATTTTTATAAATAATAAAATTCCTAGCGAGAAATTCTATTATTTTTAATACAATTTTAATAAAATTTCTCAAAAGAATTCTATTTTTTTAAAAAGAATTTTGAAAACTCGACGAGTTGATCTTTCGAGGATTTGAACTTTTCAGATTTTGAATTTTCGATGTTTTGAACTTATAAGTAGTTTTCGAGGAGACTACTAGATTATTTTCAAGATTTCAGTTCAATTATTTTCTAAAATTTATAACTAAAATTCTTCTAAATTAATTATTATTTGTAATTCTTTTTTTGAGAAAGTTCTTTGAGACTTCAATTACTTAAAGAAAAAGAGAAAGTTCCCCTGAAATAATTTTGAAATCTATTTGGATAAAAATGTTTCAAGGAAATTCACCTTTTTAGAAAATTTTGAATAAAAATGATTAAAAATCGAAATTTTCAAAAATTTCAATTTGAAACTTTTTGAAATACAATAATTTATCAAAACTGCTACATTTTCAAATCTATTTTCAAGATTGCAATTAAAATTATTTTTTTCTAACATTTTTGACTAAAATTCTTATAAATCAATCATTTTTAATAATTGTCGAGAAAATTCTTTGAGAATTCAATTATTTAAACAAAAAAAGAATGTCCACTGAAAATACTTTTGAAATCTTCTCGTTTACAATTCAAATTTTCTAAAATTTTAATTTAAAATCTTTTTGAAATTCAATTATTTATTTCAATTATTTTGAAATTCAATTCAATTTTTTTAACCCAACTGTTATAAAATTCAATTATTTTTGAAATTTCCAAGTAAAATTATTCGCTAAATAATTTATGAGTAATAATTTTAACATAAATAATTCAAGAATTCAATTATTTTAAATAATATTCCAATTCATATTCTGTAAAATTCAATTACTGTCACAAATAGAAAAATTATAAGGTTTCGTATTAAAATTTCATTTCAAAATGATTTTAAATTTTCAAAGTAATTTCAAAAAGCAATTCAAGAAGAATTAAGTTTTGTTAATATTTTTAAAGTTTGCTGGACATAAAAATCCATAATTCTAAAACTTTAATATTTTTTCAGTACTTTTGATAATATTTTCCAGTTTTTCTGAACGATTACACTTTCCCTGAGTTTTTCCCGATTTTCCTGACTTCTACTATTTTCTGACTTGATACTTTTTTCCTACTTCCTAACAATCTTAAAGCTATTTTTTGCTACTTTCTGTTTATATTAATTGACGAGTGCGAAGTCTAAAATTCTGATTTCAAAAATTGAATTTCGATTTAATTCAATTTTAATTGAACGAGAAAACGAAGAAAGAAAGTTAACGAGAAAGTTGAGTTTTTATATGAAATTTGAATTCTACCTGTGATTGGTTTGTGACATCCAGCACAAAGTGAACCTCGTTTAGCGTGATAATGAGTTTCACAGTAGGGTAAACCTTCGTGATCAAAGAATGATCCTCCCTGAAATTTTTGTCTGCAATCCTAAAACAAACAAAATTTTCAATTGAAAACGATTTTTGTATATAAAAAATATAATTTAGAAAACAATCGTTTCAGTTTGATTATAAATGTTTTTAAATACTTTGACCACAACAAATTTCGAGAATATTCACCATCTTTTAATTATTCAAATTTGAGGAGCAATTTTACAAGTCATATAAAATTGAAAAAATGGAGAAAAATTGAAATGAAAAAAAAGTAGAAAACTGATTCAAAATCGGTGCTGTAATTTTGGGTCGTTTGCAAAAATGCAAAAGAAATAAATAAAAATAAAAGAAATGAATAAATACAAAAGAATAAGAAGTAAATAAAAAATGAAAGAAATAAATAAAAATAGAATAAAAAATAAATAAAAACAAAAAATAAAAATAAATAAATAAAACCAAAAGAATAAAAAATAAATAAGCAAAAAATAATAAAAATAAATAAATAAAAGTAAAAAAATAAAAAGTAAATAAAAGAAATAAATAAAAAAGAATAAAAAATAAATAAAAACAAAAATATAATAAATAAATAGAAACAAAATAATAATTTATGTACGGGAAATGTAAAAGGCCGAAAGGTCATACATATGAATCCAATAAAATATAAATAGAAACAAAATAATAAAAATAGAAGAAATAATTAAAAATAGATACAAAAAAATAAAAGAAATAAATAAAAATAAAAAAAAAAAATTAAAAGAAAGAAAATGTACAAAAATAGAAATTTCTAATTCCAGGCAACTTTTTCGATTTATTCAAAAAATTTCTCATTTTCATTGACCAAAAATGAATCGTTAAAAAAAGCCCAACGTCTAACGTTCTACCCAACGTTCTGACGGGTAGAAATTGCCAAAGCTTTATTACGAAAGCATTTAAAAGCTTCGGCCGTCGATCGCGTCATTTTTGCACACGACCCAAAACTACAGCAGCATCGCTTTTGAATCAGATTTCAAACTCACACAGAGGCAACTCAATGTGTGATTGAATCTCATCACTTCGTCTCTTAACCTTGACCCGTTACCGCAGGCGGTTAAGAGGGCATTAAAAACACACTCGAGAAATACGTCATCGAGAAGACGATTCAGAGTGTTGTATTATTCAATTTTTCCTCTTTTATTATTATTCTTTTTTTTCTTTTCTTTTTTTTCATTTTTTCCTTTTTTTTCTTTATTTTTCAAATTGTACAAGATTTCTCATCAAACAAAAATCAACAATATTTCTTATTCAATAAAATACCATCGACCAACAAAAAAAAATCGTTTTCTCGAAGAATATTTCCCCCTTGGAATTGTTTTCCAAGAATAGAAAAATCAATTTTCTTTTTTTTTCTTCTTTCGAAAATGGAGAAAATTCATTTTTCTAGGGGTTTAAAAAAAGTGTCAAGAACAATTTTCGAAAAATCGAAAATCATTGTGTGTCGCCTAAAAAATTGACCCTGAAAAATTGGATATTTTTTTTGTACTGTTTATCTCTCTCTTTTTCTCTCTCGCGCAGCATCGTTCATCACCTGTGAAAAAATAAATACGGGAAGGCTCCTCATAATTGGAGCCGAGGGCAAAGGGGTTCAACATTTCCAGCGACGCAACAAGAAAGACATTTTTTCTTTCTTTTGGTCGACGACAACGAAAAATTTTTGGCATTTTTTTTACGCTTCCTCTTCTTCCTCCTCCTCGTCATCATCGACTCCGACGCATTTAGGACACACCGGTTTGCCCTCCATGGCGTAGAACGATTTTCCGGAAACCGGTTTCTTGCAATCCTGAATTGCAAATTTCATTGTAAAATTGCTCAAAATTTTGAAGATTAAAAAAATGGAGGAAAGAAAGGAAAGAAGGGGAAAAATAGAGAAAAGAGGAGAAAAAGGGGAAAATTTTCACCTTTTTCTGTAGAGAAAAAGGTGAAAATAGGGGGGAAAGAAGAGAAAATAAAGAAAAGGAAGAAAATAGAGAAAAATGGACAAAATAGAGAAAAAGGGGGAAAATAAAGTAAAAGGGAAAAAATGGAGAAAAAGGGGAAAATGAAGAAAAGGGGAAAAATTGGTCAACAAAAATAGGAGGTAAATTTGAAATCTGAAAATTGTAAAAGAATGTTTTTAACGGAAAAAGAATGTGGATAGAAATAGTTTCCTACCCTGCACACGAAACAATCCGGATGCCATTGACTATTCAGGGCTGAAATATAATTCTCCATTATTGCCCGATTACATCCACCGCATTTTGGCGCGAACATATCGAAATAATCTTCCCGGCAATAAGGCTTTCCGTCCCTCTCATGAAAGCCGTCTTCGCCAAATTGCTTTCCACACTGGGCGCAGAAAAAGTGCTCCGTGTGCCAGGTTTTCTCCAAAGCCGTCACGCATTTCTAAAAGAGAAAAAGGCAAATTTCAATTTAAAGTTCCTCCCTCGTTCCTGACTTGTCGACAATTTCAACAATAAAAGTACCAACAAATGATATACAATTTTCACTATTTTAAAAATAATAATCAAATAAAAAATAAAAACAAAATGAATAAAAAATAAATAAAACAAAAATCAAAATAAATTAATGCTGCTGTCCAAAGTAAAAACCTAGTTAGTCACATTTGCCTTAACGGCAAATGCGACTTACTAGGTTTTTACTTTAATGAAATAAATAAAACAAAATTAAAATTAATGAATAAAAAATAAATAAAAAAATAAATGAATAAACAATAATTTTAAAAAATTGAATACTCGATAATTATACAAAATTTGACAAAAAGCATCAACTGTTCAACTTGGTTATATTTTTCACAATCATCAGGAGTTTGAATAAATTTAATTTCTGATAATTGTGAAAAAAGTATCAATTTTTTAAACTTGTTATCGTTTCTCTAATCTCAAGTTTTTAATTCAGAAATTTAATTTCGATAATTCCTGAAAAATGCGACAAAAAGTATCGATTTCTTTCACTAGTTATCGTTTCTGCAATTCGAAGTTTTTAATTCAAAATTCAATTTCAAAAATTCTGAAACATGCGACAAAAAGTATCAATTTTTTGACTTGTATTTTTTACAATCAGAATTTTTGAGTAAATTTAATTTTATTGTAAAAATATTAATTTTTCGGGGGCATTTTCAACACCCTAGATTTATATATAAATATGAAAATCTTTATATTTATATAAAAATCTATACAATTATATGTAAATAAAAAAAAATACTTTATATTTATATGTTAATACAAATATACCGTATATTCACAAATTCATTTCAAATTTTCCAGAAAAATTAATTTTTCGAAAAAAAAGGTAAATATACGGTAGATTTGTATATAAATATAAACAATATTTATTTATATATTTTTTCGTTACGAATATTTATAATTAAAAAATATTTCTAGTTTTCCTTTGAATATTTCTGTTGCTTCGACAATAATTATTGAATTTGAATAAAAACGACCGAATTTTGAATAAAATTCATCGAGCGCGATTGTAAAAAATTGAAAGTGTAAATAAAGAAAAGAAAAAAAAATGGCACCGAATCTATTTTTGGTACTTTTTGTCAAAATGCGATTGTCGTTGTCGTCGTTTAAAAAAAAAAGAAGCCGAGCTCCTTACATCGAGAATGGGACCGTTACAATAATTGCATCTCGGCGAGAAAAGATTGTGATAATCGGGCTCACAATACGGATGTCCTTCCCTCTCGAAAAAGTTTCTAGTACCAAGTTCCTGATTGCAATGTGTGCAAGTAAAATGTTCCGGATGCCATGTTTTCCCCAATGCTGTGATCACCTGCAAACGAAATATCTCAGTTTAATAGTTCTTGAAATTGTTTTTCAAATAATTTCCATTCAATAAGGAAAGGAAGGAAAAAGGGGAAAAAAGAAAAGAAAGAGAAAGAAAAGCAAAGGAAAGAAAAAAAAGGAAAGAAGAGGTAAAGAAGGAAAAAAATGAGAAAGAAAGGTAAAGGGGGAAAAAATAAAAAAAAGGAAAAGAACGGAAAAAGGGGAAAAAAGGAAAAAAGAGGAAAAAATGTAAAAAAGGGGAAGGGGGTGTAAAATGAAAAGAAGGGAAAAAAGGAAAATAAAGGAAGAAGTGGAAAAAATGCAAAAAAAGGGAAAAGAGTGTAAAGGGAAAATATAGAAAAAGAAGAGAAAAAAAGAAAATAAGGAAAGAAGAGGAAAAGAAGGGAAAAAAGGAAAATAAGGATAAATGGTGTTAAAGGAAAAGAAAGGGGAGAAAGAGAAAAAAGGGGAAAGGGGGTAAAGGAAAAGAAGGGTAAAAAAAGAGGAAAAAAGGGAAAAGAAGAAAAAACGAAAGGAGAAAAAGGAAAAAAATAGAGAAAGGGGAGAAGAAAATAAAAGCGAAAAGGAAAAGAAGAGAAAAAACGAAAGGGGGGAAAAATGAAAAGAATAGAGAAAGGGAAAAAGAAAAGAAAAGTGAAAAGAAAAAGAAGAGAAAAAAATGAAAAAGGAAAGAAAAGGAAAAGACAAACCTGCCCAACGATTGGCTTCTCGCAGGCGTTGCAGCATCCCTTCTGAGTGGTATTGACTCCTTGACGGCTCATGTCAGCCTGTAAATTACCTAGCATAGAATCAAGCTGATTTTGTTTAATGTGAGTCGCCTGGCTCGTGCTCGTGACAATTTGACTCTCCTCGTATTGTGGCTGATAAAGATGCTGCGTGTGCGTCTCGCGGATATGAATCCTCGTGGATCCCTGATCGAGTGGCGGCGGTGGCAGTGGACTCGACGAGCTTTTCGTTGCTTTGTTTGGCTTCGCGTACGGCGAATCTGTCACCGTTTGACGCTGATGATTATTTCCGTGGATCTGAAAGAATAACAGAAAATTAAATCAGTCGCCGAGGTTCAAATCAATTTTCATCACTTTTTTTTCTCCCTCGATGTATTTTCCTAATTTTACAATTTTATTTTCGAATTTTTTTTAGTTTTTAAATTTTTCTATTTTTAAAAAGCTATTTCCAATTATTAAATATAAATTAAACGAAATATATTAATTAAATTCTATTCTAAGAATAGAATTTTATTTCTTGATATTGCCAATTTTTTCTCTCTTTCGAATTATTTTCGTGACGAAAAGAATTTTGAATTCAGTTTAATAATTTACTGCAAGAATAGAATTTTATGCTACGAATATTTTCAAAACGAAATAATTTTAATTACTGTAAAAACTAATTTAATTACGGAAACATTTCTTTTCTTAATTAAAAAAATTAATTCAATTTCTCTTCTTTTCCCCTTTTTTCCCATTCTTTCATTGTCAACTTCTTTTCCTTTTTCCCTTATTTTAATTTAGTAAATTATTGAATTCACTAATAAAATGTAATTCCTTGACGCTAAGAATTATTTTCTCTTTCGAATTACTTTCAAACCGAAATAGAATTTTATTTCCTGACGCTACGAATTTTTTTCTCTTCCGGATTATTTTCAAAACGAAAAAATTCCAAATTCTTTGAAAAAACTTATTTAATTGCATTAATTTTTATGTTTTAATCTCAAAAATTAATTCAATTTAATAATTTACTAATAGAATATAATTTCTTGAAAGAATTATTTTTCTAAGCATTTTTTTTTTTTTTTTTTTTTTGAAACGAAACGAAACTTTATTTTATTTTTCGACCCCGCGAATTAAATACCGAAAAACAAATTTAATTACAAAACTGTTTCTTTCTCAATAAGCGAAAATTCGTAAATTTAATAATAGAACAGAATTTTATTTCCGACACCACGAATTTTTCCCTCTCTCTCGAATTATTTTCGAACAAAACGAATTTGAAATACTTTTTTTTAAAAACTTATTTAATCCCGTAAAACAATTTTTCCCGTTGAATTAAAAAAATAATTTCAAAATAAAAGAGTCGATTTTTTCCCGATGCTACAATTTTTTCTCCACATTTCTTACAGTCCTTTTTTTTAATACAAATAAAAAATCGCGAAAATAAAATAAAAATGAAAGAAAAAAAATTTGATTCGCGAAGGAAAAATGGAAAATCCCGAATAATTGAAGAATTTTGACAGAAGAGGGAAAGAGAAATGGAGAAAGAGAGAAACGGAGGAAGAGAGAGAAAGAGAGAATGTTTTGACGGTTGATTATGTGAGAAAAGTGGAGCGTGAAAATATTGAGACCTGATCGCGTGAATGATAACCGTTTGGTGTGAGCGCGTGCTTGCAAACTGACTCTTGAAAGCTTTTGGAAACGGTAGTTGACTGTCTCTATCCCCACCAGGTTTTTTGGTTTCTAGGTTTTTTTGCTCCCCTTCCCCCCCCCCTCTCTCTCCCTTTTACAATGTCGGCTTCCTAATAAACGCGGAACATTTAGGCGAGTGATCGCGTCGACGAAGATGATGCAGGGTGTGGCGAGGCCAGGGGCAGATGACGGTCCGGGTGGAATGGAAGTTATTTCGGTAACCTGGCCAGCCAAGAATGGGCAGGAGTGTGACTATAACGTCAATGATTACTATACTCCCTCAACATCATCTATTTCTTCATTAATTCCCCCCTTATTTCAAAAAAAAAAATTAAAAAATAATCCTAATTTCCCCTTTTATTCTCCAAAAATAATTTTCCCTTTTTCTATTTCTTTATTATTCCTTTTGCTCTCTATTTCTATTTCTCTCTATATTCCCCCTTTTTCATCTCTCTTTCTTCAGCAATAATAAATTAATATTCCCCAAAACAATTTCCAAATATATCCTTGGAATTTATTTTCGTCAATTGTTTTGTAATATTTGTTAAAAAGATTTTCGAGTAACATATTCACAAAACGGATGGAATTCTGTCTGTGCCAAATGGTAACAAACGTCGCTCAGTGCGCGCAATTCTAATGTTAGCTTCGCAAATTTTCCAAGAAGTTTAGCGGACATTAAACATCTCTAGATAAGAGGTGTTTACCATTTTTCTGGAAAAATTCCAAATAATTATTTTTGGAAATGTAATTTTTTTCGCTTTTTTTCTCAACTATATACACTGAACGAAAATTAAAATCTCTTAATTAGTAATTAAAATCAAACTAAGAGGCGAAAAAAAGCAAATTGAGAAAAAAGAAAATAAGAAAATTGAGAAAATGAAGAATTGAAAGAAAATGAAAAAAGGAGAATTGAATAAAATAAAACTGAAAAAATCGGAAAATCGAAAAAAAACGTGCCTTGAATTCCGATAGCGAAGCCATAAGATCGTCTAATTCCTTAGTGGCACTGCTCGCAGTGTGTCCGTTGGTTGCGAAATTTTGATCGTATTCGGATCGAATGTAAGGACTTCCGGTCGAACCGAATCCATTTGTAGGCTCAATTTCTGTCGTTGTTTCTTGAACTGTGACCTTTACTCTTCCCTCCGAAGGATAGTATTCCCTGTTAACATAAATAGACAATAAAATTCAACTCATTAATAAAATTATAAATTCAATTATAAAACCAATGCTTTCCTTAGAAAGCAACATTTGTTATAATAAAATAAAATTATATAATAATAATCCAGATATTCTGTCCTCACGTGAAGTTTAAAGCTTTTTGATTCCAAATTGCTTTACAGCTCAAATTGTCATGTCAAAAGTTTGTCATAATTAATTTGCATGAGGCTGAAGTCTGAAACGTTTTGAAAAACGAAAAATTAGAAAATAATTTTTTCTCTAAATTCATCTAATTTGTGCCTAATTGTTTTTTAAATTAACTTTTTTTAAAGGAAAATTACTTACAGATAACTTAAAATTGAAGCCAAAATAATAAAAATAATATTGTCTAATTTTTCGTTTTTAAAAACGTTGAAAACATCAAAGTCCCCTAGAATTTTCACAGGACAGTAAAGTAAGGAAATTTTATCAAAAATAAATATCAAATTATTCAAAATCTTAAATAGTCTATAAATTTTTTTCTAAAATTCAAAAAAATGCAAAAGTAATTGAAATTTTTAGAAATAATCAATTATTTATTTTTGTATTTAAATAATTCAATTCACGTAGCAACTTTTTGATAAGAATTCATTTGAAAAAAGAACTGTAGCTTAAAAATATTTCAATATCATTGTAGTTCTAATTTTAATTGAATTTCAAAACGTTTTACAATTAAAGTATTTAAAATATTAATTTCTGCTGGACAAAAATTAATTAAATTTTATTTTATTTATTTATTTATTTAAGATTCTTATAAAATTTGAAAAATTTTATTCAGAAATTCTGAATAAATGAGGTTTTTTTTATAAAATCGTAATTAAAATTTTTTGAAAATAGTTGAATTCCCAAAAATAATTTTTAAAAATTGAAAAAATAGGAAAATTTCTGAAATTCCATGAATGTAAATTTTATGTTTCAACGAATTTTATTTTCTCACTTTAAAAAATTATTTTTAGGAATTATTGTATTTTTTGAAGAATTGTAACTAAAAATTTAGTAAAATTTAGTAAAAAAAAATTGCAGTTGTAATTTTTAGAAATAAATAAATTTCAATTGTTTTACATTGAAATTATTTGAAAATTTCAATTAAAATAAATAACAATAAGCTTTAAATATTTTTTTTAACAAAAATTATTGAAGTTTTAAATAATTTAATTTTAGAGATTATCAAAAAGAATAGTTGTTTTTAAAAATCGTAACTAAAATTTGTTGAAAATAATTGAGTTGCCGAAAATAATTTTAAAAATTTTTAAAATAAGAAATTTTGTTAAATATTATGGAAATCAATTTTTTATTTGAAAGAATTTTATTTTATTTGCTACTTTCTTAATAAAATTATATTAGTTAATAAAATAAAACAATGCATTCATAAAGGAAGCAAAATTTATTTGTTTATACAATAATAAAAAAAATTGTCAAAAGATTAAAATTTGTTAATAAAATAGAATTGGTTAAGTAAATGAATCGTGGGATACTTTGGTAAATAAATAAAATAAAATAAAATAATAAAATAAATAAAAACAATAAAACAATAAAAAATAATAAACAAAAAAAAAAAAATAATAATAAAACAATGCTTCCATAAGGAAGCAAAATTTGTTAATACAATAAAAAATTTGTTAATAAAATAAAAAAAATTTCTTAATAAAATAAAAAATTTATTAATAGAAAAGAATGTATTAAGAAAAGAATTGTATAGCACGTGCAATTTGCAATTTAAGACATCGATAAAATGACAATTTTTCTTTCCGCAGATAGTAATATTTTTTCGAAAAATTATTATTATTGAAATGATCTCATCAGGTATAACCGTTTGCCAGTCAACACTCATTTTTCAACTTTAATAAACCTCGAGATACATTTTTCGCTCAATTTCATGCGATTCGTTTCATTTTAGAGATAGAGCGATAAATAATGTGGAAAATTTAACGTCCAACAATATTGGCCATGAAGAGAATTTTTGGTTTTATTTCCTCCTTAAGCTTTTCAATTTTTCTGATATTCTCTCAATTTTATTTGAGAATAAAGACAAATAAAACATTATTATCATTATTTCTATTAGTATAGTATTATTATTATTATTTTTATTATAATATAATACTAATAATAATAATTATTGTGATTTTATAATATTATTTTCATAATTTTTTAAATTTTTTGAATTAGAGAATAATTGTAGTTAAAAAATCTAGAAAATAATTGAAATTTGAAAAAATTTATTAGAGTTGAAATTTTTTAGAAATAATAACATTTCATAAGATTTAAAATTGTAATTTTAAAAAATTGTAATTCATGTAGAAAAATAAATAACACAATTATATAATTTAATATAATTTAACAAAATTACGAAAGCATTGAATAATTTAATTTAAAAATTCTAAAAAAAGGTTTCTAAAACATTTTAATTCAAATTTTCTCAAAATACTTGAATTACTCTATTAATAACTAATTGAAAAATTTTTCAAACAATTGGAAATTGAATTATTTTCAAAGCATTCAATAAAAATCTTCGCAAGAATTCTTCTTAAAACTAAATTATTTTCGATATAATTTTAGTAAAATTTTTCGAAAGAATTCAACTATTAGATATTTACAAATATATTAATAAAATTCTTCAAAAAATTCAATTATATTTTCAAAAACTTGTATAAAATTCTTTATAGAAATTTAATTTTTTTTAATACTACTACTTTCATTAAATTCATTGGAATTGAATAATTTGCAAAAGTAAAAAGATTTCAAGAATTAATTCAAATTTATTTTTTGAAAAAATTAAATTTTCTCGGAGAATTTTTACAAGATTTTTAAAAATATGTAATTGAAATTTTCGAAGAAATTAATTAAAATTATATTGAAAATAAGGGAAATCCTAATAAGAATTTTATTATTTATATAAAAATAATTGAATTTTTTACGAAGATTTTTATTATATATAAATTTAACTTTTTGCAAAGAATTTTATTACAATTATTGAAAGTAATTGAATTCTTTATAAAATTCAATTATTCATTTTAATTTAATTTTAATTACATTTTCTCGAAAGAATTCAATTATTGAAAAAAATGTTGATAAAATTCTTCAAATGAATTCAATAATCTAACAAATTTTTTGATAAATACTTTGAAAAAAAAATTTATTTGATTATAATAACCGATTAATTGACTATTATCAATTAAATATTTACTTGAATCAAATATTAGTATTTATTGGAGTCAATTAAATAGTATTTAAATTTTGAACCAATAATTTCAGTATTTGAAGCAAATACCATTTAATTAACTCCAATAAATATTATTTGATTCAATTAAATATTTAATTGATAATAGTCAAGTAATCGGTTATTTGAATCAAATAAAATTTTTTTTTTCTGTGTCTAGAAAATAATGTAAAAGGAAATCAGAAAAAAGAAAATAAAAATTAGTGAGAGAGAGAGCTAATAAATAATGAAAATAAAGTTGTTTCGATAAATTTGAAGAAAATTTCAATCCTTATGTCTATTTTCGTGAAATCTTCAGAGATCGATGTATCTCAGTGTTCTATATTCTCTCAATAATGAGTGTGTGAGGCAAGACACAAAAATAGCATCGATATGTATATCATCAGAAGGTAGAATCCAGCACATTTTAAAACACATTTAAATAATAAAAAAAAACAAGTTTCCTGTCAGCTCTCCTCGATATTTCAAGTAAAATCACCTTTAATGTCACAATTTTATTACACTTTTATAGCAATTTTAACATTCTTCTTTATCGTCAAAAATTTAATTTAATTTAAGCGTAAATTATTTTTCATTCAAAAATTAAAAAAGAAAAGAATTTTAAAAAGAACAAAACGTTAATATAAATTAAAAGAAAGAGAAACTTACCCATTTGGAATCACAGAGGTATTTAATTCTTCTAATAAGGAATCAACAGTGGGTCGTGATGTTGATAAAGTGTTTCCCGGTGAATGGAGTGTAGGACTAATTGTAACTCCATTTGATGCTCGACTATCTGTAATTATTTATAACAAATTTCAATTAATCTTTCTGCTTTTTTTATCACTTCATTATAATAATAATAAACTTTAGATATAGACAAAAAAAATCACTAATTAGTCAATTTTTCATATCTTACTTTTATCAATTAAGAATTTCCTCGGATTTAAATTTTGATAATATCTAGATACGAATAACAATTACGAAGGAAAAAATGTCATTATTAATTAATAATAATTAACAAACAAATACAAAATATTTAAATTTAAATACAATAATAATGTTCTGGATTATATAAAAAACGAAATTTTAAAAAAGTGACACAAAACTTAACGTTTACAAAAATTATAATCAATCGTGACATATTAATTATTACGACAAAATTTCGTAATTAAACATGATGCGACAAATACACAACTTGTCATCGAAAATAATTTGGAAAATTTCCAACTTGGCCTCAGTCTCAAACGTGTCAGGTGTGATAAAGTTTTTTGAGACTTGGAAGGTTAAACTAATTTTTTTTTCTACCTCAAAATTATTACAATCATAATTAATTATTTTATTATTTCTATTTTATTAACTATATAAATATATTTTTTTTAAATTATAATTTTCCGAAATTCAATTATCTTCAAAAAATTTTAATTACAATTTTTCAAAAGACCATTTTTTCCTAATCTCTAAATTAAATTACTCAATAATTTATACTTAATAATTTAAATCCTTCGCAAGAATTCAATTATTTTTACAAGTAACACAATTTTCCACATGAATTCAATTATTTAAAAAAATCTAATAAAATTCGTTGTAAGAATTCAATTACTTTCATAAATAATAACATTCTTCATAGGATTTAAATTATTTTTAATACAATTTTAAATAAATTCCTCGAAAAATAAAATTATCTTCAAACATTTTTTGCAAGAATTAAATTAGGTACATTTCACAAATAATGAAATTCTTCACTGAAATTTAAATATTTTCAAAAACTGCCATTTTAATCAAACTTTTCAAAAGAATTCAATTATATAAAAATAATGTAATAAAATTCGTTGCAAGAATTTAATTATTTTCATAAATAATAAGAATTCTCCACTGTATTTCAATTATTTAAAAAAATGTAACAAAATTCCTTGCAAGAATTGAATTATTTTCATAAATAATAAAATTCTTTCCAGGATTTAAATTATTTTTTAACAAAAAATTAATAAAAATCATTGCAAGAATTCAATTATTCTCCTAAATAATAAAATTCTTCACAGGATTTCAATTATTTTTAATACATTTTTAAGTAAATTCTTTTAAAAATGTAACTATTTTCAAAAATTTTGTTTAAATACTTTGAAAGAATTCAATTATCAATTATTTTTAAGAATTTTAGCAAAAGTTCTTTGATAATTTTCAAATCGAATTGTTTCCAATTCAATTTTATAAAATTTCGATTTTTCGGAAATTCTTCAATTAAATATTTAGAAAATAAATAATTTCAAAACAAAATTCAATTAACTTTTTCAAAAAAATTAATTCTACAGAAATGTCAGTTAAAAGTATAAAAAATTCAATTTTTCAAAGATTTTAATTTGAAACCTTTTCAAAATTCAATTATTTCTAAAAATGCATGCTATTATGCTTTTAATATTCAATATTATTATCTAAAATTGTAACTGAAATTCATTTTAAAATCAATTTTTATTAGAAAATTCTACTAGAATTCAATTATTTAAATACAAAAATAAATGATTTATTGAATGAATTAAATATTTCTTAAAATTGAATACTCATGAAGAATTTGATCAACAGATTTTTATATAACTGAATTTTTTCGACGAATTTTAAAAAAACTTTCAAGAATAACTACATTTTTTAAGGAATTCGATTAAAATTGTTTTAAAAATAATTGAAATTGTATGGTGATTTTTATTATTCATAAAAATAATTGAATTTCTGTAAAAAATTTTATTATTTATGAAAATAATAGAATTATTGCGATGAAATTTATAAAAAATTTGTAAAAAGTTGAATTCCTGTGAAATTTTTATTATTTATGAAAATAATTTAATGTTTGCTTAGAATTTACTGAATTTTATCAAAATTTCTATAAATAATTGAATTCTTTTGAAAAATTTTATTACAATTTTTGAAAATAATTTAATTTTGGAGAAGAATTTTATTAATTTTAAATATAATTTAAATTTTGACGAGAATTTAAAAAAAATTTTTGAACATATTTGAATTTCTGCAAAGAACTTGATGACTTTTGCAAATAATTATTGAATTTCTCCAATCATTTGTAACGTCTCAAAAATTCAAATTTTTCTAGTACTTTTAATTCTTTTTCTCTGATCAATTCTACTTTCCCAGACTTTTCCCCAAATTCCCTGACCTCTGTGACCTTTTTCTTTACTTTAAATTACATCTTTGCTTATTTATTAAAAAAATTTTGATTTGTTGTCTGACAAATCGAAATTCTTCATTTTTTTTATTTATTTTTGAAAGAAAGTTGGAGAACTTTTTAACAAAATGTTAAATATTATTAAAAAAAATTTTTTTAATTTGCAAATATCTTAGTTAATACACTTAAAATTGATATTGGCTTATAATTTTCAATATTATTTTTTTGTCAGATTTATGAACAAGAACAATAATAATAATAATAATAATGAATTAAATTTTATGAAATTACGTAGGGGAGATTGGGGAATTGTGGGCCACTCCATTATTTAACAATATTATTTTAAAAGTTTGATCATCCAATTTTTTTTATTTTCTTTTGATCGTCTAAAGTAAACCACCTGAAAAATTGCATTCAAATATTTATTTTGGGTTTTTAATTTTTATTGTTTTTACTAGGACTTTCAAAAATTAATTAAGGAAAATATTTTTCTAATTATTGTGTCGCATTGGTCATTCGACTCAAAAAAAAAAAAAAAAATTTTTTGTATCAAATTTAAATGAATAAATAATACAAAACTTTTTGTAAAATGAAGCACTTGGGGAATTGTGGGCCACAATTTTGGGGAAGTTTATGTTGCTTGTTTTTGTCGATTTAATTGCACAAACACAATGCAGGTACATATTATTAAAATAATTTAACAAACGCAATTCTATTCATTGCGATTCATGCGATAGAGCTGTTCACTTAAAACGTAACATTAATGGTATAGCCTATTTTACTTGTCCACATATTGTGATTCTGATTAATTTCATTCTCTTACTTTTTCTTTTCTAATTTTAAACTAATAATTAAACATTTATAACATTTAATAAATATATTTCATCGTTATTCTTCATTTTGAAATTAATTCAGACAGTGGCCCACAATTCCCCAACAATTTTAAAAATCATAAAAATGCATTTTTTGGTATAAAACTCAAATTTTTTTAGGTACGTGATAATTTTAAGAAACTGACTATATAATTTGAAAAAAAATTTTTTGTGTAAGATATTGAACTAAGAAAAAGTGTGGCCCACAATACCCCAATCTGCCTTACTTGTCTAGGTACAAAACTGTAAGTGAAATAAATTTACCTCTGTCTTGAGTGTGAGTATTATATCGAGCATTGCTTAAATCTTGCAAGAGGGTATCTAATTCCGATAGATTATTATTGAGCGAGGGCATTTTTCCTCCACTTGAGCTTTGATTGTAAGGAGCACTTCCGGATTTAATGATAGCTTCCTCTATGGCCTCACGATTTTGATACGTCGGCTGTTTAATGAAAACAGAAATAATATCAATTTTACAAATTTCAATACCTGGCACACGCTCTGAAGAAAGATACTATTTCCATTCAAAAAATTACAAATTTTTACTTATCTTTCTTCGGAGCGAGCGCATGATTAAAAAAAGTAAATTAAAAATTTTCCTTTACCGATTGTGATAGAAGTGGGGAAGAATTTTGTCGATTGTCACAAGCTTTATAAGAAGGAACAGAGGCGGCTGATGAGTGACTTCTCTTTCCATTGAGAGAACCGTAGCCGGGTGTTGTTGTTTCAGGTGAAACTGTATTTTGCAAATCAGCAAGAAGAGCATCTGAAACAAAAAAAGAATAAATTAAACATCTCAATAAAAAAAAAATAATCCCCTCGTTTAGAATCGATGAAAAAAAAGAACAACTACAGAAACTTTACAAAGCCTCCACCAGATTTTTTTAATTATACATTAAAAAACACACACCCTACAAAAAATATTCCTACTTCCTCATATGTACCTTATTTACCATGTTTACCATATTTTCCCAAAAGACAAAAAATACAACAGAAGAGAAACATTTTATTCAAATGATAAATTACATATTAAGTTTCATTAGAATCGAATTTTTTTTCTCAAAATAAAATGATGCGCTTTGAAGAAAAGACACAAATTTTAAGTTATCAGGGTGTCTACAATTTTCGATCAACAAAATTCCCGGCTTTGTCCTAATTTTTCCTGGTTTTTTTCTCATCAAATTTAAATTTATTTGATTTCGAACATAAATAAATCTACCAATTTCTTTCAAAATTGTTAATAGATTTTTTTATGAATAATTAAATTCTTTTGACGAATTTCTTTAAATTTTTTGAAAATAATGTTCTTTTTAATAATTTTAATTAAAAATTTGGAAAATAATTAAATTAAACAAAGAATTTTTTCAATTTTTAAAAATAATCTTGTCTGTTAACAATTATAATTGAAAATTTGATTGTAATTCAAATTTATAAAAATGTATTGATATTAATTGAATTTCTGCAAAGAATTTTACTATATTTATAAAAGTTATTATGAATCCTTCCAAAGAATGTTATTATTTATGACAATAATTAAATGTTTGCGTAGAATTTTATTAAAATTTTTGAAAATAATTGAATTGTGGAGAACAATTTAATTATTTATTAAGATAATTGAAATTTTGAGGAGAATTTAAAAAAAATTTTAAGCATAATTGAATTTCTGCGAAGAGTTTCATTACTTTTGAAAACAATTGAATTGTTTTTTAGAATTTTATGGAAATTTATGAAAATAATTGAATTCAAGTGAAGAACTTTTTTTAAAAATAATATTCAAAAGAATTCGGCAAATCTGAAGAATTTTGTTATTTATGGAAATAATTGAATTCCTGAGAAGAATTTTTTTTACAGTCTTTAGAAATAATTGAATTTTTTCGACCAATTTTAATAAAATTTTTAAGAATAATAATTACATATTTCGAGGAATTCGATTGAAATTGTCTTAAAAATAATTGAAATTCTGCAATGAGTTCTACTATTTATGAAAATAATTGAATATATTGCGAAGAAATTTTTAAAAATAAAATTATAATTACGGTGAATAACTTCCCTTGATTATTTAAAAAAAATTTAAATAAAATTCTTTAAAAGAATTTAATTATTTTTAATAGAATGGGAAAAAATTTCAGTTATTTGTTTATAAAAATTCAATTATCTTGAAACAATAGAATTAAAAAATTTCAAAAATCTTATTTTTCAGAATTTTCAAAAAAACTTTGCAAAAATTCAATTATATTACAAAATTTTAAGTGTGTATCTTTTTTTAAATCAACTAATAAAACTAAGAAACATGAATACATTATTAGAATATGAATCTTTATAAAATTCAATTATTTATCAATAATTATATTAAAATACTTTGAAAATTCGATTTTTTAAAAACTTTTTAATGAAATTCTTTAACAAATTTAATTATTTTCAGTTGAATACCACAAAATTTCTATTAATTCGATAATTTTTCTAAAAATTTATTTACATATACTAAATTTCAATCAGTGACTGATTTTTTACTATAAAATTAATTATTTCGAACTAATTCGAATTTAGAGAACAGAATAAATATCTATTAAAATTTAGTTATAAATTGAAAACAGAAATTTTTAATTAAAGTAAAAAATAAAGTAAGAAATAACACAAACAAAAGCTAAAAATGATTTGATCACCTTTCTTCATAGCGTCATTTTATAAAAATAATATTTCGATTCTTGAAGTAAAGACTCAATGATGTAATTTATTAATTTGACTGAAATTTTTCTTGCGAGTGAAAATTATATACATTGACCAAGCAGACAATAAAAAATTGAAGTTTCAATTTTGAATTGAAATTCAAGTTTGAATCCAAATTTGAAGATGGATTTTAGATTCTTTTTACAAAGGGTTTTGTTGCCACGACCTTGAATTAAATTACTTACTAAGATATTGTTCCCATTTAGCATGACGAGCGGCAGTTGCCAATCGAAGATTAAGGGATGGTGACGAGGGTCTCAAAACGTCTGCCATCTTGTTAGGATTTGTTATCTTAATAATCTATATAAATATAATAGTTGTTTTCAATTAAAAAAAAAGAATTTTAAATTTTCTGTCCACACTACTTATATATTATAATAATCGTTCACTAGTTTCTATTTCACGCTACTTTTTCTTTTGGACAAAAACACTCTTTTTACACTTTTAACTTTCTTTTGTCTTATTTTTGTCAGAGCAATAATTGACATTTCCGATAAAGTGAAAAACACAGGAAAACTACGGAATTATTGAGAATATGGGATTGTTAATGCAATGAAAGATTTTTCGAGTTCTTTTTTATTTTACTCGAAAAATTTGAAGAATTTCACAAGTGCGTCACACATGACGCCCTCTGAAGAAAGGAAACGAAAATTTTGGGTCTTCAAATCGAAAAATTAGTTTACTTGTTGTCTCTTTTTTGAGAGCATGTTGCAAATTGATTATTTCAAAAATTTATGAAGCTGAAGTCCGCAACGTTTTTAAAAACGAAAAATCAAAAAAGAATTTTTTTCCAAGTTAAATTCATCTCTAATTTTCATGTTTCTTAATTTTTAAGAAATGAATTGTTGCTTAAGATACAATTATTAAAAATTAACATGATTTAGAATCAAAAATAAAAAAACCGTCCCTTTATTTTTTCGTTTTCGTTTTTAAAAACGTTGCGGACTTCAGTATCATAAAAATTTGACGAAATTTTATAGATTTTCGTTCGCAGTTTTCTTGAAAGTATCAAATTGATTCTAAAATGGATCAAGTTGATGCCAAAAGTTTAGATCAATTTTTAATTTGATACATATTTTTAGTATCAATTCATTGCAATTTGATGCATGTTAAGTTAACAGTGTTAAATTGGTTCAAAAGAGTCTCTGTTTGTTAATTTACAAAAAAAAAAAAAAAAAAAAAAAAATGAAGGTCAACCGCACAAGAAAAAAGAAAAACGTAACAAAAGGATAAAACAACAAAAATCGTATAAATCATTAACGATTTTCGAAATTAAACACAATTTTTTTTTTGCACTTATTACAAAAATGTTTTCAAACGAGTCGGGTCAGTTTGAAAATGGAAAAGAAGAAGAGAATAAAAATAGCAAATAGGAAGAAAAAAGTAACGATAAGAATTTATAAAATTTTTATAAACAACTTCCATGCGATTTCAACTCAATTTTAAATATTTTTGGAGCAACCTCGCCGAATTACTTGAAACTTGGTAATATTTGATTTATTCGTATAAAGTTTTAGAAAATTATCCTTTTGAGCTAAAAAAAATTGTTTATTTACTAGATACAACAAATTACTGAAAATTGTTAAATTCTTCCTATGTTTTAAAAAATTAAACAAAAACAAGTTTTGTTTTTTGCATTTAACTCAGGATTTCTGTTTACTCATTTTTACGATTAGCTACTATTTGGATACTTTTTTTTTTAAATTTATGACACTAAAAGCTACTTATTTCAATGTTTAATAAATTTGCAATACTTTAAATTTGCTTATAGTTGTAATAAAGAAATAATTCTCAATATTTTTAATAAAATTCTTAAAAACAATATTCAACATATTTTAATAAAACTCATTCAAACGATTCGATTTTTTTCAAAATGTTTTCGAATTTCAATTATTTTCACTATCTATTATTCGAATAAACAATTTCCCAAAAGAATTCAATTATTAAAAATTTTTTTATAAAATTCTTTGCAATCATTCAATTATTTTCAAAAATAATAAAATTTCCACAGGAATTCAATCATTTAAAATACAATTTTCAATTCTTAGCAAGAATTCAATTATTTTTATAAATAATATAATCTTAGGAATTCAATTATTATAAAAAATTTTGATAAAGTTCGTTACGCAAGAATGCAATTATTTTCATAAATAATAAAACTTATCGCAGAATTTCAATTATTTTTAATACAATTTTTAATAAATTGAATTCCTCGAAAAAAATGATTACCTAAAGAATTTAATTATTTAAAAAAAATTTTTATAACTTTCTTCGCAATAATTCAATTATTATCATAAATAATAAAAATTATCGCAGGATTTTAATTATTTTTGATAAAGTTTTAAATGAATTACTCGAAAAATGCAATTATTCTTAAACATTATTTTATTAAAATTCTTCTAACATAATTCAATAACTTTTTACAGATTTTGATAATAATTTGGATAATTTTCAATTATTATATCTAAGATTTTAATTGAAACTCAATTTTAAATCAATTCTTCTTAGAAAGTTCTACGAGAATTCAATTATTTAAATACAAAAATAAATAATTTATTGAATAAATAAGTATTTCTTAAAATTGGATTTTTATAAAGATTTATCAAAATTTATTTGAAAATAATTAAACTCCTACGAAGAATTTATTAAAATTTTTAAAAATAATTAACTTCTTTCAAGAAATTTAATTAAAAATGCATTGAGAATAATTATTAAACTCTAATATAAACAAATTACATCAAAATCTTTATAAATAATTGAATTCTTTAGAAGAATTATTTTAATAAAATATTTAAGAATAATTGCATTTTTCGAGGAATTCATTTAAAATTGTATATTAAAAATAATTGAAATTCTGCGATGAGTTTTATTGTTTATGAAATTAATTGAATTTACTAATAATAGAATTATATTATTAACGAAAATAATTGAATCCGCATGTAAAAATGTTATTATTTATGAAAATAATGGAATTATTGTGAAAAAATTGGTATATAATTGAATTTGGGACGCATGATTATTCCCCAAATGTCATTTTTCCGAAATGTCATTTTACCGAACTGCACTTTTGCGAATAGTTATTTTTGCGAAAATCCATTTTTGCGAAATGTCATTTTTACGAATAGTCAGTTTTGCAAAAAGCCATTTTTGCGAATAGTAATTTTTGCGAAAAGTCATTTTTACGAATTTTCATTTTTGCGAATTGTAATTTTTGCGAATCGCCATTTTTACGAATTGTCACTTTTGCGAATCGACATTTTTACGAATCGCCATTTTTACGAATTGTCACTTATGCGAATCGACATTTTTACGAAATGTCATTTTTGCGAATAGCCATTTTTGCGAAAAGTAATTTTTACGAATTGTCGTTTTTGCGAATTGTCATTTTTGCGAAATTTCATTTTTGAGAAATGTCATTTATGCGAATTGTTACTTTTGCGAATCGCCATTTTTACGAATTGTCACTTTTCCGAAAAGTAATTTTTGCGAATTGTCATTTTTGCGAAAAATACAATAGTAAACTTGTAGTATATATAGATTCACTATTGTATTTTTCGCAAAAATGTCAATTCGCAAAAATGACTTTTCGGAAAAGTGACAATTCGTAAAAATGGCGATTCGCAAAAGTGACAATTCGCATAAATGACATTTCTCAAAAATGAAATTTCGCAAAAATGACAATTCGCAAAAACGACAATTCGTAAAAATTACTTTTCGCAAAAATGGCTATTCGCAAAAATGACATTTCGTAAAAATGTCGATTCGCAAAAGTGACAATTCGTAAAAATGTCGATTCGTAAAAATGTCGATTCGCAAAAGTGACAATTCGTAAAAATGGCGATTCGCAAAAAAGACAATTCGCAAAAATGAAAATTCGTAAAAATGACTTTTCGCAAAAATTACTATTCGCAAAAATGGCTTTTCGCAAAAATGACAATTTGTAAAAATGACATTTCGCAAAAATGGCTTTTCGCAAAAATGACTATTCGCAAAAGTGCAGTTCGGTAAAATGACATTTCGGAAAAATGACATTTGGGGAATAATCATGCGTCCCATTGAATTTTTGTGAAATTTAATTATTTCTGAGCATAATTAAATGTTTCCGTAGAATTTTATAAAAAAATTGTTTAATAATATTGAATTCTTTTGGAAAATTTATTAATATCAGTTGATACTGAAAATTGTTGAATTGAGGAAAATTTTTGAAAATAATTGAAATTTTACCAAGAGTTTCATTAAAATTTTTGAAATTAATTGAATTTCGAAAATGAATTTTATTAGGTATTAATAAAGATAATTGAAATTTTTTAAATTACTGAACATAATTGAATTTCTTCAATCATTTCGAACTTCCCAAAAATTCAATTTCAAATCAATTCTTATTAGAAAGTTTTACGAAAATTCAATTATTTTAATAAAAAAATAAATAATTTATTGAATAATAATAATTAAATTCTAATAAACAAATTATATCAAAATCTGTAAAACTTATTGAATTCTTTAGAAGAATTTGAATAAAATTTTCAAGAATAATTGCATTTTTAGAGGAATTCATTTAGAATTATTGTATTAAAAATAATTGAATGTCTGCAAACAATATTATAAAAATGTTTTCTAATAGGTAATTGATTTCTTTTGGGAAATTTTTTATTAAAATAGCAGTAATAGATATTAAGAATCATTGAATTTCGAAAACTTTTTGAAAATAATTGAATCGGTTGAAAAAATTTTATAACAATTTGTTGAATTGTGTCTAAACGAAGACTATTTGAAGAGTTTAATTTCTGAGTTGAATGCAAAAAACAAAACTTGTTTATCTTTAATAATCGCTTAAAAGATACAAGCAATTAAACAATTTTCATCAATTATATCTTGTAAATAATAAATAAACAATTGTTTTTGGCTGAAAAAGTAGATTTTCTGAAACTTTATACGAATAAATGTAATATTATCAAGTTTCAAAAGTAATTCGATGAGGCTGCTACAAAAACATTTAAAATTCATCTGGAATCGCAACCATATATTAAATATGTATTCAAATGAATTTATAAATTCACAAAGTGGTTTATAATTGTCAGAAAATCCCAGAGGCGATTGCGATTTCCTTGAGAAACACACAATTTGCAGAAGGTAATGATGATGATGATGAATCTCTTTAAACGAATATAAATCGATTGTATATATAAAGAAACTTTTTGAGACATGCAAATGGAATTTCTATAGATCTACAAAATTGTTTTAGACAACAAGGGAACAAATTGAGGAAATCTAAACAATAATCTCAAGGAATTATTTTGTGT